CGATTATCCAAGCACAGCATGATGTAGCACATAGCGTATGCATGCTCAGGCACCACCAAACAGGCAGGCTCTACTATACCGGTCATTATTGTATTCACACTTTCACAGCAATGATACTAGTAGAAGATGCCAAGTGATGTTAAAACTGAGTTGATGCTAAAGAACAAGACAGGGACCTGGATAGACTGTTTCAATTGAATTCAATCGCCAAAGCATATCATGACTAGGCAAAACTGGCTATGTACTAGTAAGTGGCTAAACTAAGGAAAGAAGGAGAACTCGCGGGCAGCCCCGGTGGCCAATAGTGAAGTGTCAAACAAATAACAAGATAATAGCGCTGAGATAAGAAATTGATATGACTGTCACAATTGTGCCGGTCTGGGATGTTGCAGTTTGCAATGATCACGGCAACACAATCATGTCAACAGTGGCAGCAGTGGCAATACGCTCACATACGCTTATACATGCACACATGTACGCACACACCTCCCCGAAAATGCAAAAGAGACAATAGTCAGGACATGTTCAGCCACCGGGATTCGAATATGGACGGAAACTGAAAAAAGGCGCTTCCACTTACAAGGGGAAAAAACAACCTGCAACTACATGTACACCCCACTACATATGTGATGGGGATAGGAGGGGGGGGGGGGGGGGAGGAGAGCAAGAGGAAGGGCAAGAGGGAGGGAGGGAGGGAGGAGAGAGAGAGAGAGAGCATATGCAACACGTGAGACATGAGCACACAACGCAGGACAACGAGAACGAAGCATGAGAGGGTTCCGGTGGAATGCTAGTTCGGAAAAGAGGAGTTGTGGGATAGGCAGTGTTGCAGAATACCAAGGTCATGATAGACCTCTAACAAGGCAGTGCAGGCATCAAAGGCACTAATAATTGTTATTTCATTAGCCCTAAACAACTATCAGATGCACATTGGGAGAAAATGGCATCAGTTTTACATACTATAGAGCTGTGTCTCTGACCTCACGCAGTGGAGCCCTCTTGGCATCGCTTGCACCTTCATCACCATCTGCTGAGCATGTGGACTGCCTGGACTGCTTATGTGGCTTGCTGCTTGCTCGGGTGGCGCCTTGACGGTGATGGTGGAATGGAGAACCTGGGCGAGCCAACGCGTCCATTGTGGGCGTACGCGCGCCACGGAATAATGACGGAGCAAAATCGTCCTCAGTCAATGGAGTAGGGGTAGCATCCTCGACAATCACCTCGTGAGAAGATGCCGGTGAGACTTTAGTCTGGGGCGAGGATGCTACTGCGTAGTAGCTGTTCTCAGACAGAGACATGGACAACGGCCGTGGCTGTCCTGATGGTGGTGAGCCACGCTCCGATGCATTGCTGTGACTGAAGATGCGCCTAAAGGGCCGCACAGCCACATTGGTGCCAGATCGGCCAGGGCGTGGTGACTTTTCAGCCTTTTCAGCAGCAGCCTTCTCAGCGGCAGCAAGGGCAACTGGGTCCAGGGAAAGAAGACTGTTACGGAATGCTTTTGTTGCAATCTGGAAGGGGTGCACATATATAGCAAAATCAAACCAGTTTCCGTCAATAAAGAGACAACTGTGTCATGCGTGGCAACGGATGCTAAACGACATCAGGAAATCGAGACTTGAAGATAGCAGAGCTAGCCAGATATGCCAGTGGTGAGTTGAGTAGAGTCAGACACTTTACTACTAAGCAAATCAAATAATAATTATTTCACCAGCGCTAAACAACATTCACTTGTGTACGCTCTAACTGGATAGCCTTGGTGCTAAAGTCTTGTTTGCGCACATGCGTTCCACGCAACTTCAAGTCTGTCCCTCCAGAAACTTGCGGAGACATTTCGGAAATATCGCGGAAAAAGTTGCGAGGTAAAATGCCACAAATTGCGGGGAATATTGCGGATTTTGTCAAATATTGCGGGATTATTGTGGTAAAATTGCGGAAATTGCGGCCGATTTGGTACTTGTACTGTAGTGGTGTGCGATGTACGAGTCGTACAGCATAAATCATGCATGACAAAACAGAACGTGTGCTGCGCTGACTGTGTTCAACTGCCTGACAGGAGCTTGCAAGACAGTTTTCCTCCATCCTCGGACAAAACTCGACGCGAGCCTTATTTTGTGACTTGTCAGCCGCTGATTTGCCCAGAAACTTCTCCATTTTGGTGTCGATCTCACAAGTAAACTACTGACGAGCTTCAAGAACTAAACAACATCGAAGAAAGACTCGAATATCGCGGTTGCTTTTCGAAATATCGCGGTGCTTTTCAAGTATCAAGGACAGTTTTCTACAATAACGCGGATGATTTTTCAAATATCGCGGATATCACGGACTTTTGTTCAAATCGCGGAAAACAACGCGGCCGCGGAATCGCAAGTTCCTGGAGGGACAGTCAAGTGCATGTCATGCAGTTGAAGGAAGTACAACCATGTTTACACTTCCTTCATTTACTGGTTCAGCCTGATGATGGGCCAGGTCCGAAAATCTGGCGAGTCCTTTAAATTACGTCTGCAGCAAAAAGACGGTGTTTGATTGTTCGGATCAAGGAAACCCAATACACTTTACTTCCGTCAAAGTGTTTATGCGAAGTACTTCCTTCAACTGTATGGCATGCACTTGAAGTTGCACGGAACGTACATGTATGTGTGCACACAAGACTACAGCGCCCAGGCTATCCAGCTAGGGCATACACATGGGAACATTGTTCGTTTTGCCTGGTGCTGGTGATATGTCATGATATCCGCCAAAGTACAATGTACATGTACTAGACTTCAAAACCCTGCCCTGGATTACATTTACCGTATATTCTCTATTATAAGCGCTGTGCTTATATTTTTTCAACACCCCTCTACCCCGTGCTTATATTGGAGACCGTGCTTATATTTCTTCAACCAATACATCCATACAGAGCAAGAAGAAATACATGCTAGATATCATGCATGCAGCATTGATTTCCACCAAGACCGTGCTAATAATAGAGACTGTGCTTATAATGTTTCGAAAGGTGCTCACAGTGTGCTAGTATTAGAGACTGTGCTAGTAATGGAGACCTGTGCTTGTAATAGAGACTATACGGTATCACAACACTGAAAGATAGTACAGTAGGTATTGGTTATAGCGTGGGTGTTTGTTTCTATTCTTATTTCCGATATTTCTTACGCACGATAAATCAAGTGTGACATATTATGTGCATGTGCGCAGCGCAGCGGGAGGAAGATCATCGTACATGCAACGTAGTGCTACTGTGCACGCGGCTGGTTACGGTCCCATAGGCTTACCATGTGGCTATGCAACAGGAGTTACATGACCACAACAGTTGAACCTGCAGCACTACAAGTACAACCCAACGCGAGTCAGATCAGAACAGCATTGGACAGGTGTTATTACTACAGGCGATATACTTTGTACTAATCTGGCATGTTTCGCTACACAAAGTCCATTCTTAGGACCGATATATTCTACTGTACGATAAAATTGCTTGTAAGAATAAATGAGTACTTGAAACCCATGTTATGATTATGAAAACATGAGAGTTCATTGTGGTAGGCAGTATACTCTTTTACACGACCACGCTAAGCTATAACCGATACGCACTGTATTTATAAGCCCAATAACAAGGGGTTGTCACAAAGTTTATTGTCATCCCTGAAACGAACATCGTTCCGGGGGGGGGGGGGGAGCCAAAATCGCAAGTCAACCAACACCGTACATGTGCATGCGATTTGCATTATCCAGCATAGCAAGCTGCGTTCATTTCGGAAGGCGGGATATGACTGAGTGAGAAATGAACAATGTTCGTTTCAGGGGTGACAAAACCTTCGCGACAGCCCCTAAGTGCTCACTACCAGCTTCTACGTGGTGGCTATGAAACTTGGCATAGAATTCGAACACTGTTGCAAAGCTACTGACACTAAGCCTAGGCTGCACATTGTTGTTTTTCACAGCAACCATACACAGCATGATATCCTTGCAGACATTGCATGATGATCCCCGATGTGGACGGGATGAAACACAGAAACACAGAACAGGACCCTGTCACATATGTATAAACAATTACTTGACTACTTAACAATTACAACATGTACGTGTAGTGTATGTCTACATGTAGTCATGGGTTAACTACATATCAGCATGCACTGCAATTCACTCAATTTGAAAGAAATCACGGTTCGCCTGAGACTCAGTTAGACTGAGTTTCTGCATTCGCAGGAACGCCACCACCCTGAGTCTCAACGATGAAGGCGCAGGCGCAGCTCCTTTTTAAGCTAAAAACGAAGATGAAAATAATACACAATCATTCTGGGGAATGAAAGTGGTGTTGGATGTAGCTGACCATCATGACACAGGGCCGGCGCCACTGGTACGGCCATGGCCGTACCAACTTTCCAAAAAGTTGGTCCACGTGGAACGTCCAAAACCGGGGAGAAAAAGTTTCGATGTATGATTTTGTACAGGGAGTCGCCTAGAGTGCAGGATTTGCCGTCTAAATCCAAAAAATTTCTGCGGGAGGACCCCCAGAAGAATAAAGTTGAAGACACCACTGCAGCTGTACTTATGGTTGATAAATATGGTGGTAAAGACACACCTGGCAGTATGGCGGTAAACACACGCCTGCCCACACACGCTCTCTAGGCTGCAAAGACATCCAAGAAGAAGATTGCCTGATGAGTCCAGCGGGGACGAAACGTACGTCGCAATCGAGCTATGTCGTTGCTGTGTCATCATCTATGTGCCATGCGCTACTTGATGTACCAGCCTGCTATGCCGGATACCGCCAGCCATGCATCGACCAGGCGCCAGGCGCGAACTGATGGTGGTGGTGGTGAGAAGGAGAGCTCTGTGCCAGAACTTTGCAGCCTAGAGAGCGTGTGTGGGCAGGCGTGTGTTTACCGCCATACTGCCAGGTGTGTCTTTACCACCATATTTATCAACCATAAGGACCCCCAGACCCCACTTAAAGATGGCCCTTCGGCCGCACCACTCCGCGGAAGCCGCCTCCGGCCCTGTGACACCTGATCAGATTTCATATTGCCTAACTCAACTCAACGAGCACTGAGAACAGCTCACAGTGCAGCAAAGGTAAACATGAATGTCATTAGAAACTTGAAAGTAACCGGCATGGCGGAGTCAAGCTACAACCTTGACTGGTAGAGGGAATCAGCGAGAGTCAACGGGTGTCAAACTACAGTGTACAAGCTTGGTTGGCAGATGATGTCACCGACGGTCACCGAGTAAGGACGTGGCATTGAGACATTGAACTTCCGCCAACACAAAAAGAGAGCAGAATTTCACTTATACAAGCGAAATTCTGAAACAAACACCTAAGTTATAAACTAACAAAACATGGTGCATATGGGCAAAAAGTTGCCAAAACACACATAGATTGTGTTAAAGCAGGTCAGCTAGGCGTGTGTGTGATAAATGTGTGTGATAAATACGTGTACATCCACAACCAACTACCAGCTGTGTGATGCAACTGACCAATTAGTCAAGAAAACTCTCGTCTCATAAACTACCTATGCAGAAGAAAGGCGCAAAAGTAAATACTAACAACATAGAAATCAAGATGCACAGCCCAACTTTGCACTACACTTCACTGTTGGAGCAGAACAGCAGTGTACAATATAATACAGGGGCGTTGGAAGGTATTTTTAGTGTGGTACGGTCAGCAATTTGAACTTACAGTACAATTTACTCGAGGGGAGGGGTTGCTGAGCCGAAAATGTTGGAAATCTAGAGCCAGATCAGTGTATTTTTATGATTCACGCGGTACCTGGGGCAAGAAGTGGTACGGTCAATACTGCAGTGACCGTAGCGTGTCCGACACCCCTGTAATAACTTAATACAGCGACGTTGTAGCGGTGTAGTGAACACCGACATACTATTGTTAGTGTTCACTACAGCGTGCCCACACTAGGCAGGCAGCATGTGTGAGCACTGAGCAGCCACGTAGAGCAGTGTTTATAACAGTGACTGAACCGGCGGCATGCATGTCAGTTTACCACACTATGCTTGCCCAAAAGAATGAAACTACTCTTCAACAAGCAAACTTGATAGCCGGCTCAAGAGTATTACAAACTGTGCAGATGTGTACAGCATCGCAAATCTCTTCCGCTTCCACTAGCTGCACGCCGCCTATACAATTGACAACTGTGTCACCGGTGGTGAACTCCTGTCACCAGCCTCATATCCTTGCAAGTCCTTCTCCCGAGGATCATACCTGTTCGCTAAGAGTATTGTACCAGTCGACGTGACATTTTCAGAACTGCTTCGACCGAGGTGGGCCGGTAAGGATGTGGAAACCATACCCAGACCAGAGTCAGCATCAGTATCAGCAGCAAACAGCATGACCGACGGATTGCTTGTTCCATTAGTCTCAGTATCAAGCACAGTCGTGAGCTGATCCTGCATACACAAGACAGTGGCCATGCATGCACACAACAAAAATAGGTGAGTGCACGTACACAAGGCTACCATAAGATGATGCGAGCAAGTTATGCATGAGAGATTCGTGAATTGCACCCTTAGCGAGTAGCGTCTTCAATCTTTAGACGTACATTTGATGCCAGATACCAGTGGTTGGGGGACTACCCGCAGGTTGTTGTGCACGGCCAAATCAAACAATCCCCCCCCCCCCCGGAATAAATACAAGTATATGTGTGTGCTGGCTACACTACTTCAGTAATCAGTAAAGTAGCCCCACTCCAATGCAGCCGACTCCCTGGTCTAGCAGGGATTGTTTTCAACGGCACAATGCACAATGCATAGTGAACTGCAGCCAGGTCACTGTCAGATGCAGGGCATGCAATAGCTCCCGGCAACGCAACAACGGGCAAGTATGACAATGAATTAATGATACTTCTATTGATTCGGCGAGCAGGAGAGAAATCCCATTGCCGTGCGTCATGCAATGGTCTGCAAGAAAGACATGCCTCCCCCCCCCCCCCCCTCACAGCTCAACACAGTGGGATAGACAAGTTCATACCTTGCTAGGTTCGCCATCTTCATCCAACGACTGCAGTGATGTCTTGCTGTTGCGAGACCTGGTGAACCGCGGGCTACTTTTGATTATGACAGGAGAGCTGGCAAGCAAAAGATTGCCAGCAACATCATCGTCGTCGTCATCATCATCGTCACCATCACCTTCTGCATACTCACCGGTAGCTTTGCCGTCGTTGCCACCACCATTTAGGATAGCAGAGCGCGGGCGGCAAAGTCGAGAGCGTCGATTGCTGCGAAACACACTGCCGCCGCCTTCAGAGAAGCCTGGTTTCGGTACAAAGGACATTGCCCGTGGCCTGGATAACATTGCCCTGGGATCCAGATCAGTGGGGAGTGAAAGGCTCTGGTTATGCGGAACGGGGCCTGGCGAGTGCTGCGCAGCAGTCGGTGATAGAGTAGCACGCCGCGGAGGGGCATCCTGGTCCAGTGACAAGTGCGCCAGCGACATGCTCCGCTTATTTCGTCCACCACCACCACCCCCACCACCACCACCAGGCTTAGTCCCAAACGTGTAGAACCGGCGTCTGTGACCAGTCGTGATCTCCAGTAACGTGTCCCGCGTAGCAGAAGATGACTTTAGAATCTCGCTCTCAATCCCACTCTGTCTCCTAGTCAGCTTCTGCTCACTGCTGTGTACCCCGTTTTTCTCTGCACTCTTCCCTGTCGTTGCTGTCGCGCTTTCATTAGCCTGTATCAGCAGATCAAGTGTTTTAAAATATGCTGTAGTTAGTTAGTGCTGAGTGCAGCAGCAGCATCATCATCAATCAATCATTGGAATTACTATCATACAGGGCCAAGGAGTGTGTAGGCCCGTCTGAATATCACCATTCCATTATAAGTCCACTTGCACTCATAGTCATTAAACATTATCATTATTCCAGTCATGTTTGCTCCTGTGAGCTAAGATGTTTGCTCCTAGTTAGCATTGAGATCATTTAGAAACACTACCAGCATTACACAATTATTGCTCCATTGTATTGCACCATTGTATTGCACCATCGTACTGGGGTTGATCAGCACTCGGTAACAGTTTAGATAGAAACACCGCACCTCGGAGTCAGAGAGATGAGGACCGCCACATCACATCAAACAAGTGGTGTGTCAATCAGCATCTAGCATAGCACAGTATGATTCTGTCCATTAGTCCTTCAGTTCAGTTAGGGCATGTCCTGAGTTAGAACCATCAAGGTACACTCAGTGCCATTAGCTGTTACTGAGCGCTACTGGCAGCGGCCATACTACAATTAGCCCCGGTTTTAAGTGTTTACCTACACCTGCATGCCGGATAGAAAGCAAGTATATTAGCAGCAGGCATGTGATGGTCAGCAGATGTCAATAGCACATTCAGACATTGCGCCAGTGTCGTGAAGTAAGTGCTGTTGGTTATTATCATTAGCAAGCGATATTGACTACAGGCAGCAACAGCAAGCGAGCTGATGATAATTACTTTGTTATCAGGTGTTGATTGTGGCTTTGACTTGGTGGTGCTGGGAGCTGGTGCCATCTCCAGACCGCCAAACATAGCCAGTGTCATTGCAGCAAGGTTAGTGGTTGCCTTTGGTGCCTTGGAGGTAGCAGCCTTGGCAGGCGCTACGACAGAAACCTGCGTGTGCACAAGGTTATAAACGATGCCATCAGCCATTACATCATCTGTTACACCATCCATTACATCATCCATTTCATCATCCATTACACCATTCTTTACATCATCCATTATATACATTAGCAATGTTTTTTTTGTTTTTTTTTACTGAATACCACAGTACCATCAGATGCTGCACAGCGTGTCACCCATTACAACTCAGCGTTGTCCTCTTCTGGACTAACTTCGTTCTCCTGAGTAAATTCACAACGCAAGTTGCCCGGCAGATCCAAGGTTGCACTTCTGTTTTCATGCCAAAAGTGGTCGATGAAAAAAGTCGCTCGTTGCTTGTTGTCTGGCATATGTTCTATTTGAAAAAGAAGTGGACGGCGCGATAAGTCGAGGGATAGAGCACGTATTTAAAGACTGTGCATAGCACACTCGTACTTAAAGACCGTGCATAGCACATACTCAAAGCTGTGCATACATTTTAGAAAGAGCAGGAGAGGAGTGGAACAACAGGCACCAAAGCTCCACGCTATTCGCGGCGCAGCTTCGGCAATGAGCTCTTGCTTCACACGTGGTTGGCAAAACCAAAGAAGGCCGTCCACGTGCTGCAATTTCTTTTTAATTTTTGTCCGAGTTAGATTACAGCATATGTGGCTGATCCCACATGCTCACACAGGACATACACACACCGGATATATTTCAAGTGGAACACCAGAGATTGAGAGAAAGGAGAGGTGGTGTACGTTTGTTGTACAATGAAACAGTGGAGCGAAAACTGGAGACTCGGGGATGACAACTTAATAGTCACACCCATTTTAAAAAGCGTGCAATTTCTGGATAGAGAAAAGTGCTACGCAGAATGTATCACTCACTGTTGGTCTTCGTGCAGATCCGGGTGAGCTGCTGGAGAAGAAAACCAAGCAAAGAAATGATAAGCACACAATTATCCTCTCATCCTCGCCGCCTCTATGACCTGCCAGAATGCAGAACACCATATTCTCACCGTGACACAACTCCCCAATAAACTGGCACAGACGCTTGGTGGGGGTGGGTTAGGTATACCATTCATTAGTTAGTACAACAGGCTCGGCAGGCTCGGAGCACTTGTTTCAGTGGCTTGGATTGCAATTTCTGAAGTCATACCATAGGGCAAATGCTGTGCAAAATGAGGCTTCGCTTTGGGACAGAATGTGCATGTTATGTGTTGCCAACATGCGTTCTTGCTGATTTCTCAACGATTGCTTTCGAAGGTTTGGCTTAAAGCTTACTGAATCACTTTGTACTTAGCTATACTTGTACACCTTGCCAGCAGTATTATTTCACATCAATAAAGAGACACTATTTGCCATTATTTGGCCTTCCTCAGTACGGGGACCAAAGGGTGAATGGGACTAGGAGAATAATGAGGATTATCAGAACACACACTTAAAGCGACTTGCACAGTCATACTGATTCGGATTACCGGGGTAGGAGTGACTGTACATCAGAATGTCACAAATGTATCTGGTCCCTCTTCTCGAGCTGTGCAATGTCTGACATGGGAAGATGCCCAACAAGGTCAATACAGCGGTCAAAAGAATGTGTACAAAAGCCGGTTGGCAGAACACAATCATACCCGTCTCCATTGAGTGCTGCTGTCCTGGACAAATCATTCATTGAGGTTGCTGGCGAGGGACTGATGAAATTCGTCTGTGCACAGAAGATAAATTATCACATACACACGCACACGGCAACAGACTGGATTCTTCGGGGCTGCTAGGCGTGACACAGCTCTCCAATTTTTTTGATATCCTTGAGCGGCAGAATTGACATGCCCGTACCTGCAGAACCTTGTTGCGACATGCCAAGCCATTGAACTCAGATCGCACTATACCTACTGCAATGCTCTGCCAGGCATGAGTCAGCATCACACCATCTTATTACAGTGTGTCTGTTTGTTGCACACGTATACACACCACACAGCAGTTGACTACATTATATCTACAAATATCATGTGCAGGGGGACTAGCTCACATGGTAGAGCGCTCGCTTAGCATGCGAGAGGTACCGGGATCGATACCCGGGTTCTCCAAGGCGAACATTTTCTTCTTTTCTTTTTCGCCAATACTAGACTACAGCTGTACTTTTGAGATTGGCAGAGGCAGTAGCGGTAGTGCGTTGCTCTACAGGACGTAAATCATAATTTTGTTCTATCCGTCCACATGGCTCTTGACGTATAGCGCAGTGTGGAATACCTACAGTCCATTTCAAAACTATAGACGCGTACCTAGGCAAAAACTGTTATGCCAGCATCTATACCACATAAAATCTGTGATCACTTTGTGCATAAATTTTTCCAAATTGGGCGTCTGTTATCCAATCCTTTAGGAACTATATGAGAGTAATTGTGGAGCGATCCTGAGCAATATTCCGAAAACTATTCTCAAAAAGTTCCAACCAAATTTGAAATATTTCAAAAACCCTAAGAGTCTATAGTTTTGAAATGCACTGTAAGGGCCGTTTCACACGAGGTATACATGGCTTTTCACGAATGGGTGTCTAGGCACAGTACACAGCGCGTGATTTCACACGAGTGTCGCAACATGCTTTTCAAGCAGCAGTTGCCATGGCAGCTTTGACCTGCCTCGCACAGAAGTCGTAAAATACGGAATCCGCACGCGAACGCGGGAGTTTTGAACACAAAATAATAATAATAATTATTAGTTTGGCAAGGAGATGTTCTCTCCCTGATTCTCGTTTTCTTTGATCGCCACAAGGAGAGAAAGATGAACGGACGAGAGAGGTTGCAAAGGATGGCGAGGCGTAGAAGGACTGCATTGCCCTCGCTTGTTCAAAGTGTAATTTCAAGTTTTTCTCTGGATTCAACCATCCTGAGCGGAACGCAGCATTGAGTTTCTCGGCGATCTCCCTTTCCCTCACAATACGCTTCACCATCTGGCCACTTTTTGACTTAGTCGGCCCACAACTCAATAAGTCTAGCCTCCAGGTCATCAGAGAATATTTGGCGAGGCATTGTCCGAAACGGAAGGCACAACCAGCAACCAGCAATGAAAGCAAACAGAAGCAAAAAAAGCAAACACGACGACAGATCACAATGCAAGGAAAACGAAGTTTGTCAGTAGAACGCTGGGTATATCCTGCTTTCTACACCCCTCCTGGTCTTGCTGAAAACGTACACGATGCGTTTCACATTTCGCGCCAAAGGTGCTCCATCTCCTAGGGAACATAACCGGAAACGTGACATGTACGCGATTTTGTACCTCGTGTGAAACGGCCCTAACTTCACGCGCCCACACATGTACACATGTATTGTCCACACATGATGGAGTATAGTGTGCTGGGAGACATGCAAAGAGCCATCCAGCTTACCTTGGTCGAATGCACTATGCTCTCCGGGTAGTACTTTTGCTGCATCTCCAAGTACCTCTCCTCCATTTTCTCATGCAGCGGGCGCACGGCCTCTGGAGCAAGGCGTGCATGCACTACCAGGCCATCACCCAGAATGATGATCTACAGCAGACAATCAGCAGTAGTAACAGAAACCCAAATGAAAATGACTGACTCTGGGTCCCAATCCACTAATTGTACAGCATCCCCCTCCCCCATCTCGCATTGCTTTGCCAGGACCTGCTTCTAGCAGCACTGCACATAAAAGCAAAGTAAAGTTAGCCCGATTCGAGTTTAGTAAGACCCAAGTGTTGAGAAACACTTTAACGCCCTTGCCACCAGCGGGCCACCACTACGCCCGACTCCCTAGTGGAAGATGCGGAGCACACGTGATTTCTGGGGGGGGGGGGGGGGGGGGGGGGGCTCCCTCAGCCCACTGGTGTGCACTGGCCCAATCACGCCATAGAGCACATCGTTGTTACCCTCACTGCATAGGTCAATACCATAGCGAAGGTCATACCTGCTCCTTGATCAATTCTTTCAGCCTTTCCACAAGCTTTGAGTCCTGTGGGTTTGATTCCTCGTACTCTTTCGACAAGAATGCCTACAACACAGCAGGGGCAAACAGACATGCAAAGCACATACATCAGCAGTGAATGAAATCTAGCTAATCTACATTGGCCCTGTGAGTCATGTCCATGGTGCTCAGTCACTGGGACGGCTCACAATCCTCGATGGTGTGACCTGGACACCGACCGTGTTTGCACTGTAGAGCTACATACGCATTTACTCATGCACATGCACTTAACCCCATGCTGCTGTCTTTTCGCGCACTGTACCTGTCACACACACACACGCACGCACGCACACACACACACACACGCACACGCATACACACACACACCACTGCCAGAAACTGATCATGTTGGTCTTGTGTTGGGAGAGGGGAAAGATTTACAAGAAACCTGGGAAAGATGACTCATTCGACTATTCAACCGCCCCATGGCCGACAACCCCCAGTTCTGAAAATAAGCGTACGATCTCCCTCTCCTGCTTGTTATACTGTCCTAGATACCAACCTCTTCATAAACAGCCAGTCCGCCCATCACCGCAGCGTCAATCACACCATTCAAGATCATGCTAAGCGGGTTAAGCTGCTCGGCGTTCTTCTCTGCCCTCGTCTTGCATTCTCGGATCTCTCTGTTCTTGAGCGCTATGCACTCTACCGCATTTGCAAGAGGAGAAATGTCAAACTGCGCAGAACAACACAAGGAGGCCAGAGTTAGAGAGAGTCAAGTAATACAATCATATGGAACAAAGCTACTGTTCAACCCATCAAGTACAGCCTGGAACCTTTCTGTTCTATCCATCAAGTACAGCCTGGAACCTTTCTGTTCTATCCATCAAGTACAGCCTGGAACCTTTCTGTTCAACCCATCAAGTACAGCCTGGAACCTTTCTGTTCTATCCATCAAGTACAGCCTGGAACCTTTCTGTTCTATCCATCAAGTACAGCCTGGAACCTTTCTGTTCAACCCATCAAGTACAGCCTGGAACCTTTCTGTTCTATCCATCAAGTACAGCCTGGAACCTTTCTGTTCTATCCATCAAGTACAGCCTGGAACCTTTCTGTTCAACCCATCAAGTACAGCCTGGAACCTTTCTGTTCTATCCATCAAGTACAGCCTGGAACCTTTCTGTTCTATCCATCAAGTACAGCCTGGAACCTTTCTGTTCAACCCATCAAGTACATGTAGAACCGCCGCTATTGATCATATTGTACTTCCTCCGCGTCATATTGTACTTCCTCCGCGTCATTAAAATTGTCGCTTCGCACATCGCAATATTTGTTACTTGGCTCGTTTCAGTCAGACTGTCGGAATCGCTGTTTTCTGTGTTCAAACACTGGTGCGACCCTTCCTGCGCAATGTCTACTTGTTACTGAAGCCGTGGTGGTCTCGGCCTTTGTCGGAGCTCTCTTCCGCACCAAGCAAATTCATCGCGCTCCGCACTATTCCGCCCCAGAGCCCATTTCGTTTTCTGGAGTTCGTGCTGTCCCACATCATTCGAGTGGGCTTTTATCAAGACTGAAAGCTCGGGTATAAGAACCCTGGTATCTCTCCTGAATACGAAATGCTGAAGTTGACGATGGCAAGAACAAAGTGGTCTCAAATTCCTAAAATGCGCTACTTGTGGCGCATGTTGCTGCGAAGGTAGCAGGTCTGAAAACACCGACAAAATCAGCGAAGCGCTTGCCAAGGAAAGAAGGTGCGGAACTGCTTACCCTATCCCACTGGAAGGTCGTTACAGTGTACTTGAAAAATGCTAGCTTGCCTTCATCGCCTGCCACCTGGAGGCATGGATCGCTTGAAAACGAAGTTTCTTGACCTGAATTTGAACGTGCGCCTTCTTCAGCGTATTGTTGAGTGCTGAAGGGCCTGCCTCAAAGTCTGATGAAGACGTCAACCTTAGCTGCAAGTGCAGCGAAGCGGGAGGCCACAAACTACAGTCCATTCATAAAAAAATGGGTCCTGGCTCTGGCGAGCTCCCGTATTTGGCGATTTTTCGTGATTTCATCGTACACAGTGCAGTGCTGCGAACTTTGAAATTTGAAAAAGGGTCCAAAAAGGGTGCCTGAACTGGGGTTCGAACCGCAGAATGCACTGTTGCAGGCGGGGTCAAACGGCCTGGATTTTGATGGTTTTTCCCAATTCAGTGCTTTTGGGGCAAAACCTGGCCGAAATCCTATTCTTGCTATGGCTTGCTTTTTGGACAAAAAAACTTCAGAAACATAATTGGAAGAGGATTCCATATGGGATTGCAGAAAAAAATTCTAAAAAAACTCAACGTTTGACCCATTTATGGCCAAAAGCTAGAAGTTCATTTTTTTCTGAATGGACTGTAAAGCTTGGTCCGTCGACAATGCTCTGCCTCAATTTCTAGCTGATTTCTTTGCCCTTCGAGTGGACAAAATGAATTCGAAAATCGCTCTGGGAAGTGACAATTTTAATGACGCGGAGGAAGTATATGGAGCCGGTAAATCGAGGCCCTGAGTATTGGGGTCGACTTAAAACCGGTAAAATACGGTATTTGACTCTCAGGATCTCATCAGAGATATTATTAGGTCAGTTTTATGAACCGGTTGCAAACACAGCAAGCAAGCCTCTGAACCACCAACCAGAGAAGGCGTACTGCCATTGACTTACAGTTTCTCTATGGCTGACAGGAGACCAATGAAGAAGTCCAGGCAATGGTAGCTCAGTGGTGTAGATTGTACGTTCAATCCACATGTCCTGCACAGGCACAGATAGTGCACCAGTCAACCATGAACCAGGAACGCAAGGCTGACAAGGCTAGTGTAACAATGCATGCCACTGCACAAATATAAATGTTCTGCTGGGGCTGTAATGCCTCATGTGTTATGTGCGGATATGCCTGAAGACTGCACGATTGTTGGCGTATCTTCTCATTAACCTATGAATTTCGGAAAATCGGTACATTGCGACTCAGTATAATACCATGTCTTACAGTACACAAGTCTACACAATGAAGTACATACCGCAAAACCTTTCTTTTCGCCCTTTTGCACAGGCCGATTGAGAGTGAACGTCTCCACATTGTTAGCAGGCGGTTGGCTGCAGTCAGAGGTGCACAGCAAAGAGTGAGGGTTGAAGACGTGTACATAATTTACATATCCATTACCTCTGCTATCATTTCCAGCTGTGATACACTCAACGGCCAAAGCAGGCATGTTGAACACGGAGACAAACAAACTCAGGTTGATGCATTCTCTTCAGTCAAGGCCATAAGCTTCTGTAGGAGCTGTGTTTATTGACTTGAGTTACTGCACATGTACTTCACGTGTACTCCAAGTGCTAGTCTCCTGGTGATTGTTTTTCAGCATGAAGCTCTGAGTCGAGATATGTTTTTTTTGTTCCACCGGGTGTTTGTTCGCATTGATTCGATTGAAGCTCTGCATGTCATGCATCCAGCACTTTGGCCCGTAATCAAGGTTCTTCTGAGGATTCCTTCTTAGGTTGCTTGGTCCCCTGAACAGAAGCGAGACGTTTGTACACGTCACCTACATGTATGTTCAGATCCCGTTCCCCAAACGCAGGCACTCAGTACAGGTGAACCGACTGTGCCAGTAAGCATGGCATAGGCAGACTGGATTTCAATGCCACTCAACTCCAGGCACGTTTGCACTCACTACGCACCGATCTGGAGTTGTATGCACAGATGGGTAATGAACTATTCATACAAGCAGTAGGCATTCCGACTCGCCCAGTAGGCATACGCTGGAGCCATGCAGTATTGCCGCCATAGCAGTTATACTACACACACTCACCTTGCATACACTGACGCACGCTCCAGATCTCTGAGCTGGATGTTGGGCTCAACCTTTGACAGTTGAATAACTGAATGAGTGGAATGTCAAGGAAATCAGCGACCTCCAGTAGGACGGAATCTCCTACTACCAATTACGCGATTACTCGATTTTAAAACATGCAGGCAGGCAGGCAGGCATTGTGGGATGGTCTAAGACCAGAATTGAGAAAAAGAGGGTACCAGGTTCAAGTCCTGCTTGGAAGCGGAAGGATTTTTTCCAGCCGTGCTGCGACCCACAGTTAATTGGGAACTCGTGGCCTGGCACGAGGGAAGCATGGATGCAGTGAATGGGATGTTCAGTCTTTGACCACTTTGCTGGGTCTGATCTTCTCACCTCCCACCGCTTTTGGAGCCGCGTCTGTGCCTTGATCCTTGAAGGGTGGTGGCGTTCCTACGGATGCGGAAAACTCGGCCTCTAGCCGAGTCTGCCGCGAACCGATCATTATTAATATTTAACATCCCACTGCACGCACAGACATTGAAGACAAGGTTTGGGCTAGACTGGAACTCACGCGGGGGAAATGGGGTTAGGCTTACACCCAGGCCACTACATGGTAGGACGAATGTGGAGGGGGCCGCTAACAAGGTTAGGCTTACACCGCACTTCCACATGGTAGGACAGATGTGGAAGTAGGCTGCTAACGGGGTTACGCTTACACCCGGACATCTGCATGGTAGGACGAATGCAGAGGGGCTGGTAACCTGGAGTTGGGTGTCAGCTCAAAGGCTTACGGGGTGCTTTGCAGCCACCCACTCCATGTGAATGCCACCCTTTCCGTGAGTTCCTTATTTATTTGTGACTCGGATAGTATGTAGTAATGAGTACTGTGATACTAGTACCACGCCAAATTGGGTGGGTTGGGATGGGGAAAATTTGGCAAAGAGCTAGTGTTGGAGCAAACAGCAAGTGAGAGTGGTAAGCAACAACAGGAACAAAGAACACGAGTGCATGCACATATGGGATCAGATGCGCTGGTAGGTTCAGCTGCCGACAGAGCTAGAGGGGGAACACGCTTCCGCGTGGCGCGAACCGTGCCCGTGTCACGTGCACAGCGGTGTGCGTGGGCAGCTCAACGATAGCGCTACGGGTAGATGTGGAATGCAGTGTGAAGTAGCGGCATCGCTACGGGTATATATGGAGTGCTACGTGCAGTAAACGCAGGCGGGCACGCGCTGAGAGAGCGTTACGTGCGTGTTAACTACAGTTAATACTACGTATAAACTGAGGTTTATAATGATATAAGCCGTGTGCTGTTCCTGAAGATAGAAATGGGCTGATTGATCAGCAGGACAAAATAATCGTTCGGTTGGAATCCTAACCATTCTCCAGCCCTACAAATTGCTGGATCACCGTCCACTCCTACATGCACAACACTGGATCATTCAACCACCAACCACTAATGTACACACAACATCACAACATCACAAGAGGAGGGGTTCGCTGTGATTGACAATGGGAAGAGGATACACATGCCTTCCTTGTATTCATACTCGGCATCTGGCTCTGTGTTGAAGTTCAGTATCTACAGAGACAGCAGTTGAAACAGGACACAAGATGGTACATGTACATGTGAACACATTTCAAGAATGTTGCGATGGGTAAATACAGGAACGACTAAGAATAGACCGTATTTTCTGGAGAATAAGCTGTACCTTAAAGGCTTAAACAATCATAATTCACCCAAAAAAGCTGGTGCGGCTTACGTTACGATGGCCAAATGAACCGTGAAATACGCCCTCGGTGGGAAGTATGTGGTTGGCTCGCGGCGGGCTGGATGATATAGCCCTTGGTGGGCAATGCGGCGTAGACCGCGGCGAGCCTGTCCTTACGCGGGTCTGTTCTTTCATCGCAGGCATGCATCTTTACTCAATCACTCAATCGATTATTATCAAAGAGCATATTCTTGAATAGTTGAATTGTCCAAAAGAAGTCATGGCAACTCCCAACCTAATGTGCCCATTGTATGTTTGTGCATGGCCAGCCCGGCTCTTGAATACAACATGCCATTGATGTTGTTCGGGTCAACCACCACCGTATCGAGAAGTGGTTGGGGCGCAGACAGCCGTGGGATCTTCACCCAAAAAAGTAGCACAGATGCGTATGACCTGTATCCTGATGTATTACCTCAGTTTACCTGATGTGCTTGATCTTTGCACATGCATGCCTTCATACGGCCCATGAACAGTATTTCCTCCTGCTTCCCCATAACCTGTTATCTGCTGGTTGCTCCACTACCTTATTGCTCTTCCTTATCTTGCCGTTCATGCGTGCACTTTGAAATACATTATCCTGCTGTTCGCGAACTATTACAATGAATAGACAGGCTCAATGTCACTACACTGACCGAGGCACTTGGGAAGCTGGCAAGTAGCAGGTGCGTGAAGTCGGACACATGCTGAAACTCGCGTCCACGAAATATGAATTGCTTGCCCTGAGCAGCACACACACACAAACGAAAAGCCATCGTGTTGTTTGTGATTCCGATTACTGGTACCGCATCAGCAGCAAATAAGTGCCCAGACAGTAACAAATTTAATCATAAGCGGTGGAATCCGAAAGGGATCAAGTCTGTTATACTTATAATCATTATAACGATAACACCAGCAGTACTATTTCCAACACAGCATGTGAGTAACAGTTGCATGTAATTGCAGCTAGCAGAAGACAAGCAGCCTCCTCTGATGCAAACCTACCTTCATGAATGATGGCGCCTTTGTACCGTAGAAGCCGACGCGGAAGAATTCACTGACTGGACGGACCTCCTCCACAATCTTGCCAAACAGATCTGCTATTCTTTGCTGTTCACAATAGAGGCAAGCGAAAAGAGAAAGGGACATTAACAATGTGGGTGTTTGCGCGTGGGCGTGCAAATTACTGCGGACAAGGGGAGCATTGTTCACCACCACCACTAGCAGTGAAGAGTGAAGAGCATTTAGCATATTGGCTTTCCTTGCTATAGCCACTCACAGTTCATTGAAATTAATATGATTCAGTCTGCTAAATCAAAAACCTCCAAAATAGAGGTGCACTGGCAGCTGGTATGCACCTGATGTGATATTAGTCATGAGGGCTTTTTAAAAGTCGTTTTGTGCTGGTCAGTCAGAAAAATATATTTTACTGACTGACTATGAACAGCACAAAACACAGGTATCTTGTGACACATTGACAGACCAGTATGCACGGATCTGGAAAATCCCGAATCGTGTTTGTGCCGTTTGAGACTAAATGCTTGAGACTGTTGCTAGCTAGAAGCATGTCCCCGGTCTCTGAACAGAAGTGCTGAAGGCGGAAACATGACTGGCGGATGCAACAGAACTGCAGGTCAACACTGCGATGTCAGTAAGTGCGTATACTACTCGACTGCTGAGTGTACATAAGAAAAGCCGTGGCAGCAGACTGCAGGGGCAATTTGGAAGAACTATTATGTACGGGTATAATAGAATAGCATTCATACAAGTGTGCACTGGCAGTATGATCACATGCATACTCACGTAGATTGGAATCAAATCTTTGTACTGGAAGGTGACAAGTTCATACTGATCGGCTAGTTCTTTGCAGAGCGGTATAGCCTCTTCGTAGACCTGGCAAGCAACCATCGGCACATGTACACAACCAAACAAGTGAAACATTTGTCCCGGAAGAGCTACTTAGCAGTACAAGGTAACGTTATTACTACGCAGACCTCTGTTCCTCTTTGAAGCGGCAAGCGAGTCTTCAACAAGCAGATGTATCTACCGTTTGACCTTTTCGGTCTCTGTGCTGATCGTGCCTGTCAGAACAAGGTCAAATCTTGCTTGAGTATGTTGGTATATCAGCACAATACGGGAACAAAGTGCAGGAGACTTAGACAGAAGAACGCTTGCAAACACCTTCTACAATCCTAGCGCCCGATCCATATCAATTATCAATTACATCTGCACAGCTTAAGTTCTCATTAGCCCACAGGTTTAGCTACAGATCTTCTTTAGCCCTTGAATAACTCGAGTGAAAGCTACTCAAGGTAAATAGGTAATCAGTAGTGGTGGGTCAGGACAGGACTGCTGGAAGCAGTTTTTGATTGGTCCGCCGGTCACACCGTAGCTAGCCCTTTCATAACTAGTGTACGGTAACGGGTACACATACCCGGTAACCTCCTCAGCAGTAAACACGCGTTGATAGCCAACAAGTTGATCTGGTGTTGACCTGACCAATTGGACCGGTTCCCGCGGGCCTGTGTGTGGACGTGTATCGTCCATTATTACATATGCAGTGTATTTAAAAAAAGTGAGTAGGCGACTTACCTTGGCCTTGTCAAAGAAATCAATGATCATCTTGTAAAGATGGATCTTCAGCTCTAGCTCCGTCTTCGCTGGTGGCAAATCAGGAAAGTCGCATTTGACTGTCACTGCAATGTCTTCCCACTAAGACAATGGTCGCCACACAAACAGAGAAACAAACCCAGGACTGAGCTGCACCTCTACGACCCTGGCACTGGCTACTCCTGTATGACAATGTATGACAATGTATGACAATGTATGACAATGTATGACAATGTATGACAATGCACAAAGCAAACCTGACATACTGTGTCACAACAGTCATGGTTTACGCCAGAAGGCATGCAGCATGCACGCACATGTGCACACTTGAACACGTACTAGTACCATACCTTTAGTATCTTAGCATGGTTGAGCAAGGAAAATGCCGCCTCGGAGTAGTTGTGGGCAGCCAAGTGGAACTTGGCTAAACGATAGATGTACCTGACATGAGTAAGGCACAAAAGAAACCCATCAGTCATATCAGTTGTAAACACCGGTGAAGGCACACAATGCAAGACAAGCTGTGCTTGAAACTGTGCATGCACTGCTCGATTGGACCGCTAGTGAAGACTGTAGCCATGATACTCATAACTGTACGCAGCTTCCCCCCCCCCCCCCCCTCTCTCCTTTTGACGGGAGATTTTGCTGAATACAGGTATCAGGAACATTTAGAGTTTTATTTCCTGGCGAATGGTGTTGGCGTGTGTTAGTGTCTTCACCTTCGAGTGCGGAGAAGAAAGCAGCTGACAAATTGATGGCAGCTCACCTGGTTGCTCTTCTCTCTTGATCTGTCTACACTACATCGAAATCGCTGTGCTTGCCCGAGGCAATTAATTCGAAGAAGTTTGAGGAGATTTGCACACTCCTGGGAGGCTATTTCAAGAAGAGTACTCCTACAACTGCAGCATTTCAGTTTCGTCAGTCTGTTCAACTCCCTACGGAATCTGTCATCGATTATGGAAACCGTCTGAAATGTTTGGCAGTCGATTGTGAGTTCGGCTCACACAGAGACCGAGCTCTGAAGGACCAGCTCATCACGGGAATTCAAGAAGTTGATGAGCACTGCGGAGCCGGAGATGAAGAGTTTCGAAACGGTGCTGGAAATTGCTGTCAAAGAAGAGCTCGCCGTGGCATACTCGAAGGAGTTATCTCTCTCTCTCTCTCTCTCTCTCTCTCTCTCTCTCTCTCTCTCTCTCTCTCTCTCTCTCTCTCTCTCTCTCTCTCTCTCTCTCTCTCTCTCTCTCTTGTATTCATAAATATATGCGAGAGGTGCTTTCATACCTGTGCATGAACTATACGCGAGTGCTGCTTTTGGCCTATGCGCATCGTGTTTACACGCCCTTGGTATGCCTGTCGGTGCACCGCCGTGCAAATATGCTTTCTCCACACCTTCCATCCTTCCATACACGGACCCAGTGCCTGGGTACTCGGCCATACGTTGCTTGTTGCAGCTCTTCTCTCTTCGCTTCTTTCTTCTTCTACTAGCTGTCGTTTGTTTTCATAAAAATAAAAAAGTTTGCAAATCCTAGCTGAGGTGTTTGTTACAACGACATTGCCGACATTACAGCTGAAGACGGCGGCAAGCATAACAAGCATAACAAGCACCACACCAACAAACACTGATCACATGATAGAGACAGTGAAGGTTAGCAGCAATACCCTACCTGATGTACATAGCATCCCGCTGCATCTGCTTGTAGTATTGCTGAACACCGTACATGCATGTGCAAAAAAGCACACACACACACAGTCGGTAAGGGCTAAGAAATGGATTATACACTGGTAAAAGCCATATCATATAATATATAACGAAGTGCTAACTCTAACGAGTTAACGAGGAGAAATCTGTCGTTAAAATAGTTGTTATACAGGAATCGATACATATACTGTCCTATTGAGCGTTGAGAATTAGTGAGAATCGTTACCTTTGGTACACGTAAACTACAGTCAACTTCGCTTATAACGACACTCGGCGGCGGGGCATCACAAATGTGTCCTTATTCGCGAAGTGTCGTTATACCCGAAGTCTCATCATATGTATTACAGTTGGATGGGACTTTGCTCTGGGCATGGAAATTCTGTCGTTATTCGCGAATTGTCGTTATATCCGCAGTCGTTATTAGCGAAGTTGACTGTAGTCAATTTTAGGAAATCGTTATATATGCGCCTCGTTAGAATAATGGTTTTTACAGTACTAGGAAAATGATGAAACATGCATGACTGATACACACATGTGAATTCTCCCTCTATCCACACAGTGATCAATACCACACTGGGCAGAGCAAAGAAGGCAGAACGAGGTTTTGCATGCAACCCAAGTTTCATGCTATGCAATCCTCAGTAAAAATTCTAACATTTTAAAACAGCAAACGCCGTGGAAATAGGCTCTTATATGTACTGCAAGGAATTTGCAAAACATGGTTCTGCCTTCTTCGTGATTGGTATACATGCAAATATGTATACAAACATGTATGCACAGGCACTCCTGCAATACAAGCAGCTGGGTTTTTTCCATTTATTACACGAACCATCAAGTTGATAATTGCTTGCATCCTTGGAATCATGTGCTCGTCTCCGTCCGGGATATTGCTACGACATGGCACAAATTCACGAGACAAGAAGAGAGGAGAGGAGAGGAGAGATAGATAGATAGAGAGAGAGAGAGAGATTAATTAGCAGAAAAGTACTAGAAATTCCTGCTCAAACAACCAGACACTTTGCACACTGTTTTCATCAGAAACTGGAGAAAACAAAAACTAGTCAGAGTGGCTTACCGAAGATCAAGTAGCCGCTCTAACAGCATAGTGCTGTAGTCAACAAATTCCATGCCACCAGCGTCACGCAATGCCGCATCCTGTAGGCAGCACTCCTCCATTCTAAAACACAGCCACACAGTAAAGTTACAAGAAGTGATGAAACTGAGATGATGCAAGGTTGATACCATACCGGTAAGTGCACAATGCCAGCCATGCAGTCAACTTACAGCGCATCCATTTCTGCCTGCTTTAAATTTCGAATGCAACCTCTGATGTTGGTGTTGATGCTTTTGTGCCAAGTTCTTATTGCAGATATTGAAAGAAAATCTATGTTTGTTGGTTTAAAAACACTGGTGATATGCTCACTAAAGCGCGAGATAAGATTATATCGACTTCAAATTGAGCTACCACGTGCAGCCGTGCGATGACCTATCTGCAAACACCACCAGACGTCAGACAGCTGCATTGCACGCACACACACACACACACACACACACACACACACACACACACACACACACACACACACACACACACACACACGCACACACGCACACACGCACGCACACACCCAACACATGTACAACAAGCTATCCGAGCAGCTACAAAGTGCAAGCAGAAGCAGGCGACATCATATCACCCAATAGAACTACGTGTACCCTCTTCTAAATTCAACATAGTCAGATGGACTGTGCAGGCAGATGAACTGTGCAGGCAGATGAACTGTGCAGGCAGATGAACTGTGCAGGCAGGTGGAGGAAGAGAGATGAATTTAACATGACAATGGCAATAACGGCAGCATTGCTTAGCATAGCAAAAGCAAAGCCCAAAGAAAAGACTAATATTCAACTCACATGTTGTGCATATGTTCTCTGTAGCTGTTGTCGCCCATATCATGGATACTGACAAAGTCGTCCAGTTTGTCCACCAGCTCAGCGCATACCTAACACATACAAATGGTATACAGCACACACACACAGACACACAGACACAGCCACAGACACACAGACACACAGACACAGCCACAGACACACAGACACACACACACCCACACAGACACCCACCCACAGACACAGACACAGGCACACACACACAGGGACACACAGGCACACACACAGGCACACACACAGGCACACACACAAGCAAGCACACACACACGCACACGCACACCTCAGACCTCAGACCTGCCCATCGCGGAAGCGATGATAGCAAACAGTTATGTTAGACATAGCAACTTGTGCTGGGATTACACCATTCAACAGCTTGCAAGGCTGATGAATTGACCGCCACTATTTGTACCACTGCCCAATGCCATCGTGCCAGTCCTCCATCTGAACTTGGGTATATTCGGCTGGATGTTTGAAGCTATGCTAAAGGACTTCCGTGAGCTGGACAAGCTCTTGGCTAGCAAGGTCCATTCAGCACGCGATTTCACCGTGCCTCTCGCAGTAAAATTCAAAAACTGCACTCAGGACTTCAGTCACGTTTGCATCAACGGTTGCACCAAAAGTTGTTGGTGGCGCAAGGAGAAGCTTATTGTTTGGAGTGACAAGTGATCACCGTTGCTTTTCCTTATCAGAGTCAACAATACACTTTGTTCCGTAGCGTTGGGAGTAGTGTTGGAGTAGAAATTGCTGAGGAGACGTCGCGGAGGGGCGAGCTTTCCTGCGCAGGTATGAGTATTTTAGCATGGTGGAGTGGAAAAATTCCAAAAAAAATATTTCAAGAAAACCAAGAACGAAGATGGGGGACAAGTCCTCAGTGCAAGAAGAGGTGGGGACGTAGCTTGCTGTTTTATCAGCGCCTGTAAATTGGCTATTTTCAAGACGATCATTCGTGGTATCAGAGGCTGATGACCCTCGTCTTCTGGGATGCTGGCATGGCTAAGCGGTACTGCACCAGGAACTTTTTTAAGGCGAGGCAATGTTGGCTTGATGGAGTTTTGTTTGTAGCTCGCTCGTGTACGATGTGGTGTGACGATGTGGTGTGACTAGTTTGTAGACCCAATAATCATGTGATTATTCGACCATTTTTTAGGGGTATGCCAGTTTCAAGGTTTCCTTCAGAAACTTTTTCAAGGGCTTTACACAGTCGACCTACACCCCAAAGGGAACCTACCTGCAAATTTTGAGTGAAATCGGAGAGATCGATTTGCACACATACTTTGGTATTCTCAGACATGCTCTCTTACCTGCTTTACCCTGTGTTTTTCATTATTCCCTCCGTTTTCCAACAATTCCACTTATATTTGCAATTTCCTGTGTACAATCCCATAAACCCGATTTTCGACAAAAATCGCAGCCATTATTGTTTATTGGCCGCGTACGAACAGCCGTGCGTGGCTCGTTTGTAGACCCATAAATCATGTGATTCTTGGGCCATATTCGAGGGGTATGCCAGTTCAATGTTTCCTTCAGAAACTATTTCAAGGGCTTTGCACAGTCGATCTACACCCCAAAGGAAATCTATCTGGAAATTAGAGCAAAACCGGGGAGGTCGACTTGCACACTTTGCTTTGTTTTTTTCGGACATGCTCTCTTAATTCCAGAAGTAATACTGTTGCATACTATAGTCACCGACTTGTAACGGTGTGCATGGACTTCGTTTGGCCTCACATACATGTACGTCCACTCTCCAATCTCGATCCACATCTTTCAGCTTTCAAAAATAGAACCAAATCATAAACAAGTCTAAAAGGGACTTGACTCACCTGCTGGAAATCTCCGGTAGCCGCAAGTTCACACGATATCATGTTGATGAAGAGCGGTATCACCAGTCTCCGCAGCTCTGACCAGACACCATGAGCAATGAACAAACACACACACCCGCAATCGGATATTCGAATCATGGCATGTGTTTAGTCAGATAAAAATCCAACAATAGCAAGAATGTTAGAGAAGTGCTACGCAGGCAAAGAAAAAGAGATTCGTAACAATAGGATACACACTTCGTGACCTGTGATGTAAGCTGGACCAACAGAATACTTCTTCCGCCAATGGCGCAGAATGCGCAATGTAGAAGTTCGGATGTGGATGTGAATACCCTGTGCTTACCATGCTGCTTTAGCAGTGAGATCTTCAGGAAAACACCGGCCAGAGATGGCACGAATGACAACTTCTGGGTCATGTCTATGAAATCAGAAGAAAGGCAGCAGCAGCACTATTTTTTTATTACTGTCCCATGGCACAAGGCCGTTGGGGCACAAAGAATGTGTGTTGCTATTTCGTCGTTGTTTTTAAATTTGACGGGTTCTCCAAAAGCAAATGGATGCTTATCGGGGGTCTCACAGAGTTAGAATGCAAATTGTGGATAATAGAATGCCAGACAAGAGGTAGGAAGATGAACATTATTCCGTCAACAAAAGAATCAAGAAAATAGAGAATGAGAATTACCGTATTATCCCCGATTATAAGGCGCACTCGATCATGAGTCGCACCCCCACTTTCAGGTTTGAGTCACATTGTCATGCATATAAGGAGGATGTCACAGCCGCTTGTAAGTCGCATCACCTTCTTTGCCCTTGAAAGGGCCACACATTTCTTGTGTTTTTCTTCGGGGACTACGATTTTCAGACAAAGTCGTAGGGTTTGGCTGGTTCCAGCGGAGTTCAGTCTCCATTGCCTGTGCCCCAAGCGTAACATGGACACTCCACCTGGAAAGCCGTCCGATGGTGAGCAAGTTTGAACACTGGAAACACTAGCTGCCGACCATCCGGCATTTGCTACAGCTAGAGATGTGTATAACAGAGTGAAGGAGTTCAATATAGTCTTGATGCCTGCGATTCTTCCAGTGGTTGTTGCTGACAGTATAATTCCAGCCCTGCTAAATGTAGATGTAGTTCTCACCCTCTCTCGAAGTATTTCCTTTCTTCAACAAGGGCAGCTAGCTCAAGGCTCCCTTGCTAGCATCACTTCAAAGCGTTCATCACCGCGGCGCGGCCAAGGGGGCTGCACCACGTTTTACTTCTGTTTCGGCATAGAAATGACAAATTAAACATTTTCGCAACTTTTCGGCGAGTGTGTGAAGTTTTGTACAGTGAACGCCATAATAATTATAAACGATCCATTGTGTGCGACAAGCGTGCCCAGTCTGGCTTACCGAATTGCTGCCACTTGTCCACTACCTCCTTGCCAACTTCCACACGGATGTCGCCATGCCTGCATTCGGTCACAAGATGTTGAGAAAAAGTTGACAACACTGGCTGCAAAGAGGACTCTTGAGAAACATCCCCACCCAGCAATGAGTACAGTCCCGTATACTAGTAAGCCTCTACTTTAGTCACGGGTTGGCCACTCCGCTCGGCTGTGCATTATGGCAGATTGTCTACGTTTCGCGGCTCAATGAATCCACAGTACTTTAAAGAACCTCTATTTTACAAAGACGGCTCTAACAACAGTAAAGCGCCAGTACTTGTACTGCACACATTTGCTACCCATGGTATGCTGCTACGAACTTTGGGCATTATGAAAATAATCAGCGCATGTGGATCCAAAACCATCGCACACACCCATCAGATCGGGCAAGCCGAATGCTGCACATGTCATTTACACCTATGGTTCTAGAAGTATGGCGTGCCCTTTACTCCTGGCGTCACTTGTGAATCACCGGCTAAGTGTTAGCAGCAATCTGTAGCTGCTGGGTAACAATTCCCACCATCCAGTCTAAGAACATACTTAGCCAGGAAGTCATATTGCTGGGCTGCTGGTAACTTATCCAACTGCAGGGCCGGTGCGCATGCAATGTCCATGAGCAAGTTGAACAGAGATGTCCATAGCTGAACATAATACAAAAACACACACACACACGCACACACACATACACGCACACATGCACACATGCCCATTCGTACTCACTCCTGGCAGAAAGTGATAAATTGATAACGTGGGTCTCTCCTGGGGGGGGGGAGGGGGAGATAGAGCTCAGAAGTCCATAAGCATTTACAACAGCTCTCAAGTATACTCAGACCAGTTCTTGTTTATTCTTTCACCTCTTTTCTTTTTATTACTTTTCGATGTTCTAGTCTCGCTTGTCTCTTCTGGATTTATTTCTCACAATGGTGTGGCCACTGGATTTACTTCTTACAATGATGTGGATTTACATAGGAAAGTTGCTCCCCATACCGGAGCTCGCGCTTTTCTGCCATGTGGCAATTCAGTCGGCGGAAAAGCGCAAGTTCCGGCGGGGGACCATCTTTTCGCATGAAATCATCGTCGAAGTCGCTACTACTATCTTGTGATGTGGATTTACTTCTGATGAAATAAAATGAAGTACTATCATCACACTTGACACGAGGAAGGTGGGGGGGGGGGGGGGGGGGGGAAGGGGGGGGGGGATATACAAGCAAATGTGGCTGTGGAAGCATACTGCACATGTCCCATACTTTAGAAATGACAACACACAGGTGATTAACGAGTTCACCGGCATTGCAGGAAGATATAATATGTAACACACACACACATGTAGCTACAATCTTAAAAAACTTCCCCGTAAACAACAGAGAGCATTGCTACGGGTGCAGTGTGGCGGGCCATACCGAAACGGAGAATTTCCTTTCACGGTGCAAGACTTCTTGCATGGATGTCGAGAAGCACTTGGTAGCTTTCAAAAACACCCTGCGCAGCCAGCCAACAAATTTGACACGATCACAGACACAAAGCAACAGGTCAGTTGTGTGCATACGCATGACACACTGCTGTGCCAAGTCAGCTGTGAAGCATGTACCAGCAAGCAGCACACTGCCACCAGGACGGTGCACTCCGACACAGGAAAAAAAAACCCCACTTCTACTGGGGAAAAAAGTACATGGAGTCATGAGGCATCTATTTCAGTGCCGTGACATCTCACTTGCAACACTGTATGTGGCTTAGCATACATACACAACACATCTGTATCCATGTTTGCTAAGACAAAGTATTAAACGCGGTATGGCGAAAGCAAGTGTGTAGTGCAGGTGGCTAGCCATACTTGCACACAGCAATCTGCATAGCTGCCCAGTCGTTTGGAAACGGACTCTTCTCCAGAACTTTGCGCAGGGCGTCAAAGAACTCCGTCAAGAACCCCTGCATTGCCATCCACCCATGCACGCACACGCATATGGACATACATGTACACACAAAGAAGCACGCACGCACATACACCACAAGGAAAACATATGATTAAACACCAGTAATTCACCCAAAAAATCGGTGCGGTTTATAATACGATGGTGAAATGAACGGTGATGAATAAGGTAAATGTCTGTATTTCGTAACAAACCTGGGTTATACTCCAGAAAGTACAGTAACTTCAGTAAATTGGTCATACTACTGGTGGACAACTGCAGATAATTAATGAAGGCGAAGGCAGATCAGCGTGCACCAGGGAGTCGTAAAATTACGGCTCCCTGGCACGTGCTATTTACTGGCCGTCAGTGGACTTAGTATAGCACTCGCACAAAAGCTGGGCTACAGGCCCTATCATCCTGATTCATCCCAACACCAGCAAGCCAGCAGTGCATGCATGAACTGACTATTGCCATCCCACTTAGGCCAGAGTGGGCTTGATCCCCTTACCTCGGCCTTCTCCCAGCTATCAAAATCAACCAGGTATTGTTGATAGTGGCTTTCCGTCATCAGGTCGAGGAGTGACGAGAAAAGTGTAGCGGCAGTCTGACGCAACAGAGCAATAGAAACAGCGCAGGGATGATTGGTGATCGCGTAAACACACACAAAGCGATGGTTCGTGACGGTGCCCAGTGCCCACACATACACAGCGATGATTGGTGATGGTACAAACATAATGCAAAGAAAACATTCAACTTGATAACACTACACTTCTAACTAGCAGTTGCCAGCAACACCAGTTCCCCAGGCAAGTCACAATGGTTGTGAATGAGATCCCAGTGTGCAGAATACTAGTGGCAAGCAGAGACAATCATGGAAGACAGCAAACGGTGTGCGTAATAGAGAACCAAGGACAGGGGGAGATTAAGTGTAGGGTACACTCACCGCTGTCTGAGATGACTTGCCACGTTGACCAGATAGGCGCATCAACACAGCAAGAAATGACTTGGAAATAATCGATGTATTATCATGGATTGCACCCTGCGGCACACACATTACACACATCACACACAACACATCATAAGTATATGAGAGTGTAAGAATCAAGTAGTGCCTCATTGCTGCCAGAAAGTCATCCTACACTAGTGGCAGGCATGAAATTGGTACCTCCTTGTTTCCGTTTCTTTATTTTATATAAAAGCACACCTTGTCAAGCATCACTTTGCCAAACACATTTTACGTCCAGGGCAATGACTGACTCAGAACAGACGATTCGAGAGTTGCACTGCATTAGGAAGTGAACAGTGGTTCCAAGTACAGGTATGCATATCGCACAAGATCAGAACAAGCATTGCAAAGTACAATTCACGTTGCTTACTACATCATCTTGCTTCAGAACCCTCAGTAAATCGCCTTCGATTTCCAGACACTTCGCAGCCTCCAGCTCTCCTTGTTGCATGAGTGACTTCAAGTGGTACAATAGCGTTGGCAAGAGAATTGTGCGGGCATCTAAGAACAAAGTCCATAAAGAAATGTCGAATAACGATGAGAGATCATGGATGATGTGAATTCTTACAAAGATAACAAAAGCTCACAGACAGCGTTGAACATAATGAAATAATTATACTTAGGGTGGCATGAAAGTAAGGTTCACGTCAAGTATGGATCCCTGTCAAACACTGAACCGCGTAAACCGTGTACTGACATCCAGTGTCGTACTTAGCAAGGACAGGAAACCAAAAAATATATAGGGTTCCATGTGAAGAACTGTAAACATCAAATTTCCATTGGTCGAACAGACCCTTTGCACAGCTGTCGACAAAAGCACACAAGGTTGCCACCGCCAAAACCCACCTTCATTGCGCCAGAGATCACTACTGACGATACGGCCAATGCAGTGCAGCTTCTGATTGTTGAGGCGATTGGTAGGCACGCAGTCCAGCACGCGTTGGATCACTCGCCTACAATTTCACCCACACCCACCCACCCACACACACACATATACCCACACCCACCCACACACAGGCAGATAACTCATTTACAGAACACGCACTCGTATCTAAACCAAAAGGCAGGAAGGATGCAGTGCTTGACAAAAACCTATCATGGTGTCGCGAACGTCGCGATGAAACACCAATTTGCATTCGAAATAACTACAGTTGTCAGCACTTTATAAACCAGCACCCTCTATAAATACCGTATTTCCACAAATAGTAGGCCGGTCTACTATTTTTTCAACCTCGTCCTAACCCGGCCTTATAATCGAGGACGGTCTTGTATTCGAGGACGGCCTTTTATTCTTTCAACCCAGTTTGACCCCGGTCTTCTATTTCTCGCCACACAGTTTTACCCCCGTTCTTCCATTTTCTTCTACACAGTTTGAGCACGGTCTTCTATTTTTTTCCCACAGTTTGAGCACGGTCTTCTATTTTTAACACAAGAACAAAGACTCATTTAGTAGGCCCGGTCTTCTAATCGGAGACGGTCTTTTATTTTTCAATGGCCCCCTGCCCCGGCCTTGTAGACGAGGACGGCCTTTTATTTGCGGAAATACGGTAAGCATAATTTTCAGCAACCAAAATATCCTTTTCGTGTCCCTAAATTAATCCAGCAGGATTTCCGTAGCACGAAATGGTGCCGAATTATAAAGGGACCGCTGTGCTTGTATTTGCACATGTGTTCTCCTAACATGTCTTTTTAAATACTTCGCAGCTGTATGGTTCCAGTCTTGTGTAAGAGATAGCTACCCGATTTCTGTCTCGCTAGCTTTCTCCACGAATGAATCCATACTTAAAGACACACGGAGATTCTAGCTTCGAACTGACTTCATAGTCTGATTCTGTGAATTTCTTGTTCTCAAAGAAATTCTTCGTCGTATTTATTTTCGCGCTCTAGATTCGTTGGACTCGTGCTTGATTTTGCTTTCTTTTCTTTGTTATGTATGCCATATGACATGCACGTACTCATCACGTGATTACGTGACTGCATGCTCACACACAAACTGTACACTAGGCTAGTGCACTTTAGCGATAGCAGCCATCCACTCTCCTTGTTGTTTCTTCCTCTCTGTTTTCTCTCTTCAGTCGCTGCAATAGTCTCTTTTACATCTTTCCACGCTGATGAACGACGTGGTCGCCATCTTTATGCATGTTCTTGATGTGCACCTGCTCTTTTCCCCGTTAATTTTATCTTGGTGGGAGAGAAGTAGATAATCAAACGAGGTACGGAGGGCTTGATGGCTGATCAAATCCCTTGGGCTGGTCCCTTGGGCTTTGATCAGTCATCAAGCCCGACTGCACTTCGCTTGAATAGAGACAGACCTGGCTGAAGTATTTTCACCTCGACCACATACACCTTGTTCATGCTGAGAGTTCTGCAGTTCTGGAGCTAGATTTCAAACTCCACAAGTTGAGAGCCACAACATCCCCGACCACCACCCCTATCAGTTTCTTGTTCTTATAGCCAGACCACCTTGAAAAGAATGAGATTGGGCATGATCAGGGCTTTGATGAATTTCCTGTACAGTTGCCAATGGCAGCGGGCTTTGATGGTTTCCCCGCACAGGTTGCCTCTGACAGTGGGCTTTGATGGCAAATCAAATCCCGCCCTCCGAGGCTGCTGAATGGTCGTATCCTAGCAAAAGGCACATGGGTCGTTTGAAAAATACTTTCCAAATGAAGAAAAAATGGGTTTGCAAATTATTAAAGAGTCTTTCAGTTGGTTCACAACGCGTAAACATGTCAGGAGTCACGACATGGATCGTCCTTGCTGGTGGAGCATTGAGAGTCTGGGCATCAATGACGACCCAAACACAACCGAAAATGACATGGTACGTGACTACTTCAACGCGACTGAAAAGAGAATAGTCGCTACACTGTCAACTGGTCTTGGAAAGAGAAAGCTCAGCAAGTTATCTATGAGCTGACCAAAGGTCAACTACTCTCTCTAGCAAAGCGGCTTCCACGGCGGACCACGTCTCCTCGCCTTTAGCTAATTCCAGTTGAAACATGGCAGGACTCGGCAGCTTTGACGTGATCAGGGACACAAAAATCCCTTGGCCACAGTCCCGCTCGTCAACAAGACGAAGATAGCTTCTCTCAAACCAATGACAATTCCTTGTTTGGAGTTAATGGCAGCGCTAATCGGTTCTCGGCTGATCAAGTTCCTACAGGACACACTGTCATTCGATCTCTACCGCACTGTTCTGCGGTCCGACTCAACTTGTGTCTTACACTGGATCAATGGCACAAACCAGCAATCTGTGTTTGTCCAGCGGCAACTAACGGAAATCCGGTCGAATCCGACAATCGAATTCAATAAATATGTCAATACTGATCGTAATCCTGCTGACCTACCCTCCCCTACCATCCCCTTCACCTGCCACAGCTGCAGCAATGGTCTCAGAACCGACCACTGAGGTATCTGTCACAATCAACTCTTGCCCTGGGGAGGGTCCTTTCGTCTCGATCGAAAGGTATTCTTCTTGATCGAAAGCGGTACGCGTAATGGCTTATGTGAAACTGGCAGTATAGAAGCTGCAAGGCAAATGCAAACAACAAACACGACTAACCACAACCAATATCAAGGAAGCTGAAATGGAATGTGTACGAATTATCCAATGTCAAGAATTTGGTGAAATTAAAAAATGCAATTCAGAAAAAACAAAAAATGGAACTCGTTACCAAACTCGGTCTACTCATTGATGCAAACGGTCTAATTCGGTGCGCAGGGCGCATGAAGAATGCTAGGTTTCCAGAATCTGGTCCAATACTGTTACCACGGAAACATCCTGCGACGAGGCTAATCGTGCAACTGTGCCACGCTCGCGTTCGGCACTCCGGTACTAGTCAGACGCTCATGGAGGTACGTAAGCGTTTCTGGATCACTCGTGGGCGAGCCACCGTGCAGACAATATTGCACAGCTGCTACCACTGCAAGAGATGGGAAGCGAAGCCATACCCAATGCCGGATTTTGCTCCACTGCCGAGCAAGCGTGTCAACAGATGCATCCCATTCTCTTACACTGGCATTGATTACTTCGGCCCAATGACAATGACCAAAGATAGCGAGAAATGCAAGGTATGGGTTTGCAAGTTCACTCGTTTGACCACTCGCGCAATCCACCTCGAGCTAATGGAAGACATGACCACAGCCTCATTTCTACTGGGCTTTCGGAGATATATTGCCTGTAGAGGTACGCCTATTGAAGTTTTGTCAGATAATGCAAAACAATTTCACACTGCCTCGAACATCATCGGTGAAGTTTGGAATGACGTGAACCACACCGATGACTTTATTTCGTTCTGTGCTACGAATGGAATACAATGGAAATTCATAGTACAGCTCTCTCCATGGATGGGCGGCGCATACGAGCGCTTAGTACAATCAGTGAAAAGGGTCCTGCGAAAGACAGTGGGCACTTCAATTCCAAACCGTGATATGCTAAATACATTCCTAATGGAGGTGGAGGAGATACTTAATGCACGTCCACTGGTCTACGTTGGAAATGAATAGGATTTTGGGAATGTTCTTACTCCCAACCATTTCTTGTCTCTAAACCCAAAGTTGGGCACTCCTGGTATGGAGGGAGACTTTGGTAATGACCCGAAGTTTGAGCCTGACACGTCATTGGCTAACACACTGCTAACTGCCTGGACAGATGGTCAACGCCTACTACAGACCTTTTGGTCAGAATGGCAGTATTCGTATCTACCCACGCTACGTGGAACGTGGTCAGACCGCACTTCCGCATGGAAGATTGCAAGCACATGATCAACCTGCTGTGGATACTGTTGTCCTGGTCAAGGAAGAAAAGATGCCACGCGGCTCTTGGTTAATTGGACGAATCGACAAACTGCACAACAGTAATGATGGTGAAATCAGATCTGCAACAGTTGTTCTGCCATCCAAGAGGCAGATCCAACGTCCACTATGTCTGTTGTACCCAATGGTGCAAGCGGAGAATCACGATGCAGCGCACGATGACCCGCCGCTCGCACAACCTACACGGCCTGCAAAACCTGCACAGCCTGCACAGCAACAACCAGCTCGACCGACACGCCGTGCAGCCGCTGGTTCCCGTGCTAATCTGAAGAACCTAATAAGCTAAGGTGCAGTATAACTCTGTGAACTCTGTGAAATAGTCTGCATGTATGTATTCATACACAGTGCACTCTCTTGTTGAACACTAAGCAATCACCACACACTCATTTACACTTTGTCTACACTACTGCCGTTGCAATCGTTTTTCTTCTCTGTTGTGGGGAGTGTTGCGAACGTCGCGATGAAATGCATGTACATGAAAATGAATTCGGAATAACCAATTTGTATTTGCATTTACATGACGATGATTTGTACTCTCTTACTTTCTTACGTTGTGGCTGATTCCATGCTTGGGTTAGCCGAAGTCTAGTTCCCTATCGTCTTTTCTAGTGATTGATTCCATTCTACTTCGAAGTAGCTTCGAAAGAATTCTTCGTTTCTCTATTCTTTGCATTTTGTTCACAAAAAAATTCTTCGTGATGTTTTCGTACCGTGAGTAGTTTCGCGCTCTAGATTTGTTTTGCTCACGCGTGACTTTCCTTTCCTTTCTTTTTGTTATGCATGACCATGATGATGTATTGGTATGATGTATATGTGTACGTGACTACGTGACTACGTGTTCTCTAACTACCGACAGTAGGCTAGTGCACTTCAGCCATTCGCTCTCCTTGCTGTTCACTTCTTCTCCGTTTCTATTTTGTCGTTGCACTAGTTCCTTTTTCCACCATGCCACGTCAATGAAAGTCGTGGTCGCCATTTTAATGCATGATCTCTGTGCGCAGCTGCCTGTGGACGCAGCTGCCTTTTTTCCCGTTCAATTTTGATCTTGCTTGAGAAAGAAAGAAACTTTCCAAATGAAGAAACGTTGTTGAATTGTCTTTCATGTCCGTTGGTTCGGGATGAAAATCATGTCACGAGTCACGACATACAGTGTCAGTCCAGGACAACTGCCAAGGTCTGCATTGTTTACAGTGCTTCAGTAAAGACGGACAAAGCTGGAAACAGCCTCGACGACTGTCTCCACAGTGGTCCAAGCCTGCTTCCCGACTTGGGCGGCATGCTGGTTCGTTTTCGCATCTTTCCAGTCGGAATAACCAGCAACATCGAAAAGGTATTCCTTCAAGTGAGCCTCGATGAACCTGACCGTGAGTACACCCGCTTTCTTTGGGATTCTTATCTTGTTGAGAAAAAGAACAAACTTTCAAAATGAAAAAAAAATGGTTTGGAAATTATTTTAAAGTGTCTTTCATGTCCGTTGGTTTGCGACTCGTAAGCATGTCACGAGTCACGACACATGGAAGCTACACAACACTAAAGAGTATCCAGTTTACTCACGAGAAATCATCAGGCTGGAGAACTTGCAAGACTTCCAGAAAGATGGTTGGGAAAGACTGCAGCAAGGAGGCCTGCAAGGCAGTGTTTGTATTTGACTTGTCTTGCTCCAGAATAGCAACAAAGCTGTCAAACACGCCCAGCAGGTCGGCTTGGAACATTTCCTCGTCGTTTTCTGGTGATGAGCTGCAGATCATACGCCAACATAGCCATCATGTCACGGAGCAATGACCAATGACCGAAACACATAAGAAAACAAAACAAAGAAGGGACATACACATATGTGCTCTTGAGGGTCTCTATACACTATTCTTGGATGGCTACACACTTGATGCTGAAATTTCACGCAGATCTCGGGCAAAATGCAATCTGGCACGGCCTCAATGTTACCAACACAGATGCCAAGTATCAGAGCATTGCTTCAAAGAAGTAGTTTTCACCAGTCACTATTTTTCAGGAAGAGCATCTTTTCGGCATATAGCCACTTTCCCCCAAAATAGACACACAACAGCACAATAGAAACGGGGTGGCGAGGTCACGTTTCTCACCGGGTATGGAGCAATCTCGACATCACTATGAACCTGAAGATATACTGTAGAGACTGTCATAAAACAGAGTGAACAGAGAGACACAAGGAGAACAGAGAGCCACAGGGAGAACAGAGAGACACACAAGGAGAACAGAGACACACAGAGAGACACAGAGTGGGCAGAGAGACAGAGGGAGAACAGGGAGAACAGAGAGACACAGAGAGACACAGAGTGGACAGAGAGACAGAGGGAGAACAGAGAGAACAGAGTGAGCAGAGAGACACACAGGGTTTGCACAAATTGAATATGGGTCAGTGAACACCAGTGCTTGGTGCTTGTAAGTATTCTGACAGAGGTTTTGCATGACCAAACCAGCCCTACATAATGCTACAAAAGCAGAAAGCATGCCTACTAATGGGTTTTACTTGGCAGCCTACTCCATCCCAGCTGGGTTCATAGTAGCCTCTCCAATACAAAGAGCAGCACTGAACGGCATTACACAATATTACTGCACAGCCTCATCAATCTGCAGACAGGCTCACTTCATCCTTTGTGAAATCACCAGCGTAACGCACATGTGCACTGGCCTACTCAACTCGCTCAACTAGAAAAGAAGAAGAACCGTAATATCAATCTGCACAGGATGGCATAAAATGATCACATATGAAATTACCTGCACGGTGCGAATGTAAGTCTGATCCACAACCGAGCAGTTCTGAGCATTGTGCAGTGATTGCTTCAACTCATGGATCAACTTCCTGCAAAGTCAACAAGCAAGCAAGCAGTGACAGTGAGGGGTATGAGGAGCTCCACAATTTGTGCAGTAGTTGCGCAGCCCGAGAACAACACAGATGATTGGATCGACCCGCTCGTGAGGATTCAGGCTTCCGAATCGTCACAGATCTACGACGTATCGAGAAAGAGATCCTGGTCAACACTTTCATGTGTTAGAAGAATGAAGAACATTATACCTTCTCCAATGTCTGCATGACTATTTTTCTCCTTTCTACAGCGGTGGCTGCAGCTTCATTTGGCGTGCCAAAAGAGATCCCGCACAACTACTGCCGCCTGCGCAGCTACCAACCCTAGCCGAGCCCCGGACAGCACGGACACCTCCAACCTGCAGGCCTTGATCGCACAAGCGGTTCAACGCACCGTGTCCACTGCCGTCACCAACGCCGTCCAGCTTCTTCTCTCCCTGCCTGGCTCCGCATCGCCGCTTGCCGCCGGCAACCCGGACCCTGCTGTGAACGCAGTGACGACTGCCACACAGCACCAACAGCAGGCAAAGCTGACTGTCCCACGGACTCCCTCGATCTCATCCAGAGAGGTGAGACCGTGGATTTTGATTGATTGCTGCCTGATACGATTGCAGCCAGTTCAAGTGCAGCACCGGTGGCGTTCCAACTCGGTAGCTCCGGTTGCTTATTCGGCGCCATGGAGAATCTTTGGAATCCGAGCCCAGAACTGTTTGTTGCAGGGTGTATGACTTTAGCACTTGGGTTGAGGTCTGGACAGTGATCATGAATAGCCTGTGTTCCGCTGCTCCTCACCGCCTTCATGAGTGCATGTCGTACCAGGCCATGATGGCCGCGGCCAATCACCAGTTCTTGCCCGAAGCATGGCTGTCGTATCAGGCCATGATTGCCGTGGCCAATCGCCAGATCTTGCCCGAAGCATGGCTGTTGTACGATCGTCAGCTCCGTACAGCCATGGTATCACAACCTGGTAAGAAACTGGATGGATGTTATCGATATTGACTTGGGGCAACTGTGCTTCACCGGGAAGGCATGCCTTCAGGCAGGCAGGCCTGCCAGCAGTGCAGCTTACTGCACCCACCAGCGTTTCTGTGCCCTTTTCGTCCCAACAGTATATTGTACATACCTGTATATTTAGCATTTGGCAGCTCTATTCACAATCATTTGGCGGCTCCATGTGGAGTCATTTGGCGGCTCAGCTGGGAGCCATCTAGCGGCTCCAAGCGGAGTCATACGCTTGCTTCAATACTATAACCAGATGCTCGCATCTGCACTCCCACTCCTCTCCCCCCCCCCTCCCCTTCTCCACTGTATTCTCAATTTGTCACGTCTGAAATTTTGCTGGCAATTGTTGCCTCCTTTGGCATTGGCCATACTTACTAAAGCACCTTGCTGCTTGCAATACTAACGTTAGTTTTACATTGGCCATAATAATGCACACTGTGTGCGGCAATTGTTCCCAATGTCCTGATACATGTAATACAACTTGTAATAGCTTCCAAACAGTCGCCTTTCTGTGAGATTGCTCAGTATGAGACTCCATGCATGGCACGGTAACTAGAGTTAGAAACCCATCAACGTACATGCCCTAGAGGTTTCCCCTAGCCTAACACGTGCATGCCACGCATTCTGAATTCCTGCATGTTGGGAAGACGAGTGCTCAGAGCATGCACATTACTTTCAGCACTTGTTGTTGCCTGCTCTTTGCAGAACGGCTTTTGACAAACTGGACAATCGTTCCGATCACCACCACCCATCATATCATCTTTACGCATAATTCTATCCAAAATTCCAAAGGCATTACAAAAGGGAGAAGGATAGGGATCATGGGTGAGGCTGGCACTTTGTCCAGTGTGGCTACATTTGCTCACAAGAGCATCCGTATCACATTCTCATGTATTGCCATGCCTGAATTCTCAAAGGGTAATTTCTGTCTCCCAGTAGCTTCGACAATGGTTATACTAATTGCAATTTCAAATTTGGACTTCACGGAGAATTTCAGTGTTAGGAAATTAGAGGCCACATGCCACGTACTGCTCTTTTCTCTCCGAAACTCCACACTTGCAAGCCAGATATGAAAGAAAGAAAAAATCATCAGTCACACCACCGGGACTCGAACGAATAGCAAAGGTCCCTGGTTCGAGTCCCGGTGGTGTGACTGATGATTTTTTCTTTCTTTCATATCTGGCTTGCAAGTGTTGAGTTTCGGAGAGAAAAGAGCAGTACGTGGCATGTGGCCTCTAATTTCCTAATGGTTATACTAACACACATTGTTTTTTGCCATACTAGGTTTGGCAATAGCCAAAATAGGCATAACAGGCATACTGATAATACAATGTGTAAGAACTCCCAAACAGGCCGCCTTGTGTAGCTGTTAGGGGTCGTCCGTAACTATCGAAGAATTAAAAAATCCGTCCTCGGGCTAAATTTTCTCTGACCCACCCGCCACCCCCCCCCCCCTCCCCCCAATTTTTCATAATTATTATTTTTTGATTTTTCCTAGTCAGCCGATACCTACATGATTGCATGCCTATCCTGAAACACACACGTAGTGCGACCACATGCAACACAGTGCAATAAAGGTACGATAAATCAAAAAATAAAATTCTGCCGGCGTTCTTCACCACCCACCCCCTTTTTGCACGAGGACCGATTTTTTTAATTTTTTGAAAATTACGGATGACCTCTTCTAAAGACTTCTTGAGGAGATGTGCTGCTTACTCATAAATCTTGCTTCCTGAGAAATGGTCTTCAATGTAGGAGTTGAGGACGGTGCGAAAGTTCTCGAACTTAGTCTCATTGAGCAGCTTAATGATGTGTACCTGCATAATATAATCCATAGCAGATCGGGAGACGCAGAGTTCATTGAAAAGTGGACAGTGAGCGTGTACATGTATGCCTCGATAGGGGAACAGGCAGTAATCACAGTGGGTTCATGTAAGCGTGTTTGCATTTATGCTGGTCGCAGACGTTGAATTCGGCTCCACTTCCCACGGTGCGACCTGCGATGGATCTGATTTTTGGATATTCTCCGAAGCTCTCTAACTAAAGCTCTCTGTACAATGTCCCACTTGGTATCAACCTTACAGTTATCACACACGTACACATGCCATGCACTACTTTTCTAAAGCGAACGTTCAGGTTCTTACTTCTTTGAACACATTCAAGATTCCTACAAACACAGTTTTGGACAGAAGCAACAAGTCACCACACCAATCACTAGTGACTTTTTCCTCAGTTACAAGGACTAAAAAAATATCACGGTTCATGTGAGACAAAGTTAGACCAAGTTTTCCGCATCCGCATGAACACCACCGCCATCTAGGATCAAGGCGCAGACGCAGCTCCTAAAGTGGTGGGAGGTGAGTACACGTACACCCACCAACAAGTGGTCAATGACAGAAATTCCTATTCGCTGCATCCATGTTTCCACTACAAGGCCTAACTACATTGTAAATACTAAACAAAAATAACAATGCTAAACATACAGCTTGAGTGAACTAAGTTGTACATAATCCAATTTCTTTAGTGATAGCTTGCATGCCGTCCTACCGGTAGGACCACGGGTCCTACCGGTAGGACCCAAGAAATCGCGCTGCAAAAGTGCTTTTGGTTGAGAAATTTCTTGAAACAATTGTTGAGATGAGGTCTTTGTCAGGCAAAGTAATGGCGCAAAATGCAAGACTATGTCCAGTGCATTGCATACGCGCAATTTAATCAATTGTCAAAATGGCCGCACATACTCCTGTCGGAGCGCTAGCAACTCTGTCCAAAGTGAATTTTGACCATGGCACATCAATCGTGGTGAGGTACTAATGTTTTTATTAGTCTGCCAAGGCAGTGGAATGCATAATTCCATACACCGTTTCCATGGTTACCATTTGCTGTTACCATGGAATTTCATACTATGCCTTGTGCCATCATGTCTAAAATTTGTGGACTCCTTCATTAGCCCCTGAGCAACAGTTTAGGGTCAATTTTTAGGTCAATGTTAGAACAGAGGCCATGCAGCATGTCTGTGTATGATGGTCCTACCGGTAGGACCGAGGTCTATGCAAGCTATCATTAGACCTCCACCTCACCAGGCACTGAAAAACAAGCTGGCCACAGTCTGCAGAGTGTTCATTCAGAATAGCGAACAGTGCATCGAGCGTGTCGCGCAGGAACTGCAAAGTAAAGTACACAGTACAACATCCACACAACGATCACGGATGATTGATGATCACTGAGACAATGATCACGGATGATTGATGATCACTGAGACAATGATCACGGATGATCGATGATCACTGAGACACTCATACAACTCTCTCTGTCTCTGGCTCTCTGTCCCTCTGTCTCTGTCTCTCTCTCCATACAAATGAAACATCCCAAAGTGGCTTTTCCAAGCATTCAGTAAACCAAAAGCAAAGCATTCCCAGGGTATTCGGATACTTGTCCTTTGATAACTAAAGGAAGGACAAAATGTTACGTGTTATGACCAACTGTCCACCAATGTAACCAGATAATATACAGTCAGCAAGTGCGACACCAGAGCACAAAACTGACAAGGAGTATTGAGACATTCAACGACCTGACGTGTACTTTGCCTTGCCCTAGCTCCTATAATTGAACCATGCATGCAGGGATACAATGTCAAAGCCATCAGCTCACATTTAATAAACAATATTCATTGGTAACCCATGGACACTGCTGCACTATGTATACCAGTTTGCAGCAAAAAGAACACGGCAACCTACCTTGACAACTTCATAGCCACTGACATCCATGAGCCCACGCAGGCAGGAATGCAGCATATCCGGCAAACTTCGCCACTTGAGGAACTTCAACAAGTCATCTGTCACCCAGGCAACAACATATCAGGCCAGCACAGAAATCAATATATGGGAACACTAGTGAAAGGATGGGACGCAAACTGAGAAGTGCAATCCTCAGTTACCCGACCAGACAGGGGGCATGCACCCCCCCCCCCTCCAAGAAAAATCTTTCGACCTTTGTTCAGCATGTGCATGTTGGCCCGCATGGCCTAGAGGTTGCGCAGTCCAGTGCCTGTTTTGAAGCCAGAATCGAATGCCAATCTGCAAAGTCCACTTGTGCTTAGAGCTAGCTGTAGCAGTATAGCTGTATGTCTGCAAACTGCAAGTTCAATTCAAACCTACTGCTCGAACTGCTTCAAGAGTAAGTCGACAGTGCACCCCCCCTCCTCCCCCCCCCCCCCCCAGCAAAAAAGCGGACCAGCTACATCACTGCAAATATAATACTTTTACCCATGAAAAATAAAACAAAAAACACTTGAACCATCAAACTGGCATCAATTACTAACAGTTCTGAGTTAGTTTAGTGGAGCAGATTGTTGAGCGCACTTTCAGTCGCAGTGTCTTCGATGAAGACATTGAACGAGGCAGGTGGTTGTTGGGAGGTGCTTCATCTATGTTGGCATTCCAAGGCAGTCCAAGATACTGCGCTGGTTCAAGGTGGTTGAAGATTGATGCATCGCACTGTGAATAAGGACAGCAACACAATCACAAACACAGAATGAAATCTCTATTTACGTGTTCATGATCACATGCTATGAGAAAGTAAAGTTTGCACGTCCGCGTTACAACCGGCTATACGATTGTATTGAGAAACACAACCAGCTTAGGAAGTTTCGTGTGTGCCAGGCCACCACCATGCCTGAGATACCACATGCTATGAGAAGCTAATCAAATGTCCACCGCAGAGCCTTGCTATGGGAACATGCCTGGCACAACACTACAGGATGAACAGGAAACGAAAAGCAAACAACTCAAGAGTTGTAACAGATGTCCCTCTCCTCTTCTTCCGGTGGCCCAGTCGTGGATTGGCCACTAACAGTTACTTAGTGGGAAACCCTGGCAGTGCGTTGATGCTTCATTAAAATGGGGCGGGGGGAGCAGCTCCTCTGAAATCCTATGGCAATACGCCCATAGCAGGATACACAACACTACTCTACACATAGACCACAGTCGCCTATGGTTCATACGGGTAGGCAGCAGTACCTTGTACACTATCAGGTTGTACTCATCGTCGGCGAGCGCTGTTCCTTGTAAGTGCACAAGCGGCAGGAAGGCAAGCATGAAGCTGTGGAAACCTGCATGTTCAAAACAACACACCGACATGGCAGTAATAACAGCAATGAACAGGTCAGCGATCCATGAGGGTGCACATCTGCAACACTCGGCCATCATGCTACAATGCATTCACCAAACCTGGGCCCATAGGTTATTCACAGTCTCACTTCAGTCTCACTGAGTCTCCTGCGAGCCGTGATTGTTTTGGTTTTTCAGTAGGTTGTACACTTCATGACTCCATGCTGCCGAGCATGCCTCTTTCCGACCATGACCGCATGCTGGAGCATTTCTGGCACGTACAGCTTTCACCAACAGAATAGAGGATTGGTTTATAGATAATACGGAAGCCGAAAGTTTTCACTTATATTATATAATAGCTGCCAATGTCGACTAGCAAAAAAGTACACAAGACTAAGAGCTACCTTTCTTGTTGGTGGAGCGGTGGGCGGCGCAAAAGCGAACATGGGCCGTTGCAAACAAGTCGTGCGGAACGTCCAGCTTGATGATCTCGCCCCATTGTGGAGTGTTGGTGTGCCGCACAATGTAACTCTTGTAACAAGAGGCACTGTCTTGAGAAACTCCTGGAACAATGCCACCCTGCAAGGATAAATGTGTAGATAACAGAAAAGCCATCAGTTGAGAGGAGAACTCGCCTAGCTAAAGCAGAGACAAGTACCATGTACAAACAGGACCTAAACGCCCACTACCAACAACAAACTCTGGACTAAAGCGTAGACGTTACAGCTACACTACGGTAGAAAGAACAGGAATAACACAAGGGTCTGAGAAGAGCCACACTGTCACTTTATCCACCTACTTGTTGCACATGAATGCAAGCATGTGGGTAAACTTATAAATAACATGGACCACCAACCTCGACAACATCACCAGACTTGAGCAGCACTGACACTGTACATTCCATGTTCTTCTCTGCAGTCTTATTATCCTTGCCACGGAAATCACCCGACAGCAGGGAAACAAACACGTCGTTCCGAGCATCGCCTTCATAAGAAAAGGAAAAAAAAGACAATTACCTGATTGAAAAAAAAGCGATGCACTATGGTGGCCACATGAGCTGCAAGGTGATTGAAAACAAACACAAGGATTGCATCGTGCTACAGCTCCATAGTCACTCCACAGCACTACCTACCCGGCATGATGACTTCTGGGAAACCAAGCTTGCGACAAACTGGTACTGGCTTTTGAAATAGGTGAGGATACCCCTCACGCACCTAAAGAGAGGGAGAGAGAGAGGGAGAGAGAGAGGGAGGGAGAGAGAGGGAGAGAGAGAGGGAGAGAGAGAGAGAGAGAGAGAGAGAGAGAAAGAGAGAGAAGAGAGAAGAGAGAAGAGCAACAGACAGCTAAACGAAAGTTTCAGTGCCTCTTCGCAAAATCAAGAACGAAACAAAATAATAGCAATGAAAAATATCAATTGTGCACTCATAACCATGTATAAACAATTAAAATGAAACAATTCCAGAACGTTTTCGTGTGACCATCATCAGTGGAACATCGTCACATAGTAAGAATCACTAAAACAACCAGTTATATAGCTAGAGTAATATGAAAAGAAGCGTGAGAATGCAGCACAGCTAGCGGTTATGCATAACGCGTGTAGTGTGAACCTTTGCAGTGTATCTGAGAATGGTAGCAGTAGATGAATGTGGCAGCTGTGAGTGCGTGTGAACAAAAAATGGTGAGTGCGTATTATTTAAAAAGTGTGAGTGCTACAACATTTTCTTTTTGCTTGCATAGAACAGGGTCACGTGTGCGAATATATACAGCTTCCAACACCTGCAACTGCTTAAAGAAACGCGCGCGACAAATAACACTAAACCAGGAATCGTCAAACAACTTACGACAATCCGGACTGGACACCAAATGCTTGTAGATGGCAGACTTGCTCTTGTCGATGTCGAACCCCTCCTCGTCCGTATCACTCTCATCCTCCACTTCCTGTTCCTGCTCACCCTTGCTTTCCTCCTTATGCATAACCGCTAGCTGTGCTGCATTCTCACGCTTCTTTTCATATTACTCTAGCTATATAACTGGTTGTTTTAGTGATTCTTACTATGTGACGATGTTCCACTGATGATGGTCACACGAAAACGTTCTGGAATTGTTTCATTTTAATTGTTTATACATGGTTATGAGTGCACAATTGATATTTTTCATTGCTATTTTACGACTGTTGTCTCCTCGTCGGTTATTTAGAAACAAAATAAATGAGTTGATTTTGAATTACTACTTCCTTTCTAGATAGGTTGATTCCTGACTTGGAGTAGCGCAATCTGGGAGCTCTTTATGAGTCAAACAGCTATGACTCGTGTAAATGAATCCGATTTACAAAACATGATTGCAACCCAAGCCTGACCCAATGAATCCTTTCAGTGAAACAAATGAGTCACAGAACCTCTCTAATACCAGTTCTCTGGTTGTGTACAGCCGCTACTATTGCTGCTACTGCTTAGGAAGAGTGGTCCAGACAACGAGCCTGCACACGTGAAAACCTGACAACGAATCTAGATCATGAATCGGCGAATGGCTTGGCGTGTTTGGCGGAGAAATTCCTTTCAAAGATGTTACATAAGTCCAGACAATATGCCATAATTGTGCCATTTCTTGGGATTGAGTCAGGCTTTGGCTAGGCAATGGGGCAGAAAACTAAGAACACGATACATTGCAAGATAATTGCCATAGACTTGCTCCACTGGACCAACGGCTTGTCCAGCGGTTGGCAACAAAACGGTACAAACAACCATTATCTGGGCCTTCACTCATGCTGGCTCAAAAGAATAGCTAGCATGTCACCTAGCCTATGTGGTGGTGTCCACAAGCAGCAGTGCTTACCCGTGTCAGAAGGCCATGGAACGATTGAAGACTAAAATCCAGACCTGAGTGAGTGGGCAGCAAACGCAAAGAGAGATCGGTCACTGTATGATTCAATAGTTACAATGTTTTACAGTAGAAACTCGGTCGTGATTCTCACGACAGCAAGTGACCGGTAAGAAAGATAAAAGTTCCCTTGAGTGTAGTACTAAAAGATGACAATGTAGATAGTCGATATGCATTATCAAAGCGAAAGCCAATCAGGGTTGGAACAAGCTTGGCAAGCGAGGTTGTACCGTTACAAATCTGCACCTGCACGCTACACTCCTCTGTCATGTGCAACGTATGACTCCAGTCCATGCTTGATGCAGCTAAATTGATTAGCGCTTTCACAGCTACTGTGAGTCTAGATAGTCTACAATTTGGCAAGCAAGTAACTTGCTCGCACAGCATGGAGTATGAAGGGCAATAAAAACTCCGAAATCGAACACAACAGGGTGACATACGGGCAAGCAATGGCTTGTAGTTTCCTGCTTGCTTCTTGATGATACTGGTGTGTACAGCTGCAAAATCCTGGTCATTGGAACACCTGATGAAGAATAAAAGAACATGGAATGAGTCATGGATACACACACATGCACACGAACGCACGAACGCACGCACGCACGCACACACACACACACACACACACACACACACACACACACACACACACACACACACACACCTCGGACATGCTCTGAGGTCATGGCTGAGCACTCTCTAATAACATCAATTAGGTAGGGCGAGTCCAGCCTGATATGTTTCGATTAATACTTTCACCATTCGCCAGTGCTCAAAGAATTCAATACTTCCTTCGCTCATCACCGACTGTTTCTAGCCAAATACACTGGGAACAGATCATACCGCATTTGGTATGATCTCTTTCTCAGTGCAACAACACACTGATCAGTACCTCACACTTATCCTACACCTCCCAGGTCGTCTCACAAAGTCAGCAGTGTACATGCACATGCTCATGTCCAGCACATACAGAGGAGGGCAATCAAACTGTCTAGTTGTGACACGATAAACTCCGAGTTGCAGAAAGACACGGTGTCTGGCCTTCTCTGTATGTGTACGAGTATAATGTTCTTCTCTCCGGTGTAACGTTATCAAGCACTCTCTTGAGCCACCGCAACTCACTTGAAGTGTACATAATGCAGTGTAACCATGAAATCAAGCATCCAATCCAATACATGTAACCGCAAGCAGATCGTTTACGCAGTGCACATCAAGTATGTCAGTTACATGTATAATTATGTGCTGAGGTTCAACCTCAACTAACTGAACTGCTACTGATCTTTACATGATGGGCCAGTGCATGCGAAAACGTGTCTTCGGGGGAAACCGATTTCTTTCAAAATTTTGAGAAAATCGCTCGGAAAGAAGAGTTATATTTGTTTGTGCCTCGATCGCGGATCTTGTCATTCCTAATCGATCTCAAGACGACAAGAGAAGCGACAAGCGATCGACTTGCAGCAATCATCATGGACGTGGCGGCGCAGGAGGAGTTGGAAGTAGCACTTGAGGAAGGGCCTCTGAGTAGACACACTCGCGGCAGACACCGAGCAGCACGTCGGTTGAGCTGCACCGCTCGCGTGATTATCGTCGGTGCGTCCGTAGAGATCGGCAAGGTTTACTATCGAGGAGGAAGACGACAATTTATTTGGCGAGCAATCGGCAACTAGCAGCTGTACTGCTCACAGTAACTCTGACGAAGCCCCAGCTAAGCGTCCGGGAGTGAAAGACTCCTGCGTTGAGGTTGAAGGGGAGTCGAGAGCGGATGAATTAGGCGGAGATTCTGTGGACTCTGCAAGCGACGATGAGCAAGACGCGCTTCAGAGCATTGCCGCTGTGGACTCACTGATCCTCGAAGGCTGTGGCTGCGTTTGGAACTACCATATCAGCAGCTTCACGCTGAGCGCAATCCTACATTACGACGACTAAATCTCGGCGATCAAATCGAAGGACCTCGGCATTTTTTATATTGGTGTGCTGGCTGCGCTGCACTCATGACGATCCTGTCGACTGTCGCGCATCAGTCGACAGCTTCCGCAACGGAACGGACGCGCATCACGTTTGGATAAACTGTGATGGGATACATCGTGTGTGGAACCGCGTTTGTGCAGCTCCATGTGGTTGGCAGAACATGACTGTGCAAGTGGACAAGGAGAACAATAGCTGTCACCCTGGTGCACATGGAAATCTGGCAATGTGCCTTGGAATAAATTTAGTGCAGAAGTGGGAGACAGAGCGCAGCAGTTTATTCTGACCTACAGCTTAGTGTTCAGTCTCCTGCTGTCTACTGCACCAAGAGGGAGAGGTGAGGAATCTCCCATAAACTTACCTATATCTGTCGCCTACAAGTTTGCCCTTTCGGAACTTGTGGAGCAGTCTTGTGAAGCGCAAACCCTGGGTTACTGTATATTTTTGTATCTGTCACAGTGTGGACTAAGAAGTGCAAGTCCATGGAGTTCATGACGCGACGGATGGATGTGTGCAACAAGTGTGAGCTGCTCCGGGACGATATTCGTTCTCCTCGTGCATAGGATGAAAAGAATTCTGCAACGGAACCACTCCGTGACCATGTTGTCTTTGCACAAAAAGAACGCGAGTTCTTGTTAGCTCAACGCCGCAAGAACTTGCTGGACAATGTTGCCCAGTTTTGACTGGAGAACAAGGCAGCCTTCATTGAATGTCTAGGCCAATACTAAAGGCTGACACGCAAAACTGTTGCTGCTTTCAACGACACTGTAGATAATGCATTATACAAGGCATATTCTATTTTGGACAATGCCATAGAAATCATGGTCTCTATGTACTTTCAAATGTGATATCCAACTTTATCTTCCACAGAGGTGTTCTCTAGACCCCTGTGATTGATTTTCAAGAAAGAAAAAAATTTCCAAAAATTTGCCCTTACAGTCCGTTTCAAAAAGATTTACAATCCTGGCGATCGCCCGCGGAGTTTGGCGTCTTACCGTATGAGCACTCGAGCGCTGCCTGGAAAAACTCACTGTGAACTCGAAGAAATATTCCGCGCGAAAGCAGGAAAAATGACAACTCACTCACGTTGACACAGTCATGTACGTCTGGTTTACAACAAACGAGTTCTTCCTCGTATCGATAATGGAGTCAGAGAGGACATGTCGAAACGAAAGTGTTGTAAATGTTGACGAGCTGCATGGGTCCGTTTTGTGACCAAAATAGTTTCTTTGAGCTGCGATGCAATTTACTCACCGTGTGACGAAAACGACATCGACACGGACTCATTCCCAAGGCCATGACTTGGCAAAGCTATCCGTGTGACTTCGACGACATTTTGAGAAAAGCAGACGCTTGTGAACGCTGATAGAAGACGGCGTTGACTGCTAAATTCCAATAAATTGGCGATCTTGAAATACTAAAATAAATCTCAAAAAGCTACAGCGCGATGACTTCCCGGATTATAATTCACTCACACCATTGCAGTGTTGTGGGTGTGTTCACATGGCGTGAGCCAGTCAAGTGTCAGTCAGTTCGGCAGGAAGCGCGAGCTCCAACAACAAGTCGTTTGGTGCAGCCCTCTTCTTTGTCTTGTACCAGCTTGATCACCAAAACAATGAAAAAAAGTTTGACTTGAGGATAGGTTGGGATTTGAACTCACAACTTCATGGTCAGCAGACAGCATTCATAACCACAAGGCCAAAAAGGAAAGGATAAATCGTGGGTTTTGATAAAAAATCGATACTGGCTTCCTGGGCAAATTGTAAACCATGGGAAAAGGCCGGAAACCTGGCCGAAATTCTAACTCCTAAACGGTTGGTCCAATTGTTCCGAAACCTTCACAGAACAATTTGCCGTGTCCTAACAAGCCATTCTATGTACTTTGTTGTCCAAATTTCCCTTATCTTCATACTTTTTAAGACCCAAACCTGATTGTAAATCTTTTTGAAACAGACTATAGACACGGTATTGCATGCACTGGCCCATATTATCTACCATCCTTCTGACTTTGTACTGTCGTCACTACCCTACATGTACTGCACTACTAGCTGTGTTTAGTTTCATGCAGTACCTGCGCATCATGTGCTAATTGTTTTGCGCGGGCTTTTCCCTACCGTTAGTTTTGCTGAAGGAGTTCTGGAGAGAGAATTGAAATGACGGACGATGTCTAGGAGTGGTTTTCCCTTTTTGCTTGTGGCTGGTAATATGGACTGAGATTGTCATGTTCTAAATGAGAGATAAGACTCAGAACCCGCCTGCCGATTGAGTTGTTTTCTACCAGTCTGCGAACGAGCGGGCCCGACTCAACATTGGTGCAGTGAACAGGATTTGGCACTCATTCCGAAAACTTGACTGACGACGGTGACAACAATGGCATGGAAAGTCCACGTATCTGTAAAGCTGCATTTAGACCACGGACTCGGTCCTGACCACTACCAAACGTGGAGAAGTCAACTGGACATTGACTTCCAGCTCCACGAGGTGACAAACAGTAAGAAGCAGGACCTGGCCGCGGCGGCAAACCTGGGAGAAAATGCCAGCTACTATTTGTGGCAGAAATTCCCCGCAATCCGTGAGGGAGACAACCCGGTCGCGGACCTGATTGGACTCTTCGACGAGTATTTCGGCATCCACCCTAGCACGGATGCGAGGCTTGCTGAGCTGTTCTAGACTGAGTAGCAGCCTGTGGAGTCGATCCAGGCGTTTCGTGTCCGAATTGAAAAGGAGATGCGAGTGTGCAATCTCACTCCAGGAGCGGACGTAAAGGATGTGCTCGGCACAATCGCCGTACATTTATTTGCACATAGCCTGTCCGTCAAAGCGGCCCGGAAGTGTGTGCTGCAAGAGGGAGGCAAGGATCTGACAGCTGCAGCCATGCGAGCACAAGCAGTTGTGTTGGCCCGCCAGGCGTCGGCCAAGGAAGTAAAAGTTAGCTACGCTGCTCCCCATGCACAATGCCGATGAGGTCAGCATCTAACCAACCCAAGAAACAGCTTGCTTGACTCAATCAGTAAACTGCTAGTCCCTCCTGCTTTCAAAGAAGGGAAGGGATGTTGAGGTTTGACCTCAACTAACTGAACTGCTACTGATCTTTACAGGATACTAGCTACCATGCATCTGACTTTGTATCGTCGTCAGTATCCTACATGTAGTGCACTGCTAGCTGTGTTTAGTTTCGCACTGTGCCTGCGCGCCACATGCTGATTGCTTTGCGCGGGCTTTTCCCTTCTGTTACTATTTGCTGAGAGAGTTCTGGAGAGAGAGAGAGAGAGAGAGAGAGAAAGAGATAGGAGAGAGAGAGAGAGAGAGAGAGAGAGAGAGAGAGAGAGAGAGAGAGAGAGAGAGAGAGAGAGAGAGAGAGAGAGAGAGAGAGTTGGGGTGGCGGGAGTTCGTTTCGAAGTGGGGTTTCCTTTTTGCTTGTGGCTTGTAATGTGGTCTGGGATCGTGATTTTCTAAGTGAGAGATAAGACTCAGAACCCACCTGTCGATCGATTTGTTGTCTAACAGTCTGCGAACAAGCGGGCCAGACTAAACAACATGCAAGACGGATGAACCAGCACAACACTGCCGCAGAGAACAAAGACAATCGCTTACTATCACACTTACTGGTACAACTCAGCTGTGAAGACTTCTGCCTCCGGCTGAGGCTGGATTGGCTTCTGCAAAATGCTGTCCACGGGGAAAACTAAATAAGCAGCCAAAACAAGAGGAATTATTCAAGACTCAACCCATCCAACACTCTGGAAATACAGGCCTACAACAACAAGACACATCCACCCCAGAGAAGAAGGCATCAATCAGAGTTCCGCTACATACCAGCACATGCATATGGTCGACGGAAGCGAAACGCTTCCTTCGATGGCTTCTGATCGACCATCATGTCTCCTACAAGTAAGAACATAGATATGCAAACAAATAGCAGGGTGTCAACATTGAAGTCGCCCCAAGAGAAACAGAAAAAAACCCTGATATCAAGCAGCAACTCAGTTGTTGCAGTTGATGATGCTGCATGAACAAGCACATTATATCGTAGTACAACAAATATAGTATTCATAAGTTTGAGGGGGTTGAAACAGGAAAACTCTGAAGAAACATTTGACTGCCACCAACAGGGCTCGAACCAGGGACTCTCGCTTATGGCCAGTGATGCTCTCCCACTATGCTATGGTGTAGTTGCCATCCGAGCAGCAACCATTCAACATTTTCCTAGACTCAGAAACTCACGCCTCCTGTGAATCTACACAGGGTGGCGGGACACAGCCCTCGCTGTACCCAAACACCTCACACACAAACACACAAACATGCAGGGAGCCCCAATACCATAACAAATTCAAAAGTTTGAGGGACTTTAAACAGGACAAGTCTGCAGAAAAAAGTGACTGCCATTTACCAGGACATCCTTACCGATTCGAATCACATGAAAGACGAGGTACATATATGGCTCTTTCCTCAGCTGCTCAAACGCACCCAAGTCCTAGACATGAACGGCAACATCATGGCGTAAACCAGCAACAAGAACAAAGTTATCTCAGGCTGTGTTTCCATGGCAGTATCAACCCAGGCTTGAGTTACAGCCTGCTGTGAACACAGATCGACTGGAGTGTCTACAAGATACACGGTGCTTTGCCCGGGTTGATCAACCCTCCCCCTAGGAGGTGGGTTGAAATCGAGAAAACGTACTACTGTACGTTAGTGTGTATTTCGCGCCAGGATTGCACAGCACTGCACATGGGAACTTTGCACCAAAGTAGCCGGGTTGAAAATTCTCGTATAAACACAGCCTGAAAAGAGGAAGTTGCGACAGACTTAAAAACAAAAAGCCCCGCTTCTGATGACAACAGTCTCTCAAGAAGCTCTATGCTCAGTATTTATCACAATACTCCTACACCTGACAAGAATGCGCAGAGTAGCAATCACACACAAACACCAAGCTTGACATTCACAGCACATACCGTGAAAATGAAGCGCAAGTTATCGGCTCCACCGTAGGAGGTTGGCTCTCCGTTTTTGTCATACTTCATTGTGCACCTCTCACTACAGAGGGGTTGTGACAGTAAAACAGTACACACAGCAATCACATACAACACGACATGCCATATGCACGGCTGTTTCATGCATGCGCTCTGCGGCCAAAAATATGGCGGCACAAAATTAGAATTTTTGAATTTTGGCATCGTGATCGCGTGACAGGGCCAGATATTTAGACAATTTATTCAATTTTCGGTTGCCATACGGTACGTTCTCAGATCGATTTGGATCGATTCTGGCCTGCTTGCCCTAAATATTTGGAGTTATTCGCTAGTGGTGAAACGAATATCAAAACCCAGTAGCCGAATATTCTTTGGCTTAACGAACGAACGAATATTCTTTCGTTAAGACGGATGACATCACATGCCCTCCTCTCAGTCATATTTTTGGACATTGTCTCTATTATTAGGCATGACAAACGAAGGCACATATTTCTCCATCATTTCTAGGTTAATTTTCACAAAATCCCAGCTGAAGTGCATTTCACAGGCTCAAAAACATCTTGAGACGTGATTTTTCGTTCAAGCGCCATAACTCCACTCCAGGACCTCGGATTGCGTTCGGGTTGCTTCTAGATGACAGCTGAGAGTTTTCTAATGCCGATAGACCTTTCGATGAAGCAATTCGGTCAAGTATTCGCGAAGTTACGAAAGTTTGAAGTCGCCCGGTAAACTCTGCATACCGGGTTAACGAATATTCGCCATGAGAAATATTCGTTTGAATGTGCCAAACCGAACGAATATTCGAATATTCGGTATATTCATTTCACCACTATTATTCGCTTGCCAGCTCTTGGCTCTCGCCTCAGCAGGGCGAAGCTATTCAATAATGTCATTCGGCCCACCATCCTGCCAATCCCAGTAGCCGACGCTGTAATACCAGCCCTCCACTTGGACCTCGGCATATTTGTGTGGATATATGAGCTCTTGGAAAAGGAACTGCACCAGCTCGATCTGAAGCTAGCGGCGCACTGCGCTATAGCATCTAGCGACGGTGACGGGTTCACTCGGCTAACCACACTTCACCAGGAGCTGCAGACGGCAAGCACGAGCCTTGAAGAGACCGAGCAAGAATGCACCACGTACCAGCACCAACTTCAATTCCTGACGATCTCGGTGTAGAATCAGCAGGTCGATGACAATGACAGTCGATGGCAAGCACTTGTTGAGCAGCTTCAAGTTGGTTTCACGCTGATAACGGCAAAGCGAGACAAGAAGCGTGTAGAGGTGGCTCGCCTAACATCTGACATAGAAAAGCTGAGCGGCTGTAAAGACATGCATGGTCCTTGCCAGCAGTCTTTGGATCCTGTTCTGCAGGCCAACAAAATCCAGTGTCAGGTGTATCATGGTGGAGCGTTCAATGGCAATCACATCCGTGTCGCCATGAGACCCGCTGTTGTAACTGCCATTACACAAGCTCCTGTGGCCATCATCTCAGCCAGACAGCCCAGTCTGCTTGCAGACACACAAGCCATTGCGGAGCGCTATGGCAAATTGATCACTATGTATGCTGATTGCAGCAGCATTTTCAGCAAGTCATCTGCAGTCGACGACGATGCTCTCACCAAACTGGAGGCTTGCATCAAAACGTTCCTTGCTGCTTGCAGGACCGAGATCGTGGCCGGAGGCTTGGCGCATGTAACGCCGAAGCTGCACCTGCTTGAGCACCATACGTTGCCCATGATGCGTCGTCTCGGTGTCGGCATTGGCTTGCTTGGGGAACACGGAGCAGAAAGTATCCATTCTGCGTTGAACAATTACGAGAAGGACTTCAAAAATATCCCCGTCGCGAGTCAGCGTCTGAAGACCATCGCTGATCAGCATCTGCTCTCCTGCGTTATGGAAATGAGTAATCTTCGTCCCCAACGCAGTACCAGGAAGAGAAAAGCACTAGCACTAGAGGAGTAGTGCACCACCAGGTGAGAACAAGCAGAATACTTTGTGAAACAATAATTTTATCGTGATTAGTAAAGTGGAATTATTTTAGTGTGCCTGGCGTTGTAAATCGAAGTGATGCCTGAATACCACGGTTTCACCCATATACTTTGTAAATCTGATCGTATCAAAACATATTCGAACGGGTTTACAAACCTCGCTGAAAACCAGCTTAGATGGCGCCATATTGTTAGGTGGCACGCGCGTACCAGCCGTGTATGTGCTGTTCATCCTGATTAGACGCACGTCAGCCCTGAACCCATGAGGAGTCAACTGCGGGAAAAGGAAATGCCGAATTCCACTCTGCTGTGGCGCCCGACTAGACGTAACTACACTGTATAATACATGCCCATCGTGATCACACACAACATAAGTGACAGAACTGCTAGAACACAACGCCGCTTACCTGAAGAATGAGTCATCGCGCATGTCATACAGAGAAGCATGAAGCTCAAACTCTCCAGGTACTTGGCACTCCAACGAACAGAGCCTGAAGTAGAGATGGTGAAGCTTCTCGCTGATATCAGTTCCCTTCCGAACGGCAGAAGTTATGACTGACACCGAGAGGGTACGGATAGTCGAGTCTCCTTTCTACAAGTACAACAACCAACAAAAGACAATTTGCAGTCATGCCACACAATGTGCTACCTCTTACCCAGTTCTCTCTCTCTCTCTCTCTCTCTCTCTCTCTCTCTCTCTCTCTCTCTCTCTCTCTCCCTCCCTCCCTCCCTCCCTCCCCCACATGCACTGCACCCCTCCCCCCCCCCCCCCACACACACACTGAGTATCCCTCACACACGCAAGCACACAGACACAACTAGAAGATCTATTATACGTAACTGAGAAGGTATTCGTGCACGTTAGCCAAGCATCCTTACCGCCATTTCCTGCGCTGATTGCTGATGCTGAAATAATGAACAAGAACATGGAAATTACCTCCTTCACAAGGGTGGACCATCATGAACACAAAGTATCAATACTACACAAACAGGGCTGGTCGAGGCAGCTCAAAGTAGACTAGAGTGCTCGATGCACAACAAAGTAGACTAGAGTGCTCGATGCACAACAAAGTAGACTAGAGTGCTCGATGCACAACAAAGTAGACTAGAGTGCTCGATGCACAACAAAGTAGACTAGAGTGCTCGATGCACAACAAAGTAGACTAGAGTGCTCGATGCACAAACGTGCAGAGCCGTATACACAAAACACCGGAGGCGAAGGGCTGAGGAGCTGTCTGCCGCTGTCTGATGATCGCTGAAACGCGTGAAATTTGAAGCTACAGCTCCACAGCCTTTCGCCTCCAGTGTTTGTGAGAATCAATACTATGTATATACCATAAAGTATCATTGCCCCCCCCCCCCCCCCTCTCCAATTTCCGCCACCCTATCGAGTTTCTACCTGTCAAGCGACTTCAGCATATAGGTCAAAATACGGTGTTGACCTAAACGCATGCACTGCTATGTAGTACGCAATACTTGCCAGTGCAGTACGCCTGTGGATGAAATTGTGCACTTTCCAGCACAAGTTTGATCTTCCGTATAGCTGTACACGCACATACTTCCTCCGTTAAGCAAAACTTCGTTGCGTTTTTAGTGTTCTTGTCATGGTATTTCTGTCGGCATTAGACATACATGTCAGTGATCTATCCCCTACATAGAGTAGCTGAGTTGTCGTCCATTGTTCTGACAGGCTTTTGAACCTCCAAAAAACGTGGAGTCCTTTGAAAAAATCGGCGAAGCAGAACCGTTTCTCGACAGGATGTCACCAGAACACAACCCCAGGCGCGCGCGCATGACACCAAAGTGCGAAAATGAGAAACAGTTTGAAAGACCGCGTGGCTTGAAGAAGTGTCCAGGAGCCGGCCAGCGCTCAGGCACTGCTGTACTCATGGTACTAGCACGAGTCGATGGTGCGCATCCGCACACAGCCAAAAGCAATGCACTTGTGTTTGCAGAGCAGGGGAAATCAAAAGCGTTCGACAATCAGGTTGTCGTTCAGTCGGCGCAAAATCCTGATCTCAACGGCGACGACTTGGCGTTCTTCCACAGCCTGTAGACAGACGTGTCACTCGTGGCGAAGGAAACCAGAAAGGAGCTTCTGCAGGGTGTGGAGACGTGCTGGCACGACACACCGCTGCGAAAATGGCGAGCGTTTGTTTGGGTCTGTATGCCTCCTTCCATGGCGGTCCAGAGAGTGGCCACAACTATCAGCGCCACCGGGGAGGTCGTCAAGGGCACAGTTCAAGCGAAGAACTTGGCGATCTCCACGATCAAAATAATCGTGTCTTGGAAACTTGAAAAGGCTGCGGAACAAAAGCTGGCAGCGCTGGCGGCGACAGTCAGCGAGGATGCAGACTCGATGTCATCAGGGAGTGAGTCGTCATCAGATTCAGACGAAGAGTGAAGCTGGACTGCTTTGAAACGAGCTGTGTGACATCTGTAAATAAATATCTTTCATATGCTGCCTTGTTTTCCACTTTTCAAAGCGTGTACGTAGCCATAGAATGATTTGGACTGAACTGTAAAAACGCAACGAAGTTTTGCTTAACGAAGGAAGTAGTACTGCACTTGGCAGCCTTGATCTAACTCCCGCACCCTGCTGAAAATCCAACTGGAAAGCGACACAGTGCGGGGGGATCAACGGTATTTTTAACGGTACTTATACTTCCCCTCGCAGCAAATAGCTTTGCAAGTTGTCAGTACAAAACAACTTTTAAAAAGGTAAATGAAAATTATATGCCGGACTACAGTACTGTCGGGCGCTGAAGAACGGAGCGCCGAAGAACGGAGCGCCGAAGAACTGCCAGGCTAGAATTTCACCAAGCCCAGCATAGCAATGTATACATGGTGAATCAACGGTGCACAGACTGCAATACATGAAAATAAGATGTGCATAGACTGCAATACATGAAAATAAGAACGGTCTAGGCTAGGAGGCTGATCCCCCAGTTCTTCGGCGACCGACAGTACTGTATCACATCATCACTGCAACAACCAGCCTTAGTCGTTGCTACTCCTATTATCAGCAAGACTCAAGGTGCTTGAAAACCCTGGCTTCTTTTAGTTCATATCCACAGCAAAAATGCCAAGGCCATAGTCTGTGGTGCCAAAATCGAATCCAGATTCAGTGCATATAGAGTGTTCACATTGACTGCCATGATACCTTCAATGTTTTTACATCTGTACCTATTGCTGTTGCTGTCGCTGTTATTGTTGCTCTTGCTGTTGCTGTTATTGTTGCTGTTGATGTTGCTGCTGTTGCTGTTGTTGTTGTTGTTGCTGCTGTTGTTGTTGTTGTTGTTTTTGCTGCTGTTGCTGTTGTTGTGGTTGTTGTTGCTGCTGCAGTCGTTGTTATATTATACGTCACATACATGTACCAAGGAGGTATGTTGCCCAATAACAAGTGAAGGAGCAGATTAAGGATAGGACTGCAGTGTTTGGTGAAGAATGGTGCCATTCTACTTAGACTATCACAATGCATACCATGCGATGTAGATCAATGAGAGGAACAGAGCGCTCATCAACGACTTCCTTGTCCTTGTTTCGAGGTGTCAGTGGCAAGCTCATGATCCTGAACATGATACAAGCAGCAGACAGCAGCAGGCTTATACATAATAATCAGCATGCGCGGCTGCATAGGGCAGGCCAGTCGCACAATCAATGGAATTTAGATCTGGGGAGCACAGACTAAAATACCGGTAAGTAGTAGTAAAGGTGTGCAAGTAAATGACGAGCACATGTGTACAAGTGAACAGCAGGTATGTCATATTGTGTATCACATAATCACTTCAGAAGTGATACATGAGCTGAGAAGGGGAGGCAACATAACTGCACAAGCACCGGTCTGCCACTCAATACAAACCATATGATTATAATGATTTGATCCACATAACCTCTATAGCAGCTAGACTCCCCGTTACCCACGTCTGTCCATGTCTTCCCGCATGGGCAGGTGCAATATGTGACTTCCAATATTCTCATTATCATAGGAAACAATAGGAAGGGCTAAACGTAGAGGCACACCTTAGTACTTTGCTTCATTCCTAAGCAGTACAATTACAATGCATCTGTGTCAGGTGTGTCAAGGGCATGGATAAGGATCTCACTCAAGAACTCAAGAATACCGTAATGACTATCCTTCACAGACCTAATCTTACTCAAAACTAAGGGCCACCACGTGTCAAAAGAGAGAAACTGGCCATAAGAGAAGCTCGGGATTCTTGAGAAAACACCTAAAAGCTGTGTGTGTGTGGGGGGGGGGGGGGGGGGGGCTATGTCATGACACCCCTCAGAAAAAGAATCCTGTGCTGTGCTTCTCCAGTGAGTCACGTAGTAACACCATGCAGCTAATATGGTGACAGGTGTAGTATATCCACAAGAGGGCGAACCTGGCAGGTGTGCACATGTACACAGTCACTTGAATATACTATCCCACAATTAGGATGCAACCTACAAGTCAAGGCATGAACAAACCTGGCATGTGGCAGTCAATGTGCAAGGAGCCATGGGGATACAAATTTTGAAAGCATCCATGCGGAGACCAATTGGCAATTGGCCACATGGGATGTCAGGCAGTGTCATGAGATGCTAATATGGTTATTAAACTCACTTATGTCCCCAGTCTATAAGAAAGGTGGCTCTGTGTCGAAGTTGCCGCTGCTCATCCTGCAGTCAAACGGAAGAAGTAGACCCATGGCCGAGATGAGTGGCGCCAGGAAAAGCAGAGTCGGAGTTCCAACAAGCATCATACAATAGACCCGGCCTTGTCCCTGTGGCATCTTAACCAGCTACACCTGTATTGATCATATCAGACTATTGCAATGCTACTACCCAACATCAACACAATGATGTCAATGTCATGCATTCATCTAATGTGCTGTCTTGTGCACGCAATTTACCTTGGCATATTCCCCCCGCACCTACAGCAACTTAATTGGTTTGTTTCGAACTCCCCCACACGTAGTAAAGTCCGTCTCCCCCGAGCTACCACATCTCTGTTTGTATCTTCCCCCTTTTTCAGCTCTTATACTAAATGGCTGGCGTTGCCCCTTCATGTCCGTCAGGCAAAGTCGCTTCCCTCATTTCGCAATCTTGCAAAGCAGCATTTCAACATTCCCATTCAATAGTCAATATACCTGTTTAGTCTCGGTCGTCTCACGTCGGCTGTATTGCTCCCTTTCCTCTGTTATTTACAATGGTAGTGGTGCACCACCACACTTCTTATCTTTCTTTCTACGCCCTGGCTGGCAAACGCCCCCTCCTCATCTATATTGGCACTGATTCATCTTTAGCCACTGGAAGGTGTAATAATAATAATAATAATCTTAATTTCAACTTCCTTGTGTAGTGGCAAGCAAACAGCAAGTACCTTCATAAGTACCCAGCATTGTCAGCTGCCAGCATTGCCAACTGCACGTTTTTGCCCGCATACATGTATATACGGGGAAATGAAGCTTTGTATGAAGCATGGAACCTGAGAAACTGCTGGTCAAATCAGGCCCAATCCTCTGCAAAACTACAGTGCAGCTTAGCCTCTGTCATCGTCTGGCAGCTAGAGACAATCAAAACAATACATGGCAGAGTCCCGGTATTGCCAGACAAACTATAGTTCTATCGGCTTGGAAACACATTTGAGCTGCAGTGATCTACTCGGACAATTAGACAACGGAAATCCACACAATCACACAACACTAACTAGAGATGGGGGGTACACAAAGGGCTAACAAGACACTAGTGCATGGAGTTATGCTGTATTCTTGCGATATAGTGTACTACTGCAACAGCAAATTACATTGCTGTGCTTAGTACGAAAACTGAAAATTTCAGTATCATAATTATCATCATGTTACCCCAATTGACAGTCCATGCAGTGCAAGTTTTTAAAAGGACATCAGGGCAGTAGCACGTAAAGTCATGGTTTTCTGTACTCTTTGGCTCGACGAGTTCACGATTCAGACTTTGGACACCTATAGCTGAATGGAAGATCGGTTTCAATACAAAGCCAGTTCTTTACCCAGACCGTTTTATCCGTAAGTCAGGTACATTGCTACATGACTATGTGTGCGCATGAAAGAAAACAAGGACAATAAAAGGCAAGCAGGATTGTGTCACAACTCCCTACCAAGGATAAAGACCGGGTGGCAAGCTGCTTGCGAATGGACAGGATTTCCAGCACAGCATCGTGCAGCTTCCCAAACATCTCGTGCTTCTCCTGCAGCATGCAGAAAATACACCCAGCAATTCATGAAACATGGGAAATCTTTATGGTCACCACCGCCAAACATACTTGGTGATGGACCTCTCTCTCTCTATGCCAACAGTCACACATGCGCAAGCACATAGTTCATTACTTCTTCACGTACACTGCACCAATAATCATTAGGACATGACAAGGATTCGAACGTTCATCAAAACAATCATTTCCTCTACAAGGCAAGTCGTACCACATAGAACTTGTTGAGAAGAAGCTGACGCCATCGTGGCAGCACGGTACTGAGCTCATGTTCCAACGGATCAAGTCGACGCGGTACTTCATTTCTGTTGTCACATATACACAAGAGAAGGGAGGGGATGAGGGTGGAGGTAGACATGCACAGTGACATTGCTACAACTGTAAAGAGCTAGGTCCCTTGACACACATACATGTAGAAGTATAATGATATGTATTAAAGCCCATTGGGAAATGCATATACACTGTACATAGCAGTAATGGTCAGCAAACAAAGAACAGGATCACTCAACCCATTGCTGCTTCCTACATTTTCCATAATCCACAATAATGATAGGAACCTATACTTCAAGTAGCATTACAAATGTGCCATACATGTACTTAGATAGCAATGAACATGGTTCAAGATGCATCCCTGCTTTTCATGCATATGAGAATGCACTGAACTGAAATGGACAGGTGACAAAGGGGCCCGTGACATGGATTGGATTGGATTGGATTTATTTATAGTGGTGACTATAACAGACAATTGCCTAAGAACAATAGACCCACTCCAGGGAAAGATGTAAAAAGATACTTTGAAGTAAGAATACCGTAAAGTACCGTTGATCCGCCCCCAGGCCATGTCGCTTCCCAGCTGAGTTTTCGGCAGGGGGGCGGGAATTAGATCAAGGCTGTCAAGTGCAGTACGATGTACAACAACATAGAGGATCAGACTCAATGTGCTGGATTGTGCACATTTTGATCCTGGATTGGCAAGTATTGTGTACAGCAGTGCATGCGTCGGTTCAACATCGTATTTCGTTGTATACCCCGAAGTCGCTTCACAAGGAGAAAATTGACAGGGGGCGGGAATTAGAGAGGGGGCGGATCAACGGTACTTTACGGTAATTAATATAATAGACTATTGGATAGGACGTCTGTGTATTCAACTGCAGTGTTTCAAACATCACTGAAAAAGAACTGCAATCACATGGTAATCCTGCGGTGCTGAGTGCTATGCAGCTTACCCAGTGGAGCTGATAGGTGTAGAATCTGCCAGGTGAATGAAGCTAGCTGGGAATATCCCCTGCACAAGCAAACCAATATACCTGAAACCTGTTCACCGTACACAAGAGGACTACCAGAATACTAGTACAGTAGCAACAAACAAAACCTCATGCAGCCTTCAGTTTGAGAAAAGAATGTGGTGCTGACACAGTACTACCACACAGTGATATTAGCATCTTAGTTGTTCGAGTTTCCATCATAACATGCACATGTAGTTCTACTTCACTATTACCACTATGCCAAGCAGGAGCCTGAGAGACTCGTAGGACCACCATTTCAGGAAAAAAACACATGCCTTATCTCAGTTATGAAGATTGTTTCAGCGCATCCTATGGTATTGCGTTTGGGTTCATACTGTTCCTCTTGTGATGAGCTTTCCAGGATGCCCAAGATGATTACAATTGTCCAAGGGAAATCAAGAAGCTACGTCCAATTCAACGTAAGTTTTAGAGGGTACAATAACTGCAATTCTCTGCAAGTCTGCATACATTGAGTTCAGAAAGTAAAGGGTTTTAAAGAAGATTAATCTCTGTCCCTGCGAATGGCTCCAGTGAGGACAGGGGGCTACAGCACTGGCATCTGCTTTACGCTCAAAGCTCGTTCCTCTCATCAGGAGCTTTCCAGGATGCCCTAGCTCATGGAAGGCATCCAAAGGAACATTTACCAAAGTTATTGATCACACAAGTTAATTTTAAAATATAATCAAAAGAAGCTCATGTGCAGTGATTTACCCCACAGCAAAGGGTAAAAAAAGCCCATGATATCACAATGTCACAATGATGACACACATTCCATTGCAAGTACCATCAAGACAGCAAACAAAACACAGTAATAACAGAGTCCCCTGCCCTCCAACAAACAATACAAACAGAACCCAATTAATTAATAGAGTTAAGACTGCATTTCTTCAGTATATACATGTATCTCCCCCCCCCCCCCCTCCCCCAGCCATGCATGCAACCTACCTAGTACCTACACAGTTATGTTGTGCCTTGCCTCTCAGGTACTTAGTTCCAAGCACTTGAAATGAGTAAACAATGAAACATTTCCCAAGAATGCCACTACTGGGCCATAGGCCACCAAGCCAGAGACCACTTATCCACCACTTGACCAGATACTCCAGCGTGTTCATTGCATGCAAAGTATGTGCCGCACATGGTAATGCTGCATACACTGATTATACTCATAGCTGCCCTACTTGTGGGTGAGTTTGCACAGTACAGATGGACAGGAAACACACATTACAATGGCCTGCAGGCCAGCATACATGCACAGTGACCAGTGACCAGTGAGCTAATCTGGCAATCACTTCAACTCACTGTCAAGCGATTCTTCAATAGTGTGCCGCGATACCAGCCTGCACAAACACACAAACAGGGAAATAGGACAAGGTCCTAGGTCCTCTATATGGAGATGCTGGATTGATCAATGGAGAAGAATATACATGCCAGGACAAAGTTCCGCCATAAAAGGACTGGCCACTTTGCAAAGACATTCAATCTACCTATGAGTAAAACGCAACGCCACAACATAGGCTACAAAGTAGGTGCATGTGCTTGGACTGAAGCAACATGGGCACTGCTCAAATGCTCACATAAATGCCGCTTCCTCACAGTGCGTTGTGTACATGGTCCCAGAACACGGAAAGTCGAATATCCTTTCTTCAGAGACTGGAGAAGGTGAAGAGTAATTTGTTACGCTTGCCATAATTAGTTACTCGTTTCCACGTATGGATTTCTCGCATTTCTCGTGTATTGACCATTTCTGATGTCAAGTACTAAAACACAAAGATGCATGGATGAAAGAATTTATCCAGTCCAGAATACATCCTGAGAGACGCTTTGACTTGCTTTCACCTAAGGCTACAGGGGAATAATAAGCTTGTTACGGGACCGGAATCACCATGCTTGTACTATTTACCAAGTCTATAAGTAGTGCATGCGGCAGCCCGCAAAGGAAAAGACATCCACCATACAAGCCAGCCCAAGTCTCCCTCCAGCAAAGATTTCCCAATGGTCTTGTGCATTACGCCCTTAGCTAAACATTGACATACATACAATCATGTAGAAGGTGTCACTTTGCTGGTAACATGACAAATTGGGTGTGAATTTTCTAATAAAGGAGCAGAGATGTGCCATGTGATTGGATCAAACACAGATGGATGCATTGCATTATGAGAACAGACAGAGTGTAGGTTGTAGAGGGGTTTCATGCACACTTGAAAACCCTTGTGTGGCAGGCATAGGAACAGCAGTGGCGGTCTGCCACTCACCTCTACACTCTTCCAGGATGTGCACAGTATCCCCGATTTGTAGAGACAGATGGCTGGTCGCCCGAGCTTGGTAATCATGGATAACTGAAAACCAACAGGATAATAATTGTGGAATGCAATGTTATTTACTACATCAATAGTTCCAATACAATACCGAGTGGCCAGGTCAATACACATTACTGTACAATTGTGCATTATGTAGCAAACCCTAGCTAGCCCCACGAGTCTGGACATGCGCTCTGAATTCCTGCTACTGCTTGTACCCGTGTACGCGCCAAGAATATCCACATGCCGCAGTATGTTTATTTCGCTACAAAATAAAGCGCATCGCTCGCGGTCACGGTTCTTTAGATTACAAATACAAGACATAATTGCACGCACGTCCTCATCCACTATGCCGCTGCTACAAATAAGAGCACAAAATACGCGTGACCAAAAGGACTCTCGACAATAGCCACTATGGCCCAGGGTGGAATAATTGCATACTTCTGGGTTGCATTTTCTCGAGGGCACGTGCTCCTGTTACCCACAAACGTGGAAGCAAAGGAACTGAATTCACCCAGCCACGCGAAATGGCAGAAATAATAGCTTCCACGTCAATTCGGACACAACAAAACTTCAAACGAACTACTAGCAATAGATCAGGCCGAAATTACCTGCTCCCAGACGAGCATTGTTGGAAGCTGAGCGCCAACACGGACCGGAGTCTGGCATTCTGGACGGACCCAGAGCCAAGGCCCGTTTAGCAGGGCCGGCCGCACGTATATCACACCTCCTCGTTCATCCAATACACGCACCGACACTTTGAACGGACGAGGCTTCGGCGCTTGGCCACGACGGACAAACAAAATCTCGTCAAACGAAGAATACAAGTAAATAAACAAGACCAAGAAATGGTTGACATTCGACCACAACCGATCTCCAAACTGTCACGATCGAGCCCCAACTGGCCAAGTCCATCCATCCTGTTAGTGTTATCGGTAGCGCGCGCTCCAGTGCACACACTCAGCCACTGATCTCGTACACTCTGCATAGTGCAGTGCAGTGTACTTATTCGGTGTCGTAGCCACCCTCGGACAAGCTCGAGCTCCTTATTACTAGTTAGTGCACACTGCACAGACAATGAGACATACTAACACAATCATAGTGACTATGTACACGTCTAGATCTACACCGAGTAGATCTACAGTACAGAGAGCATGTCGACAGACTAGACGTCAGTCAATCATACAGCTAGCTGTACGAGTCTCCACTACGGCTAGCTATGCATAGCCTGATTTTGCTAGCTGCCAGCAGAATATCGAAGAATTTCGAAAGGGAAATTGCTGGCAAAAAGGAGTAAAATATCAGTGTGTTCACTGAAAATTGGGAGATTTTACACGTATGCGGTGCACGTGACTCATTTCGCACAGTTTTACCCACACGTACGTGACTTCCTTTTTCCCATTTTTGCCAACATGCAACACGTTAAAGGGGAAGTATACCCTTAAATCAAATTTTCACCAGTTGTAGTCTTCGGGGTGCTGAGTCGAATGGTCTTGGTCCGAGGAAGCTGAGACGCTCCCTTCCGACTTGAATCCCAATCGAACTTGCGCACTTCCACCGAAACTGGGTGACTGCGCCCTACTAGATGGGGATTTGTATGCAAAATGTCACTAAAAGCGCCATTTCGTTCTTATAAAAGCGCGGATGACCGCGATTGGCCCATATGTTGTAGTCTTTTGGACGCTGAGTCGACTGGTTTTGGTCCGAAAAGGCTGCGATGCAGCGTTCCTCCTTTATTCCCAATCGAACATGGTTGAACAAGCGGTCACGTGCTCCTGCGTACACCAGTCACCTGGTCACCGTGCCTGCAGGGTACAACTTACTAGCCTGTTTGACCTTTTTTGGGTGCAGTCCTGTCACTCGAGTTGAACTCGAGTTGAACCTTGGTGTGAAAGTTGTCGCCTGCTGGCGCGGTGACCAGGTGATTTGGGCACCCAGGAGCACGTGACCGCTTCTTCAACCATGTTCGATTGGGAATAAACTTAGGAGGAACGCTGCATCGCAGCCTTTTCGGACCAAAACCAGTCGACTCAGCGTCCAAAAGACTACAACATATGGGCCAATCGCGGTCATCCGTGCTTTTATAAGAACGAAATGGCGCTTTTAGTGACATTTTGCATACAAATCCCCATCTAGTAGGGCGCAGTCACCCAGTTTCGGTGGAAGTGCGCGAGTTCGATTGGGATTCAAGTAGGAAGGGAGCGTCGCAGCTTCCTCGGACCAAGACCATTCGACTCAGCACCCAGAAGACTACAACTGGTGAAAATTTGATTTTAGGGTATACTTCCCCTTTAACACGTGACTCACTTTCGGTCAGTTTTCCCACACGCGACACAAATCTTGAAGCAAAAAGGGAGCAAAATATCGAGTGGCCTGGCAAAATGAAAGCAAAATATCGACGATGAGCCAGCAAAATTTTGCGGCAAAATTTCAAAGCCTCACGGGCAAAATCGGGCTTTGCCTAACTATGCGTATACCGCACTAGTGCACAGCCCAATACAACTTGTACAGTCAACTTCGCAAGTAACGGCTGCGGATATAACGACAATTCACGAATAACGACAGAATTCCCATGCCCAGAGCAAAGTCCCATCTAACTGTAATGCAATCACAGGGTTCTAGCCAAAGGGGATTAGGGGGGCGCAGCGCCCCCCCCCCCCCCCCTACTCCCTACTCTGTTTGAGCCCCCCCCCCCCCCTGTGAAAAAGTGTCGCCCCCCCTACTCATTTTCCGATTTTCGTGTTTTTCATGCAATTCAACGAAAATGGAGCCGAAAGTCACTATTAGATGGTTCATAAAGGCACATGAGTCTGGGGCGACGTCGGGGATTCGCCCCATACGCTGCATTTAGCGTGGCAAGACAATTTTGGAAAGTGGAAAAATGGGATACGGGGTAACTGTTTCCCATGCCCACCACCCCCCCCCCCCCCTACTATTTTGACCTGGCTAGAACCCTGAATCATATAATGAGACTTTGGGTATAAGGACACTTCGCGAATAAGGGCACTTTTCTGATGCCCCGCCGAGTGCTGTTATACGCAAACGGTTGACTGTAGTGCATTGCCATCCATGCCTTGCCACGGCTTCGCTACATGCGGTAGGCTGTATGCAGTGCACGAGCGTCATGTAATCTAGAAGACTACATCTACCAATAGTACCATGCATCACGTAAAATGTACGCATCATGTAAAATTTACTCATTATTAATTTGCAACATGGAAATTGGAACTTGGCTCACCATCTGAGTTCAATATTAATTATTATTCAATAACCATGATATCGATGAAGTAAATCTAACGTTTTTTAAACGCTTGACATTTCTTCGATAATTGGTCTGTCGAGGTTGTAAGATTTTCACCAGTTGTAGTTTTCGGGGTGCTGAGTGGAATGGTCTTGGTCCGAGGAAGCTGAGACGCTCCCTCCCTCCTTTATCGGGCTTCAAAGTGCTACGTCACAGCATAGCAACAATTTCAAAATTCAAAAACTGGATCCATGTGGGATCCAAGCACATTTCAAGCGGTCTCACTCACAGCAAGGTGATGTAACCGGTGAAATTGACTGACTTGGCTAATGGGGCTGGGGTGACAACTGGTGGCGAAGTAAAAGTCAAACCTGTACACGACATGCGTGGGTTGCTATTCACCCACACATTGAGGCAATAGCAAAGTCACACCTTAGTGGATCCAAAAGTAGAAATCTGATGTGAACTTACTACTTCCTGGCCATTTTGACGTCATCACTTTCAAGCCCTATTCCCAATCAAACTTGCCACTTCCCCGAAACTGGGTGACTGCACCCTACTAGATGGGGATTTGTATGGAAAATGGCACTAAAGCGCCATTTCGTTCTTATAAAAGCACGGATGACCGCGATTGGTCCATATGTTGTAGTCTTTTGGACACCGACTTGTTTTGGGGCGAAAGGGCTGCGATGCAGCGTTTGGCCCCTATTCCCAATCGAACACTGTCCAGTAAGCGTCTGTATAGTAGAAAAGTAGGTGAATGTTTACATGAAGACAGTTGACCCGGGTCAATTATATGCCGCCAAAAGTCCACTTCTAGAGTCCTGTATCGTCACGTGAATACTTTCGCGCGAAATTGTCTGTGCAGTGCTGTTCAAACCTGCCGCGAGATACACACAGAAGTACAGCAGTACGATTTCTCGATTTCAACCCGGGCGAAATTTCAACCAGGGTCTAGCACAATGCGTCATGTAAACGCGCCAATCAATCTGTGTTCATGGTGGGTTGAAACTTGACCCGGGTTGAAACGCCTCATGTAAACACAGCCTTACAGCCTGTTTGGGCAAGTTCCTGTCACTTGAGTTGAACCTTGGCGTGAAAGTTGTAGCCTGCAGGCACGGTGACCAGGCGACTGGTGAACGCACGAGCACGTGACAGCTTACTCAACCATGTTCGATTGGGAAAAAGGGCCGAATGCTGCATCGCAGCCTTTTCGGACCAAAACCAGTTGACTCAGCGTCCAAAAGACTAAAACAATGGGCCAATCGCGGTCATCAGTGCTTTTATAAGAACAAAATGGCGCTTTTAGTGACATTTTGCATACAAAAGCCCATCTAGTAGGGCGCAGTCACCCAGTCTCGGTGGAAGTGGCGAGTTCGATTGGGAATAAAGGAGGAAGGGAGCATCTCAGCTTCCTCGGACCAAGACCATTCGACTCAGCACCCCGAAGACTACAACTGGTGAAAATATTTTTAGGGTATACTTCCCCTTTAACATAATCATCTTCCCGTTAGACTCATGAATTTTGGACCAATGTTAAATTTGCGATTCGTTATAATGACATGTCTTATGGTAGTAGATACTACATAGTCCAGGTCTGCCCTTGTTAGTAGACAACCCTAGACAACCCCGGGGCGAGGGTTCAAATTCTTTGTCTTATAACGAGCACTATTTGCAGCAAGGACCTCAGACACTTTGTCTTCAAACGAGTACCGATACTATATCTACTATCCGGACTTGAATGTATGCATTTCAGGCGTCAGCCTGGGAATTTGTATCGTTGTCTACTAATGAGGTTTGCCTTGTAACCGGTGTCGTACTAACAAGGGTAGACCTGTACACAATCATCAGGCAAATGATGGATAAAAAACAGGTGGCCTGCATATAGAGAGCAAGGCATAGGCAATCAAAATAGTGATTTGGCACAAACTGGGTATACATCATTTTATATACATGGTGTATACAGTGGAGATTGGATATAACGACACTCTTTCGGGAGAAAGCAAAATGTCGCTATATTCGATCTGAAGCTAAACCCGATCTTCACATTTAGTATGCAATATGTATATCAAAATGACAGAAATGTTTGAAGAAGGGCTGAGGCTTCCTGCAGCTTCATCTGTGAAAAGAATTCGGGTGGACACACCCATTCCCATAGCGCTGCACATCACATCCGAACCAGTTCCGTTATTTTTACAACGTTTCGGCACTTGGCCATCGTCAGGTAATAAAAAAATTAACAAGAATTAACACCATAATTATTTGGCATGTACCCTCACTTCGTAGAGCACAACAGCGCGCTCTTCTTCTCCGTGATGTGCACAGTTGCACCTTCTCTCCCCCCTCTGTATAGAGGTGACATAACTCGCATCATTTTATTTTTTGGCGCTACACTCTGCGTAACGCCATTCACAGAGCACAATGCGCGCTACCTTCTGATGCTTCTCCTCCGTGATGTGCTAGTTGCGCCTTTTCTCTCTCTCTCTCTCTCTCTCTCTGTCCCCCCCCCCCCCCCTTCTGCATACTAGGTGACATAATTCGCATCTTTTTTGGCGCTACACTCTGCGTATATACTGCTGTTGTGTGGCTTCCACGGTATTCATTGTTATTACCTGACGATGGCCAAGTGCCGAAACGTTGTCAAAATAACGGAACTGGTTCGGATGTGATGTGCAGCGCTATGGGAATGGGTGTGTCCACCCGAATTCTTTTGACAGAAATGTATTGTAGATATACATGTACATGATTGTACATGTGGATAATAGATGTGTATGATTGTACAGTCATGTGTCTTGCATGCATTGTTCAAGGTAAAGTCATCCCGCACCGCTGCACTGCGGCTACAACGACGTGCAGTGTAAAGCACACATGAGTGACCCGGAGGTCCGGGCATGTGGCACAGCCATAATATACCATATTCCAGACATGCCAGTCTGCCTGATACAAGAGGAAAGTCGTTATATCCGATGTATTTTCACTGTTTTTCAGGTCTTCGGGCACCAAAAAAGTGTCAGTAAATTCGATCTGTCGTTATTTTCGAGGTCGTTATACCCGATCTATAATGTACAGAAAGGACTTGCTAAACGACTTGGGCAACAGAATTGTGTCGCTAAACTCGATTTGTCGTTATACCCAAGGTCGTTATATCCAATCTCCACTGTATCAGGCAATAAGGCAGGGACTGTGGAAGATACACACTAAGGTATACTGATATTCTCCAGTACTGTGCTACTCCGTGGTTCTCACACAGGAGAAGAGCCAAAATTAGAGCTAAAATCATGACTGTGCATTGAGGGGAAGCGAGAAATGCATCATCGGTGGGAATAGGCATGGTTTACACAATCTACTTTGATTCCGCAGGTTTGGATCATAAGTTGTGACTTTGCTTAAAAAATTGAAGCTCACACAGATTCTCCAGTGCTTAATTCTAGCGCCAACATACTGCCCAACAGCCCCCCCCCCCCCCCCCCCCTCTCTCTCTCTCTCTCTCTCTCCAAGTGCGCAGACTCCACTGCGGCCACTTCATTTTAAAAGATCACTCAAAACACACACATTATACGGTTCCTGAACCGCAATTTAAAAAAATTTAAAAAATTCCATCAATATTTCGGCCCTGGGCCATCATCAGGATTGATATTTCGGCCCAAGGCCGAAATATTGATGGAGAATTTATTTAATTTATTCCATTGATGCCATATTAGATTCGAGTTGTGATGTACTAAATTACAGCTCAGTCAGACTATGAGTAGGACAGTACGAGCATTGCCTTGACAATTCATTCCACGTAGACAAAACCACAATGCTCCTGGCAAATCTCACCATGATACTTGCCTCAGTGACACGATGATCCGCGAAACCATTCTCGGGTGCTTAGTGCTTCTTCTGAATCTGTATGCATGTGACATGACATGTTAAACTGTACCAGTAACCTACATATTTTGAATTACCAACAGCATACAGAAAGGAAAACAAGAACAATGACTTGGCTTGTGAGCAGCACTGGCTAGGCCGGCTCACACACAATCACTGCTTTTCACAAATTCATTTCAGGAAAAAAATTCAACGTTTCGGTCATAAAATAACCATCGTCAGGAGTGAAGTGGGCACATTGGTTAGGATGGGTTAATAAATGAGGAGTGCTGCGAGGAGATAGCAATTCACACACTACTACAGTCGTCCCTCTCTAATCCGGCACTTTATAATCCAGCACCCTCGATAAACCAGCACAATTTTCAGTAGCCAAAATGTCCCCTTCATGCACATTGCAGCAGTAAATCAGATTTGTTAATCCAGCACCCTCCCTAATCCAGCAGATTTTCGTGGCACAAATGGTGCCGGATTATAGAGGGACCACTGTATTACGAGAGAGAGAAAAGAGGTTAAAAAAACATCACAACCAAACAAAAAACCTGGTATAGAAATAACACAATACGCGACAACTCTAAATATGCCACAGGCACCAAACAGAATACTGTAAAAGCAGAAATGTTCGGTGGTGTAATATTTTGGCATTCTCCAAACTTGGCAGTTCGGTGGAGGGAAATTTTCGGTAAAACCCGTTTTCCAGGGTAAGTGCACTAATACTACATGTATACAGTATCGGTAGTACCGCAATTTTCGGTGCGTCTTATTTTCGGTAAAAATTGTCGGCACCGAAGTTACCGAAAATAAAACACCACCGAAAATTTCTGCTTTTACAGTATGTAGTATTATCATACTATTATGTACATGCGTGCATACATGTAATTGCAGGTGCTAGCAACAACAGTAGTAGTAACAGTGCATGGGGGTGCAAAAATATTTAAAATACAGTCAAACCTCGTTAGGACGAACACTGATAAGGCGAACTTTCCATTAGTACGAACTAGGGCCAATCCTATGGTTGGCCAGGCATCAATTCAAGTCAAAATTATTCGTTTACGACGAACTTCTGTACAGCGAACTTTCGCGAAGACGAACTATTATTTCAAGTGTGATTTGAACAAAATCAGTGTGGTCATGTACATGTAGTACGAACTTTCTGTCCGGGAGAGCGTGCGTGTGCGCTGGCTGCCTTTTTTCCTTTCTTTTTTTTCAATAGTCGAGGCTATAATATTGTACGTACAGTGAAAATTGTTTTCAAGCGTGTTTTGAACAAATAATCAGTGTGTTGTTCGAACTTTCGGCACAGTTGTGATTCATTGCACATTGTCATTGTACTTACCTGTTTCTGGCGTATGCTAAGAATGAAATGCTTCCCATGTACCACAGCATGCACCTTCACGTAAATACAATCCATAATTATGATATGCATATCGATCTTTTGTCAGATCTGGATAAGAAGAACTCCCGATAAGACAAACAAATTTGCTCAGTCCCTTGAAGTTCGTCCTAACGAGGTTTGACTGTACCACTATCCAGGGACAGCACTGCATGCTAGAGTTGCACACTCTTGCTGGGGACCTATACTGCTGGTAGAGAGAACTGCCACACCAGCATGCGACATGAGGGCCTACCCACCAGATACTACGGGGTTGTAGGCTGAGTTCAACTTGTAGCAAAGCGAAGTTCACGTTCGGGTTTGCACTCCAAGGAAAGTCGAACTCGGTCACAAAATTCGCATTCAGAGAGAATCAACAAACAGAATTCATGCTTGCATGATGTTGACAGGTTGTACTAACTTATGTACAGACAGTACAGCGTAGTAGATTCATGACTGTCTTGGCCTGAGGCAAATCCACGATTCGGGTTCCGACTGCTTTTCGGAATGAAAAATGCGAAAGTTTGCGGTCCTGTTCGCAAACCAAAAAATGTATGCGAAACCGGCAGCGACTTTCATGATGCTTTACATGTTTACTGCACTTCGCAATGGTCAGCTTGGCTCTAAAAGTCATTATTTATTGACTTCTGACGTCATCACCTTCAAGCACTGGGCCCTGGCCTACATACGTATACAGTCGAATGTCACTTAGGGGCCGTCCGTAATTATCGAACGTTTTTCACCAAACGAATTATTTTAGTTTAGACCCAACCCCTCCCTCCCTCCCCCTCAGAACGTAAAAAAAGTTTGACATATGCATGCATAATACAACAAAAGTTGCAAGTGTGTAACTGCTCCTATGGGCATGCACATGTATCAATGTTTTTTGAAACGAAATTGGTCAACCCCCTCCCACCCCATAACGAAATTATTTCGTTTTGTGAAAAAAGTTCGATAATTATGGACGACCCCTTATCCAGTGCTGCCAAATAATTTTCGCCCCAAATCGGACACCCTGCACCATGTTCACCGCCAAGGCTGGCCACATGGTGCGAATTTTTCTCCTCAGCAAATTTTTTCCAAAGAATTCAAAGTAACGCCCACAATACCATGAAAATTTGCTCCGCTGCCATGGTAACCGATATGGCACCCCCGAAGTTGTCATGAACTTTGTAATGCATGAGTAAGCGCTAGCCTTTTTACTGTACAGGTACTGTGATTTGTGCCTTCAGTTGCGCTGAAAAGTGAATATACAGGACTTCTGCATAGGAAAGTACTAATCCCTGACATTTTTGGCTGCTTTTCGGACGTTTCCTTTTTCGGACCGGTTTTCGGAAGAGCCTTCAAAATCGGACACTGTCCGAAAAATCGGACGGTTTGGCAGCACTGCTTATCCGACCACTTCGGGAATCAGGCATGTTGGATAACTGGATATGTTGGATAACTGATATCATTTTTATGTGCATATACGGCTGGATTTCACTGATTTATGTACACAATACCCAAATATATTCATGAATTGCTCTATGTACACATACATGTTAGTCGATCTCATGTAATAAGGCAACACTGCCTGTTTGTTATTCGACGTTAAATAAACCAATCCAATCCAATGTTAGCATACTTGACCACATCTACTTCAAATAAATGCATATTACACCGAATAATACAAATTCAGAATTTTACTGTTGAGAGTCATAAAATTACCACTCCCGGGCTTGTCGGATAACCGACGTGCTCGGATAAGTGACATTCGACTGTACAGTGAAACCTGTCTAAGGCGACCACTCAAGGGCCGAGAAAAAGTGGTTGCCTTGGCCAGGTGGTCTTCTTATCCAGGTTCAGTGGGTCACGTGACCATATCCACTTCATAATACATTATGATAATCATTTTGATCAGTGTATCACACTGCACACACCTATGCTACTCTAGCACGACCCATGTGCCTGGGGTCCTCAGACCTGTGTGTGCATGCACCATGTACATCTACACTTCCCGAGCTGATGTGTAGATCTACCATGCATGGTGCAACGCGGTCGCGGGTGGGTGGCCATGGCCGCCGGTCGCATTGAGCGAGTGGTCGCCTAATCCGAGCTGTTTTGAATGTGAATGCGTCCGTGACAAGGAAAAGTGGTCGCCATGGTCGCCATATCCGAGTGGTCGCCATTACAGGTTTTAACTGTACATAATTTGTACAATAGTCTATATACAGCATACCGGTATCTATGGGTCCAGAAGTAACATTTTAAATACATCATTATTATTGCCATATTGGCCGGCTTGGCTGTAGCTGTATACCGGTAACCAAGAAAACATGTACTGTATATGTACCACACCGGTATATGTCTGAGTTTCTACAGAATACACACCTTCGTCAGGCCGGAGACTGCGGAGCGAAGTCCATGCTGGAAAGGAGATCGACGGAGACTGTCGGGTGCCCATGCCTTGTGCAAATTGATTATAAGGCTCCTGATAAGGAATTACCACGGGAAGTGAGTACCTCAAAGGCTCAATACAGTAGCTGAAGACGTAGTCAATACTTATTACAACTACCAGATAGTTGATTCCTCGATCAATCGCAATACTAGTATGCAAATCCAAATCCACGATTATGAAACTTCGAAACTACAAGTACCGGTAATAGTTGACGTAAGAATGGTAAGAACTGACATGATGAGTCTTTGATGACTCATGCTCACCTGTGTAGTGTTACTTCGTACATGTACGGTAGATCTGTATGGTCAAGATCGCAAGAGTAGATAAACTCTTGGTACAGTGCTTATATTATGCATGGCAGGGGCGTAGCACCCGCTACGACTGGTACGACCATGGCCGTATCACTTTTAAAAAAGTGTGGTCCGTCCGGAACGTGCAAAACCGTAATAAAAAAATCAGGATCCATCGATGCATATAAGCGTATCAGACTTTGATCTTTTTCTAGACTCGTACTCGTAGATCTGCCATGCATCTGCAGTTGTACTGAGTACTGTACTCGACTCGACTGCACACTGCGCCAGAAGTGTGCCAGAAGTTCCCAGAACGCAGGATTTTGTGTCTTTTTTACAAAATTTTCCCGCGGGGAGGTCCCCTGGACCCCCCCCCTCCAACAGGGCCTTTGGCCGCTCCGACCTTCGGTCGTACCACTTCCAAAAACCCTCCTACGCCCCTGCATGGTGCTTGAACTTTGAACTGACTGGACTTATAATCACTTTGACCTTTATAAAAATATAAGTGTACACACTGGCACAGGCACAGGAATGGAAACGGGGAACCACTTTGTTACTTTGCAGGGGCGTATTTCTTTGGCCACGACATAAAGAGGGACTCCCTGGCCACAACAAGTAAATAAGTTTGATGCTCAAGAGTGTTCGAATGTCGAGAATCAACTGTTGTCTTTATGAAAATGATTGCGAAAATGATTGCACTCAGCATGAAACTCGGGCGGGGGGGGGGGGGGGGGGGAGTGGGTGGTGGTAAAGAGCAGATACAGGCAAAGGAAAAATAATATTAATTTTGTCACAAGCCCAGCTCGGAGTAAAAGTAAATATGAGCAAAAAAGTATGGGATGAATGTGCAGGAAGTTGGCAGGAAAAGAGTACTGAAGTTGAATCAGTCAAATTGTTATGACGCAGACAAAAACAGGTGGCTCATAACTCAGCTCAATACAGTAAAGCAATACAATCAAGAGCGCTTAAACACTCAAACACTCAATGGAAAACCATACAACTCACAGAAAACAACTGTGAAGCACAGTGTAGAGATAAAATTCACACATCAAAAAGGTCAAGACCGGGACGCTGAGTGTGTTTCGTGTGTTGAACAGTTGCGCAATACATCCAATAAATCATACTGAAGTGTCTAGTTTATTTCACAGGGCAATATCACTAAATCAAGTGCCCCTTTGTTTTTATGCACTTCAAGGAGTCAATGAGCTTCCTGGAGGCTTCTAGTCCAAGTATCTGCAGCATTGAGTCACAGGAGACAAAGAGGGAGAAATATGAGAGGGAGGAGCAGAAAGGAGCATGACATGACATTTGAAAAAGAGCACGAGAGCATACAAGTCTTATACACCATACCCAAACTGTATGGGGAGATAGGGGTCCTGTGCGGGGGAACTTCCAGACCTGAGTGATCCACATCAGCATTGCCCGTCATGCAGTTGTGAAGTGGAGATCGAACCACGCTACATCGTGGACCATGCCATGCCACAGGGCAATGTCTCCCGCCGGGAAGACACCCTCAATACACTGCTATGCCAACTCGCCATGTGCCAGCATGGTGGCAGGTTACATACTCATACACACCTGCCGTGCCGGGGCTTTGCTATGAGCATGTGGGCACGTACAGCACACCATTATAGGCTGTGGTGCTGTATCCAATGCAAACGCAAAAGAAACTGCTCTTCGCAAGGTAACACGAAACTACTCGCCAGTTGCCTTCTTGTGCCAGCTTGCCGCAGAAACTGTTTACACCCCCCCCCCCCCCACACACACACCCATCTTTAAAGGGGAAGTTAAGGCAAAAATTAAAATTTCACCAGTTGTAGTCTTCGGGGTGCTGAGTCGAACCACAAAAGAAACTGCTCTTCGCAAGGTAACACGAAACTACTCGCCAGTTGCCTTCTTGTGCCAGCTTGCCGCAGAAACTGTTTACACCCCCCCCCCCCCCCACACACACACACCCATCTTTAAAGGGGAAGTTAAGGCAAAAATTAAAATTTCACCAGTTGTAGTCTTCGGGGTGCTGAGTCGAATGGTCTTGGTCCGAGAAAGCTGAGACGCTCCCTTCCTACTTGAATCCCAATCGAACTCGCGCACTTCCACCGAAACTGGGTGACTGCGCCCTACTAGATGGGGATTTGTATGCAAAATGTCACTAAAAGCGCCATTTCGTTCTTATAAAAGCACGGATGACCGCGATTGGCCCATATGTTGTAGTCTTTTGGACGCTGAGTCGACTGGTTTTGGTCCGAAAAGGCTGCGATGCAGCGTTCCTCCTTTATTCCCAATCGAACATGGTTGAACAAGTGGTCACGTGCTCCTAGGTTCCCAAATCACCTGGTCACCACGCCAGCAGGCGACAACTTTCACACCAAGGTTCAACTCGAGTGACAGGACTGCACCCAAAAAAGGTCAAACAGGCTAGTAAGTTGTACCCTGCAGGCACGGTGACCAGGTGACTGGCGTACGCAGGAGCACGTGACCGCTTGTTCAACCATGTTCGATTGGGAATAAAGGAGGAACGCTGCATCGCAGCCTTTTCGGACCAAAACCAGTCGACTCAGCGTCCAAAAGACTACAACATATGGGCCAATCGCGGTCATCCGTGCTTTTATAAGAACGAAATGGCGCTTTTAGTGACATTTTGCATACAAATCCCCATCTAGTAGGGCGCAGTCACCCAGTTTCGGTGGAAGTGCGCGAGTTCGATTGGGATTCAAGTAGGAAGGGAGCGTCTCAGCTTCCTCGGACCACGACCATTCGACTCAGCACCCCGAAGACTACAACTGGTGAAATTTTAATTTTTGCCTTAACTTCCCCTTTAATATCAAGACACATGGGCGCTGACGATGTGCAGCGACTCTGCAAGGTGCATTCAGTGCCATTCACATCAGTCCTCGCAGACAATCTAACTAGGTATAGTGGAACCCTGATTAGATGTACCACCGTGAGGTACAGTACATGATACAGCAGTGTACTAGCATCCGAAGCATTTCTCATCTGAACATACTGCATCGTTGGGCGATACACGCGTACTCTAAGGTTGGCACTACAATGTAAGGAAGTGTATGTCTAATATCAGAGTACACACTATACTTGCATGTAGGTGAGTTCAATTGTATGCGCACTGAGTGATCTCTTTCTATTGCAACACAATCTTACATGCAGACTCTCGACGGCTGTACAAATCAGCAGGTCACTACTACTACTACTACTACTACCATAAAATCCCGCCAGAGCGCCCCATCTCTCCCATGCGCCCCTCTCTGACTTCTTGTCAGGGAAGTGAGAATCCTCGTATGACTCTGTGAAGTGTGATGCTGTACTGCACTGCAGCCGCGGGCTCTACCCCGTTGGAAATGTAAGCAACAGTTCACACCCTCTTGACCAGGGATCGCACAAACCCTGGGATTTGATGGGTCTGTACAACTCCTGCTCTTGACCTTTGGTGGGTGTACGAGTTGCACACACAGTTTTCGTTGGGTGAGTACTTTTTTTATGTACAGTAAAACCTGGTTTAAGCGCAGGTCCCACAGAGTCTGTGTAGAACTGTTGGTGCATGGAAAAATAAAGGGGAAGTTAAGGCTAAAATCGAAATTTCACCAGTTGTAGTCTTCGGGGTGCTGAGTCGAATGGTCGTGGTCCGAGGAAGCTGAGGCGCTCCCTACCTACTTGAATCCCAATCGAACTCGCGCACTTCCACCGAAACTGGGTGACGGTGCCCTACTAGATGGGGATTTGTATGCAAAATGTCACTAAAAGCGCCATTTCGTTCTTATAAAAGCACGGATGACCGCGATTGGCCCATATGTTGTAGTCTTTTGGACGCTGAGTCGACTGGTTTTGGTCAGAAAAGGCTGCGATGCAGCGTTCCTCCTTTATTCCCAATCGAACATGGTTGAACAAGCGGTCACGTCCTCCTGCGTACACCAGTCACCCGGTCACCGTGCCTGCAGGGTACAACTTACTAGCCTGTTTGACCTTTTTTGGGTGCAGTCCTGTCACTCGAGTTGAACTCGAGTTGAACCTTGGTGTGAAAGTTGTCGCCTGCTGGCACCCAGGAGCACGTGACCGCTTGTTCAACCATGTTCGATTGGGAATAAAGGAGGAACGCTGCATCGCAGCCTTTTCGGACCAAAACCAGTCGACTCAGCGTCCAAAAGACTACAACATATGGGCCAATCGCGGTCATCCGTGCTTTTATAAGAACGAAATGGCGCTTTTAGTGACATTTTGCATACAAATCCCCATCTAGTAGGGCGCAGTCACCCAGTTTCGGTGGAAGTGCGCGAGTTCGATTGGGATTCAAGTAGGAAGGGAAACGTCTCAGCTTTCTCGGACCAAGACCATTCGACTCAGCACCCCGAAGACTACAACTGGTGAAATTTTGATTTTAGCCTTAACTTCCCCTTTAAGAGCAGGTGGTCGCTAAACACAGAGGTCGCTTACACCAGGTTATACTGCAGTATCGAATGCGTCAAGTAGGACTCGCCCATCCGCCCCTCCCCACCTGGACCTACTCGAAGGGTCGCGGAAGTAGGGGCGTTCTGGTGGGATTTTACGGTACTACTACGCTTGCCTCTGACCACCAAGCCAACAGATTGTTCTGCACATAGGCACGAAAGCACACAAGCACAAGGTCGGCAACGTGCCATCCAAGCAAGCTCACCTGAAACAAGAATACACCGCCACAGGCGCAAGCTATTGTGACCCAGTTTGTTTTCAGCCAGTCGTACACGGCATTCACACAGCCAGTACTCCAGATGATGGTGTTGCGCTCGCCCTGAATACACAAACACGCAACACACACAGGAACGGAACATTGCTACTTCTGAAGTATAATTATAGTGACCACATCTATATGGTCGCCACAACACCTCTCTCCTCCGATTCAGCTGAAGCAATTGGCTAGATCAAGAGTGTAGAAGTAACGTCACCAAAGGCTACAGAATCCTCAGATTACGATCAAGGCATACTGCCTACTAAAACCATGAAAACAATCATACTACTTGAGAGCTCTGCAAAGTACATCCTAATCAGTCTCTTTGTGCAAGGTGGCTTACTATTCTCGGGTACTTTGCAATCTCAGTTGCAGTCATGTTGGGGTAGGCGAACACCTTGTAGCCACACTGAGCATTGGTCAACGCCTGTAGGCAGCCATACAACAATTAACATTCAATATCGGTACAGAACTGCATACACCACAGAGGCACATGTAGATCAAAGTACATTGTATAATATTGCTTCTAGCTCTAGAGCTGCTGGCGAGATACATGTAACAGTTATCAAGAAACCAAATTAATCATGCCTCCTCCCAGACACACACCATCCCACAGACTGAGACAGAAAGATAGATAGATAGATAGATAGATAGATAGAGAGAGAGAGAGAGAGAGAGATAGAGAGAGATAGATATACATCAGTGTCTGCTCTAGGATTGTAGGACAGCCGGGTACACGTGTACCTGGCGCAACCATTTCAACCGGCTCGGAGCCGGGTACACATGTACCTGGCGCTGTCTCACCAGCCGAGTCACATGTTTTAACTGGTTGGTTGGTTTATTTTAATTCGGACAATAAACGGGAACTAGGCCCAATGATATAAAGGCGAATGGATAAGCCGCATTTAGAAAAGAGAGGACAGGAATTAGAAAATTACGAAAGAAGAAGAAGTATCTGACACATACAAGCCATGTAGTCAGTCCTTTCAAAGTTCGACAGTACCAACCGGGTCACATGTGACCCGGTTTTATTTTTTCAACCGGGTCCAAGCGCCGCCCAACCAGGTGGATTACCCGGCTCACCCGGCGCTGGAGCAGACACTGATACATGTACAGTATACGAAAAAAGAGAAATAGGTCCAGTTTGGATTTGTCGTGACTCAAAGTTTCATGCCACTGCAATCATCAGACGACTGATAATAAAAACCTAAGACTAATCATTTAATAAGATCATGCTTGATACTTGGCGCTTAGATTGTCATTACTCTACGCGATTCACGAATGAAGGCCAATATCACACAGATGTGATGGATAATATGAGGGATAATGTTGGCACTGACGTGTGCTAAGCCAGTCTTGGCCAAAACCAGTCATGACTGTGCCGGGTACTGTCCTTGTGGGGCAGTTGCGACTGGCTGCTACTTGTTCTACTATGTCACGCTAGGTGTGAAGTTTTTTTAATATGTGATAACCGCAATCAATAAAATGAGCTGAACCGACATTTGTGTACTTTATTCATGCAATGTAAAAAACGATCGTTTTATTGCACATCGTCTCCACCAGGGAGTCGTCAAATACGACTCCCTGGTCTCCACTGTTTTTTTACATTGCATGAATAAAGTACAAAGTACACAAATGTCGGTTCAGCTCATTTTATTGATTGCGGTTATCAAATTATTGTCTCCTCGCCGTTTTTTAATGTAATATTTGTTTTCATGGCGGTATTTTGACACTAGTTCGTTTCTTCTGTTCAGGCTCTTCGGGTTGTTGGCATTGTTCAATAGTAAGCTTCTCGATTCTGCATAGGTTGCACCTTTTCGACTTGTTGGAATACATGTATGCCTGTGTCCTTGTGTGAATATGCCACCGAACAGAGAATGGCGTCCCCGTACGCTTCAGGTTCCACACATGGTTTGACAGTTCAGTCTCAGCACTTCGCCGGCAATTGCCAAACTCACTCCTTTGTAGATAGATATATAGATCAGACTTTTGGTTCAGACTTTTCCCGTTTGTCTCTTTCCCTCAAACCAGTTAATATATAGATAGAGAGAGAGAGAGGGGAAGGATTTAACTGACAAGTGGACGTACATCTGTCTGGCAACAGGATGCTGGGACGCTGCAGGCACTGTAGAGGGTCTCGAACACCTCCTGGCTGTTGCAGGCAAAGTATGGGCTGTTATCACGCCAGTCCCTTGCCTGCGTTGCACCACAGCACTGGAACTGATTGACACACACACACACACACGTACACACACGCACACACACACACACACACACACACACACACACACACACACACACACACACACATACACACAATACAGTGTGCATAGCATACACAAGTGTCACTGCGTGTCTAAAATCAACACCAGCCAAACATACTATAGGAATACAGTTATTTTCATCTCCGGGCACCTATTTCACTTCCATAGTTGTGTGACGTTTATACACCTATCACAAAACTGGGAATATCAACAAACTAAAGTTGTCCTGTCACTGTCTGCTGTGTGCTTAGCTGTCCTGATGCTTTGGTCACTTCTTGCGAGGCATTGGTTCAGCACCTTGCTGTATAGTCCAACAACACCGAGACAGCTCACTTGTCCGCAAAAGGAGCATGGCGTAGATGATCCACCTGTCAAGTATCAATACTCCGTGTGGAACGTTGAATGACTACAAGCACATGCATCTGCGGTGGCATGCATGTCGTGTACAAGTAACAACACATGAACACAATTCATGCAGGTCTGCAGACGGATATGAACAGTGCACATAACAACACTCACTCTCAGCTGAACTTGAATGATGGCATCATCTAGCGCAGTTGGAAGCGGGGCGGTCTGGTACTTTTTGATGGCATCAACCACCTCCTTGCCAGCTGCATTCTTCACCTGCAGCAGAGTACATAGCACCAAACGATCCAAACATGGTCGCATGGCAAGCTGCCTCACAATGAATGGGCAGTCCACACAAACAACAGCTACGCTAAACAGCATTCCTTTTGGCAGAGACTTTTCCCCAATGCGCAGCTCTAGTACTAGCCACGGAGAGTGCAAAAGAGTAGACAACGTCTAAACTAGCAAAGAACCCCGCCGTCACCACCCCCTCCTAGTACTTCAAAGTATGATTTGTCAGAAAGCAACAGGGAGCCTTACCCGCGCCTGCAAGAAGTAGATTAGGAGTCCTCCAATAAGTTGCAACATCAGCATCAGCATCAAAGTCCCGTGAAACTGCGCCAAAAAGAAGAGCGGACACAACATAATAACATTATGAGAACATGTTATAGTACGAGGTCACTCCCATTGTCTGTTTCAACACCATTATTATTGCTCATTATTGTAGTCATAATGCTGGGGTTGTTCTGGAGTGTCGGACTGTTTGAAGGAATACTAACCCCATCCTAAAAACTACTTTACTTGTAAAGTAGTGTATGACAGCTCAGGCCTCATAGCGTGTTGGCGCGCTCCAGGCTAGCACACGCCCTCAGGAATGTTAGAGGTTAATTTACAAGAAGCCATTCGACCCACCCGAGCAACATGCACTTGGCTATCATCAGTAGGAAACAGTAAAGGAGGAACTTCGGTATAAATGATGAACACTTCAGCCTCAATTCAGAACCTGTACTTCTTCGGGCACTGGGTCAGCTGGTCTTGGCCCGAGGAAGCTTTGAAACATGAATCAGCAGATATGCCCTACAATTGCACTTACTGCCATACCTCGAAATTTAATGTGATGATTTAGAAGTGGGTCACTGGGAGGCAACCAATGCATTTACCGTGCAGACACAACTGACTTAGATTGGAGAACGCTGTGCTGTAGTGTGAGTTCCTTTTTGGCCACTTGCCAGAGTAGAGTCAAGAAAAAAGAAAGGCTTCTCGAAGAATATGCAAAATAGAGTCAATAGACCATGTGCAATGCGAAAGTAACTCACAATTCGAAGTAGCATGTAGTTTTCCCTCAAGGAGCCGATTAGACCGCACATTCCGACGAAAAGTATTAGGCACCCTGCAACTATCAGCAAAGCCGCAGGATCTGTACCGAATCCACTCAAGTCAGTGAATGTGCCCTGCGTGATCGATGTATATGTGCCAACTGCTACCGTCGCCAGGCCAATAAACTGCATAATGTTCCAAGCAGAAACATGCACGCATACACACCACCATGAAATCTTATATTTAATATAGGCGAATAACTTCTTCAATATGCGGAGGCTCCACTGAGCAAATATGGGCAAATAAGTTATTGCAAAGCAGTGACACACACACACACACACACACACACACACACACACACACACACACACACACACACACACACACACACACACACACACACACACATACACACACACACACACACACACAGAGTATTGACTGCACTACAAAGTACTTGCAGTCTACCCAAGAAAAGAGATTGCCAGCACTAAGGCACACGTCCTGGGATCCAGTTGCATTTACCTACGTCCCCAATGAAGGGTACTTGATACAAGCACGGATTGCTCTAACTCTAACCAAACTGAATATTGTATCTACTTTTAATACTTGAAATCATTTGCTGCATATGATTCAGGCTATCCAGAAGCCTACCTGTCAACAGGCACGCATAGTTCAAATAGAGAGTCAGGGGCGTCGGACACGCTACGGTCACTACGGTACTGACCGTACCACTTTTCATCCCGGGTACCCTGTGAATCAATCAAAAGCAGTGATCTGGGGTCTAAATTTCGAAACTTTTCATAAGAGCCACCCTAACCCCACGAGTAAATTGCACTTCAGGAGGTGGCTGACCGTGCCCCCCCCCCCCCCCCCAAAAAAAAAATACCCTCCGATGCCCCTGACAGTACATATTATACAGTAAAACCTATCAATGCGACCACTATGATAAGACGACCACTATGATAAGACGACCACCATGATAAGACGACCACCATGATAAGACGACCACTATGATAAGACGACCACCATGATAAGGCGATCACCTGTCCCAGAGGACCACAACAAATAGGACCAAGAGATGTTATTTCCAGTCAAATTACCCTGGATACGGGGACAATGTGCACACGGAGACCGCATTTATAAGGTCCTTTGAGCGGTCGCCTAAGACAAGTTTCACTGCAGATGTCTCTACTTGCAGGCACTTAGAAATAGAAAGTAGAGAGGTTGTGCACAGCAGGATCTGTAACATTTGGCCATTACGGCCTTGAGTAACGAAAATCGTATGAACTTTCGACAACTTTCGACGGAAAAAGAGCTCAACAATGGAAACTGCTTTCGTTGCAACCACTGTACTGTACTAGCAAGCAATGATGTACGACAACTGCGTACTGTTGCACATTGGGACTGTGGAAGCCTTACTGCCGAGACCAATTTCCTGTACTCCGAGAAACTTGAAGTTTCCACTCAGTTTGGGCAAGCTCCGAATCAACCAATTGTAGTAGCCTTTTTCATTGGTGCCTGACCAGTTGAACACTACGAAACCTTCATTATGCACAACGGCTCTAATACAACAAACCTGAAACCATCACATGAACACCTCCCTCGGGGACTCCCCTTCCCCATACACCTAATTACACCCATACACAAATAGACACAGGCACGCACGTGCACATATGTATGTATGTACCAACCTGAACGTCCTCCGCTGAGTCTGCTATGTATGTATGTATGTATGTATGTATATATGGCGGCATGACTATCGCACACTATCGAGCACAGCATTGCTGCCTACAAGGCTGCAAGCAATGCAAGACACACATGCAAGCACACCAAGGCCTCTGCACTTGTCCATTACTTACGGAGGCTATCATGTTCGAAAAGAAGAGGAAGAACTTGGCTACTGGTGCAACGTGAACTTTCTTGATGTCATACTCGGGTCTGCTGCTAGGGTAGCGCATGTTGGCTGCTGCAGCTGTTATAATATTATCTGAATGCTGTGGGACCCTGGGTCTTTGAGGGATCTCAGCTGTACATGAACTCGTTGGTCCATGCATGCTGGAGGAAAGTGGTACCGACTCAGGAGTATCATCAACACGAGTCAGTGACAGTGACCTTGGCAGACCAATGAAGAATGATGACATCTTATTATGAGAGCTACTGGCCTCGGCGTATGTTGGTGGAGGCTCTGAGTTGGTCGTCTGGTCCTTTTTCCCTTTGTGACTAGTTACAGAGCTACGCTCTTGAGTGGGAGCTTCAGCGGCATCTTTATCAAGTTCGTACATCCCAGCTGGACCTGGTGATGCCACTTCTTGCTCTGTCTCACTCACGTCAGAGAGTGGTTCCAGTGCCCTGCTATGCATGCCATTTGCATTTTTGGTATCGGTTGGTCTCCTGCCGAGGTCCTCCATTTCCATGGCACACTCATAATTGATATTACTTGGCGTGGTCGCGTCTTCAGCTGGGTGGTCCACATCCGTCACTTCCGCTGATGACTCGGACTCAGACCTAAAGAATGTTGGCCGGCGTATGTCGGAGGACGTGTAAGCTTGCTTTTCTCTGCCGAAAACCATGCTTGAAGTCACCAATTACTGACAAGTGGCGTCCAGACAAACCGTGTAGTGTTGCTGTCGTAAACCCAAGAGATTGTCCGTGATCATGAGGAAAAGTAAAGCCTCGATTTCAATGTTGTTGTACATATATACTGGTACTGCTACTATATCCAATCCAGCTAATATCCCCTGTTCAGCCCCTAGGCCCTGGCCTTGGTTCCCACAACTCGCTACTTGCAAAATATTGTACAGTAGGTTGAACTAACTTTCAAGTTTGTTACTTGTATAAATCGACTCCAGGCTACCACTTGCATGCACTCTGCACTCTGTGACTCACACCGCCACACTAGTACCGCAAATGTACAGTCACGATCACCTGAAAGTGAAAGTCGGACAAGACTACTTGTAAAGTAGTTTCGAACCCAAAGTGGCCAAACGGATCAGACTCATCATCAGAGCTAGAGCCAGTAGAGGGAGATTGTCATCTTTCACGCGCAGCAATCACGCTACAACTACGATTTTACTGTTTATTATAATAATTATGTGATCCCGTATTTCTCTGACATCATCGTGACGTGTCTTAATTAAGATCTTGCGCTCATAAAGTCATGCGGTCATGTCACATCAAGAGTGCATAAATATGGACTCTTGGTCACATGCACAGGTCATATCAGATATACGAAACGCCGAAAGACCAGTAGGCAGTACAGTGCAGTGTGATTCTCTGAAAATTTCAAACAGATTTGAAAGCAGGCAAATAATGCACAAATTCGATCACGCATTATTATTGTCAAGAGTACATGGGGGGTTTATATGTACTCTTGTTTAATATTGTGTGTACTCGAGTATTCGTTGAAGCCATTTCCTGGACAGCTTGCATAGTCTTTGAAGCGTGGTGCTTTTTTTATTCAGTTCACCTTACTGCGAGTATTTTTATACTAGTACCGTATTTTCAAAGGAATGGCCAGTTTGCAATTCGCACCCTTCTCAAGTGCTCTGAACCACGGCTTTTGGCATGTCCTGACGCGCAAGAAGCTGGAAGAATTTCGTTTGAGTGACGAGGCGCGTGTTATTCATGGCAGCTACAGCAATGGTACAGTCTTCACACACTTAACACGTAGCCTGTAGAGCTATTATAATACATTATGTGTTCTGAATATTTGTACTTGTATATTCAGAGAATAGACTGGACAACGGCTATTACAGCAGTAGCGTGAATGAAAGAAATAATTCAAACCAATGAAAGTTTCCTCGGAGACAACAAATCTATAACATTTAGTAGGTGCATGCTGCATTGCACGAACATCAGGTTCTACTACATCATTCTTAGAAATGTTTTTCAGGAGTAAACTTACTTTCGTGCCTTCTCTTCACAACAGTGATAAGTGTGTGACCCATACACGTAGAAAGAATGGTGAACAGGTGCAAGCGTGTAGCAACCTAACAAGCGTGAAATATAGTACATACAGCTTCCAAAATAGAGAAACGATCATCTGCATACACAGCACGGCATTCAGGATGCTCCAACGAATGACTAGCAATGGACGACTCGTACTTATCAGACCTAACATCAAGACAATCGCTATGGGCGGTGGACACATGCGATATCACATGGCTACGTCGTGTAGTCAACTCAGCCGTAGTTGTTGACTCTGTCAGTGCCTTAGATGCCGCTGCCGCCGTTGCCAATCTTGTCACCCGTCTCCATTGAGTCGAATCCGTTCCTTTCAAAGCCAAGCCCGTAGCTGTTCTGTCCGGTGTTTCTCTATTTTGTCGCGTGTACGCGGTGCTATGTTGTTGAATGTCTGACCAGCATCATTAAAATGCGCCCAGACTGGCAACTCCTTTATGTAGCCAACGTCTTTGTGATTTATGACTGAAATTATGTAGCCAACGTTTTTGTGGCTTGTAGCTCTCATTTTTATTTTTTATTCCAAGCAATACATGGCTGGGGTAGCCAATGACCACTTTGCGTGGCGATTGCAGGGTTTTTTATAGCCAACCACGGCTAACAAGGAAAAGAGTAAGAAGTCAAAAAGAAAAGGAAAAGAAGAAAGCCTGAAGCAAATATGGACTAAAGCTGTGGTCTAAAGCAAGGCGTTCCTGAATGCTGCTAAAGTAGAAAGGCCCTTTGTCTCATGGTGCAGCAAAAGCTACTGCAAATAGCCATTGAAAAGGGGGGGGGGGAGTGTAGCAATGCAGAAGAGCGGGCTAGAGGAAGGGAGAGTTGGTTCCTAGTGGGGCTATCCCGTCGGAACCAATCAAATGGTTTAAGATGCGGGGTATTTTGGACAGTCGAATACGATGGACAAGACAGCACATCATGATTCGTCGTCTTTCTAGGAGAGGTCTGGTCGAGGATAACATATAGAGAGCGACACTGGAAAGGGACTTGGGCATGTGATAAAGAATCTTAAGGAGGAAAGGCTACAAGCGAGGGTCCCTGGTTCGAGTCCTGGTGGTGACAGTCAATTTTTTCTTCAGACTTTTCCCGTTTGTCTCTTTCCCTCAAACTAGTGAAGGAGGAAAGGATTGTGAATTTCCAGTTTCTGCTGTTGGGCAATAGATAGATTTGTCCAGGCAGTACAGCAGTAGTCGAAATGCGGCAAGATATAGGCATTATAAAAAAGAGCACGCTGTCAGGAAGATGGGCGCGGTGTGAGTATATTATACCTATGGCTTGACCAGTCTTCTTACATATGTGGGCAACATGGTGAGTCCAGGAGAGATTGGTGTCAAAAATGACACCAAGATGCCTGTGATGATCTACATATTCTATGGGAGTGGTGCAGAAATGGAATACTAGGGGAGGGAGAGGGTAGTAGAGAGTAGTAGACAGTGGGGGAATGATCATTACCTTGGTCTTCCCAACGTTAGGTTTTAGCTTCCACAATGTCATCCACGAGGTGATATCCGTGATACCCGCTTGGAGGTCCAATAAAAGACGGCAAACAGAGGGACTACTGCGCAGCATACAAGTGCCGTCTACAAACAGAGACACGCCAGGGTTGAAGACAGGGAGGTCGTTGACGAAGGCCAGGAAAAGTAGCGGTCCTAGGGTGGACCCTTGCGGTACACCGGAGCAAATAGGGATAGAATCCGAGAGGACTGGACGAAGCTTGACTGATTGAGACCTATTGTTGAGATAGGAGGTGAGCCATGACTGCAGGCGTCCGGTGACCCCATGTGCATGCAGCTTGGCTAGTAACCCCCGATGCCAAACTGAGTCAAACGCTTTCGCCAGGTCGAAGAAACACAGGCCAAGGTAAATGACGGTGGTCTCGGAGGGTGCACAGTCGCTGGAGAAGCTTGTTTAGATGTAGAGGTAGAGTCACCATGGCGGAACCCACATTGCGTATCATGGAGCAGAGGTGCCAGATGATGGTACAGCCGATCATAGACGATTCTCTCAAGTATCTTGGAACAGGTGTTCAGCAGAGAGATAGGGCGATAGTTACCAGGATCATGTCTGCTTCCCTTGTTCTTGTATATGGGCACAACCACAGCATATTTCCAGGCAGTAGGAAAAACGCCGCTGGACAGGGAATAATCTCATCACTGACATCTCTCACGTATCGGCTGAAAAGACAAAGTCTTCTCTCCATATCTCTTTCGAAACCACACGTCAAGTTTCTTTCTCTTTTTTAAGTGCATGGTTGCACTATTATTCTCTATTGGATGGAGTGCAAGGGCTAGAATACTGTCACTGATATGCGTGCATAAATATCGTTAGCACTCGTTTTGAACACTAACAGTTATCGATTTCACTCATATCGACCAATATGGGAGTTATCGGTACAATAGTTTCAGCCCTGAATATAATCATTTCCGCTCTTCAAATTTAAAATAAAAGCCAAGTGCTGTTTGTGTTGTGTATGATAAAATACGAATTTCCCTGGGTCTCTACCGGGCTGTGTACAGTGCAGAGTGGACAGTGCAGTGGTAGCAAATGAAATCCGACCACATGAACAAAAATAACTCCAGTGCTGTGTAGCCCCCATCACCACAAACACAGGCGTCCGAAGGGGGGGGGGGGGGGGGGGACTATGCAACTAATCCAGCTCTACTTTATGAAATTGGACTTCACAGGCTCCACTGATGAAAATAGCCCTCCCCTAGTCACAGCAGCTAGCATCAGGAATTTACCTGTTTGAGAATCTAATTAATTGCATGAAAACACTGAGCACCAACCCAATGGATGCAATACTAGTACATGACTGTACATTGTCATGTACTGTAGCGGACATGGAAATCCAAATCCAGTCGATTGACCGGGGCCGGCACCCTCAGCGCGTACTGAACGCTGCGTGCAGTGCACATGTTGATCCGATGCGACCAGCGCGCTGCAGCGCATAAATGCATGTGTGTACTGCTTATCCACGACTGCATGGCCAGCGCCCTGGGGCAGCTAGACGTGCGACCGGATTTCCATGTCCACAACAGTAGTTAGCTTGTGATCCACACTAGCTCAGCCAGAGTGGTATGACTGTGGCAATATGTGTTTGTTTGTTGTCGCCTTACGTTACTTGTCCATGTAGGTGACCAGCAAGGTTTGCCGTGTCGAATGTCCATCGATTTTGATGCCTTTGAGAGGTAAGTGTGCATGGGGGGGGGGGGGCATATGCGTGCGTGCGTGTGTGGTGTGCGTGCGTGTGTGTGTGTGCATGCATGCTGTTGTGAGGTCACGTCACAGGAATTTTACTTACTGAATGTAGCAAGCAGCGCTGTGAAGTCGAAGAGAGCAAACTGAACCTCTGCAGTTTTCATTTGACTGGCAGTGATACCACTACTGCTACTGTTGCTGCTGCTGCTTCTGTTATTCTTGGCAAAGTGATGGGTCCGTGCCACGCCGTGCATCAGTGGCACCCGGAATGCTTCTGCTGAAGAATACTATGGATGATTTCAAGTCAGCAGACAAGAAGAAGATCATTGAGGAGGCTGGCAAGCAAGTAAGTCAGCCTTTTAAGTTAACAGACAAAAGCAACACAAAGTGGCACTGCACCCCCATTCAAATGTGGTCTCCCCCCCCCCCCCTCATTCGCAATCGGAAGCATCACTATACACAGTACGAGTGCAGCTGTACCTGAGAAAAATGCTGCCCTCTTTTGAAAAGTGAAAAGTGCCCCCCCCCCCCCCCGGAATCTAATCAAGAGCATGACGATTGTGCAAATTTGGTGATGTTTTTCTTTCTTTTCTCTTTACCTGGTGGTTTCAGAATCAAAATCGCCCTTCTCGTTGCAGTTTCTGTTCAGTCATTTTAGGGTGCGTTCGAATTTTCTCTAGCTTCTTGGAGAAATTTATCCTGGAAGTCGAAGAAACTGGAATAATTTAGGAACAGGTCTCAAAGAATTTGGAGATCTTTCGCACATGCGAAGCACCAACAATCTTGAGTGACTCGAATATAGTGTGCACTGTGCGTATGCGAAAAAGGGAGTGTCATACGCTCATGAGCAACACATGACTTTTCGCAGTAGTTCGCATGCGTGGACCCCAAACTTCCGAATCTTCAAGTTTCAATCACCTTTGATGCTCGGAGAGCTTTAAGAGCTTTGGAGAATCTCCTAATATTCAGAGAGGATGTAAGAGCACTTCCCCAAAATTTCGGAGAGGACATACGAACGCACCCTTAGTTTTTTAGTAACTTTCAGACTTTGTTCTTCTTTGCTTTCTTTGTTTTTTAATGCTGACGACAAAATGTACCACCATTGGATTTTTCACACTGTTTTGTCTGATACATATCATCATTTGTGTTGCTCTGCAGATTTGGGATGACATCCAAAGTGGAGCGGTCCTTGAGAATCCCAGTCTGTTGAGTCGGTTTGCTCTCCTAACCTTTGCAGTGAGTGTCACATCATAGCTAGCAACACGTTGCCATTTTTTAGATGTCTCTTTAGCGCACCTTGAACTGCGTTCTCGCGAGCCTATACATGTTTATAATAATGTGGCATGAGCACAGACCTCCTTAAAATGTGCAACTGCTGATCGGCTGCTGTCAAGACTCGTTTTCAGAATTTACACCGTTTCCATATAGCCAGCTCGATGCATACGTTCAAGATGCAACATAGACCGGGTGCAGTCAGGTGACGGAGGTTATGCCATCATTATCACGAAAAAGAACGTAATCCTGAAAGCGAGTTATGATCGATGTTTATGTGCAATCATCGTGCACTCTTGGGGAGTCGTTTATTCTTGAATACGTGTTAATGGTTACACCCCAGATCATGGGCCGGTGGCGTCCCACGGAAGCGGAAAGGTAGTCCCTCACCAACCCAGTGTGCAAACCTGTAACCTCTATTACACCCTTTTCTGCCTGATTTTGCTGCCAATGCACTCATCAACCTTCACAGAGCAACAGTTGCTCATTTCCATATTTCACTGCCTGTCTCCTCGCCGATAGCGTTGTTTCCCATCTTTTTCATGGGACTATTTGTGTAGAAATTGTACACCATATGTGAACGCTGGAAGCAACCTGGTCGACATCACGTGACTCATAGATCAGGGCTGTGTGATGTTAGAACCGGATGGGTGCCCTGCATGGTCATGTGATAAATATGCAACAGCTCTATTGCTTACCATTGAGTCCGTCTTTTCCCAGTGAACACACTGACTTTTTTCAACTCCTTAAGTGGAGTGAGCAGATTTTCAACACCTGATAGGAAATTTAGTTTCAATTCTTTGTTTACAGGCAATTCCTTGCTGAGAGAGCATAACGGAACCTTTTTGTTGAGTTTCATGCACAATGCAATCCTCAGGTAAAAGTATAGTAGTTTATTCACATGTGTTTCCAGCCTTTGGAAATTACATGTTGGCCACTGCAGCACCTTGACATTGAAACCAAACAGTTTGATACCTCGATGATAAGAGATTTAGTACCTCTATGATTAAAAAAAAACAAAAAAACAAGAAAGATCTTCAGGAAGCCAACTGGGTGGTTTGTGTTGCTTGCCTTCAGGACTTGAAGAAGTATTACTACTACTTTTGGTTTGCCTTTCCTGCACTGGCTGCCGAGGAGGGTACATTTGAGTCGGACACACCGAAGAAGCTTGTCGATGTCTATTCCCCAGATCAGGTATGTTGATTGTGCACGAGCTGTTGATTGTTGATTGTGCACGAGCTGTTGATTGTTGATTACGGATTGTTCCATGTGTGTCCTGTCGCGGATCAGAGCGAGTTCTTGATTTGGGAAGATGGCTTTCAGGGCACTCACGACATCATTTTCTGCAGCACTGTCATGTTTTGATAGGCCTGCAACAAATCAGTTGGAACTCTGATCTTTTCTTCTTCTTTTTCTCTGTGTTCAGATTGTTGCACTGCAGTCCTCAGTGGATGCACTAATCAATGCTGGCAAAGGTATGTTGTCCGCAATAAGAAGAACTACAACATCAGTGGTGGTGGCGTTGGCGGTGCTGGTGCTTGTGTCAGTAGTATCTATGAAGCCGGTTTTGATACAGACACATGCCCTGCCCCTGAAAATGGGGTATCATTGCATATTGATAATACTAGGGCTTACAAGGTTATACCGGATAACCGGTTATCCGACCGCTAGAATGTAATGGTTATGAAACCGTTACGTTTTCGGTTTCAAACGGTTTTTTCATCAGCCGTTGGCACGTGTCTACAATGAAGACTTATGTCTTTTCACTGGCGGGAGCGTTTGATTTGGAGAAAGGTGTAGTGACAGCTACATGTTGTAGATCCAGTGGGGAGGAAATTATAGAATTTCGGCTCGACACTGAAGACGAAACCGTCTTCACCACAATTCAGCTTGAAGTTGAGGAAGCCTAGTTTTGATGTCAATGTATAGGTCTCAATCGTGTTTAATAAAAATGGTGTGTGGTTCATGTTCGTGTACATGTGCTGCAATAACTGGTTATAACCGGTTATCCGACCGTTACTTTAGAGGATACCTGGTCGTGCAAAAGTTGTGACCGTTTAAGCCCTAGATAATACCAAGTTTTGTTTGCGGTTTTCCCGGGCGCCCATTTTTTATGGAATAAAACTGACTTTCGGGTTCCATGTGTTCTTTTGGAGAAGACCCCATGGCTGTGCCCCTTCCCTTGTTTTTGAATTATTGTCATGAAAGTGTATGACGTCATGGTTCTCTGAAATCAAAACACCATTGATTTCCCCCAAATTCCAATGGTCCAATATTTAAAATATATACCCAATGCTGTAGACAGCAAGCTGTTTCGGCCATAAGTATACAATCATGGAGGTGTAGCATGACTTTATGTACGCGCCGAGGACTGCCGCCGATGCAGCGCGTACGAGGGCTTGGTTCAGCCATAAAGTCATGCTACCCCTCCATGATTGTGGTTCAGGTTTGCACGCATGCAGTAAGTCATTACACACAGTTTTCCAGCTTCAGTTAGGATCAGTTCACCTTGTGTACACGAATTTCTGAGGCCAGCTCAAGAAAGTACAACTACAAGGGCAAGTAAGGTAGATAATCATGAGAGTGCAGTGGTGATCAAACTGAACAGTTATCTGATAAAGTAGCACAGCACTAGAAATTGAAATTGAATGTTACTGTAGCACCGGAGAAACTTGCACTTCCAAAATCGATAGTCTGCTGTTGCTTCTGCTGCTGCTGTTGCTGTGAATCTGAGCTGGTGGAGGCTGCTCCAGCTGGGTGAGCTCCAGCTCCGATGCAGTCTCCAGGAAGGAGTCGATGTCTACCTCGTCCGGCTTGAACATGTCGTCTACATTGAAAATCGAGTCGATCTCTTTGTCACTGAAGATCGGAGCCGGTGTGACTGCTGGATCTGCTGGCTTACTAGCAGCAGTACATGACTTCTTTCCGTCCAGGATATCAGCCATTGGCCTTTGCTGTGCTGAAGTAGGTCGGGAGTAACTGGACAGGCTTCTGGCGTTGGGGTGACCTGTCACAGCCATTATTTGGCGTTCCTCGATTCCTTCCGCTGACAGCATGGATACCACTGTCGCCCTCAGTCAATTATTTTGTGTACATTGTGGTCCGTTCCGCAACTCGCGAAATGTCTTGCATCATGCGATGCAAGGTACATCGGCCCAAAGGGGCATTACAAACCCAGACTGGCTTGCTGGTGGCGTAGAGAGGGTGGCTACATCCCGGCTCAGCGGCACCCAGCACTCAGAGCAGTAGAGCAACAGGGACATCACACACGCCTCATACACCAGGCGCTTGGGGGCAACCGAAAGGTTGCGATCCACGAAAACTGTACGGCACAGTGCCCCAAAAGCCCTCGATGCTCCAGCAATGCGTGATTTGATATCATGAGCCGATCGACCATCCGTATGTACGATGATGTACGATGGAGCCGAGATACCTGACGTCAGTCACACTCTCAACAACATCACTTGCTACCACCAAAGGCAAGCGGTCATGTGCTGTGAGTCTGTAGCTGACCATGCAGCATCCTTGACGCAAACCATTGTTCACATCAATCGGGTCAACGTCAGCTCCCGCCAGTACCAGTGATGCCTCCATTTTGGTGTGAAAGCTTGAATGATGTGGACGAGTCAATCGGGGACACCAGCTCTTCCCAAAACGAACCACAGACTTTCACGATTGACAGAGAGTCATAGGCTTTACGTAGGTCTACAAACACCAGGAACCCTTTGCATCGATGCTCATACAACTTCTCTGAAATTTGACCTATTGTGAAAACCATGTTGGCACACGATCAGCTACGACGGAAAAAACCGCACTGGGTGGTTAGTATAGACTCGGCAAGAATCTGCAATCGCTGCTGGATCAAAGAAGCCACTGCCTTGCCCACGACCTCAAGTAATGAGATCCCCCGCCAATTGTCTCAAATGGCGAGGTTCCCTTTCTTGGGGATCGGCACGAGATCACACACACACACGCACGCACACAACGTTATCATCTTAGGCATGGCCACGGCACATTGAGACACAAAACATATGCTTTGTGTTTTGTTGTTGTCAGGCGTGCAGCACAGCTACTTTGTGATTCGATCCTCCGGTGATACCAGTCTTGAAGCTGACCTTCTCAGTAACTGGGAATCTGCCATTGTTGATGGCTGTGTGAGTTTGAGTCTTTGAATGCTTTGTATTGACGATCTTCTGACTTATTGTGTTGCCAACTTGCTACCTATTTTGAAAGTATTTTCTCCATGGTTTCCTGTCTCACAATACTCATCGCCCTCTGCTTTTCATAGGAATCTCCGGCTAGATCAAGAATGACATAAATCCTTGTCGAACTTGTCCAGGTTCAAGTAGGGCATGACCGCAGGGCATTTCCACAAGCACCCTGCATTTGTAAAGTCACTTGGGACGTTTCTTTGTGGTCACTTGGTGGCTAACGTACTCTGTACACTCGCGCATGTTGACGTTGACATTTTATTTCAAGGATTCTCCAAAGGCAAATGGATGCTGATCAAGGTGTATCTATGTGTCTGTGTGTCTGTGTACATGCATATGTGTGCAGTTGACTGTTGGGTTTTGTGACCCCTGCACATTGGAGCTAAATCCTGGATGGCCAATGAGAAATCTTCTCGCACTAGCTCTGGCTAAATGGTAAGTTCCTGGCTGTTCTGTTAGTTATTGGAATGTGCAATGGATTGCAATGGATTGCAATGGATTATTACAAAACAAATCATGTGCTATGGAATAGCACCGGAGGATGCACCCAGTGTGCTGAGAGTGTTCAGATGTTCTGAAGGCAGAGCGTAGCCGTAATCCTTACAGTGGTCAGCGAACAGATCCAGCACTTCCTGTTTATGCTTTTGCCCGTAGCGGGTGACTGCTGTTCCACGGAAATCGGACGACAATTTCCTCTGCACGACCGGCAAGAAATTGCTGGAGCAGCGGGAAATGACGGATTTCACCATTGTCGATGTAACCCGCTTCCTCCGCTCATTGTGCCACTTCTTGTCATCAAATTGCTGCCTGGTCTGCTCTTCAATGCGTTTCTACCCTCCAGGTCAACAGTCACCAGATCCTCATAGTAGTTCTCTGGCGTGGCATATTGCGAATAGGTTTGTGATAATATGCTACGTTCGTCATCTTCCCCTTCAGAAGAACTGCTGCCATCCGTTTGCATGGCTTCATCATGCTCATCATCCATCTCCTGGTCAGCGTCATCACTATCGTCGGTGTCTTTCTCAAGAAGCTTCAGCCGACATCTGGCGCCGTACATATCAACAAGTCCGTTCTTGTCCTTTCCCTTTAGCTTGTGATGCTCGGCACGGAGATGTTGAATGACACCATCGATGCGCTGTGGATTGGGAAGTGCAAGGTTAGATGGTCTTGGATCGAATATCGCTGGGGTGCGGCGCATTTTCTTCTTGCCTGGCTCCTCCTTCACATATCGTATGTCACAGACTTTGGACGGTGGAACCTTCTGCTTCCGTGGCTTGTTCCATTTCTGGAGTTTACTGCCGCATGCAAGCCTCTCCTCGTCTCGCAGACCAAGCCTCATATACTCTTCTAAGGCGTACAAAGTACCTGCTACATGGTTGCAGTTTCCTGCCAGCCCTGCAACACATACACACCGTCCAAACGTGACATCGGCCACCTGGTTGAAGCAGAGGACTACTCTGTGTTTCTTGTTTTTCACTATTGATGACAAAACATCAGCTCAGACATAGCAAAATCCATCACTAGTAGGCAGGGGATGAAACTTCAAGTTCTGCACATGTCCATCGTTGAAAAAGCGATAGACCAGGTAGTGCCATGTATGGCCAGGTCAAGTGCGTACAAAACATCTCGTGCATGCACTGTCCTGCTCAATGAAATCCGATCGTGTGAATCAAGGTTGCGCCCTGTACCCGTTTACCTCCCCAGTGTTTGCAGGTCTACAAAGTGACATTCACTCGCTTGATCGGACTTCATTGAGCTGCTGAGCAGTACTGTACATGCGTGCATACCGATGCACGTCCAGGTCCACATCCAGGTCCACATCCAGGTCCACGTAGTGTTGGCCCATTTACCGCATTTTCCAGTGTGTTAGCTGTACCGGGGTCTAGGCGAGAGGCACGACTAAAGTTCTACAAAACTCAAAAGTTGCCTAGGTTGTCCTTCACTCAGAACTGACAACATGTAGAAGCATCACGCTAGTACAATGATAGACTGCAGTACATGGAACGTAGCTGAATGACACCAAGCATGCGTTATATGCACAGAGTGCTGTAGAACAGGTCAATTCACATCCAGCATTCGGAGCCTATTAAAGGGGAAGTTAAGGCAAAAATTAAAATTTCACCAGTTGTAGTCTTCGGGGTGCTGAGTCGAATGGTCGTGGTCCGAGGAAGCTGAGACGCTCCCTTCCTACTTGAATCCCAATCGAACTCGCGCACTTCCACCGAAACTGGGTGACTGCGCCCTACTAGATGGGGATTTGTATGCAAAATGTCACTAAAAGCGCCATTTCGTTCTTATAAAAGCATGGATGACCGCGATTGGCCCATATGTTGTAGTCTTTTGGACGCTGAGTCGATTGGTTTTGGTCCGAAAAGGCTGCGATGCAGCGTTCCTCCTTTATTCCCAATCGAACATGGTTGAACAAGCGGTCACGTGCTCCTGCGTACACCAGTCACCTGGTCACCGTGCCTGCAGGGTACAACTTACTAGCCTGTTTGACCTTTTTTGGGTGCAGTCCTGTCACTCGAGTTGAACCTTGGTGTGAAAGTTGTCGCCTGCTGGCGTGGTGACCAGGTGATTTGGGCACCCAGGAGCACGTGACCTCTTGTTCAACCACGTTCGATTGGGAATAAAGAAGGAACGCTGCATCGCAGCCTTTTCGGACCAAAACCAGTCGACTCAGCGTCCAAAAGACTACAACATATGGGCCAATCGCGGTCATCCGTGCTTTTATAAGAACGAAATGGCGCTTTTAGTGACATTTTGCATACAAATCCCCATCTAGTAGGGCGCAGTCACCCGGTTTCGGTGGAAGTGCGCGAGTTCGATTGGGATTCAAGTAGGAAGGGAGCGTCTCAGCTTTCTCGGACCAAGACCATTCGACTCAGCACCCCGAAGACTACAACTGGTGAAATTTTAATTTTTGCCTTAACTTCCCCTTTAAAGCCGCAGGGGCGAAAGTCGTCAAGTCTTATTAGGGAGGTTCCGCACAACGAAAACTCGTAAGAGCTTGACCGTCCGGGTTCGAGTAACGAAAGCTGCTGCGAAGATTCATCCGAATGCAACCGAAACAGAGCAGATCAAACCTTATACGAAAATAGTTTTCGTTGCGTCGAGTACTAAAATACTGATATTTTACAACCCCCTCTCTTGACTCTTCGTACCTGCATCGACCTACTACGAAAAAGTTCACACCTTGTGCGCAACCTCACGTTTTACGAATATTCGTTGAATAGCTTTTTTCGTTAAATATTTTCGTTACGGTGCTACGAATTTTCGTTGTGCGCAACCTCTCTATTGGTGGACTGTAGTTATGTGTAGGTAGGTTGCCATGGGCCAATTATTATTATTAGTATTAGTCTGCAATAGCTCCGTGCATTGGATAGCTACACGTGCAACGCAGCCTGCTCTACTGTCTAGACGGAAGAAAACAGACAAGATGTACAGCATTGCCACAGAATTTAGCTTTGTTTAGTGGGGGAAAGTCCAGGGCACCTGTCCATTGACTTGTGGTAGACTCAGTTCTGATTGATTCCTGATCCATGAAGGGAAGCTAAGGTACTTGAAGTATAATAATGGTGGCAATGACTGAATGAATCAATGCATTAATGAGTGAAAAGATTTGTTACGTATGAGCCAATAGTGTTAAAATTCCTCATCGTCTACACGTACATATTTGGTTGTTTGTTGTTTTGTTGTAAGGCGGGACACCGTGACAGTGCTACGCGTGGTTTGCTTCAGAGATCGGACACGAGAAGGCAAGCGAGAGACCTCACACAGCTTGGTGATAAACCTGAAACTGGCCAAGCTAGATCAAGACAGTACAGCAACAGGTATGACAGGCTTGCTCTCTGTATTTTCTTGTCATCTTTTCTGCTCTCTTTTTTTCGGAGGGGAGTTCCTCTCTCGGCTTACTGGTGCTTTATTCGGTACCCTGCAGAGTGTCCCAAAGTGGTCGGGTGGGAGAAGAATGAACGTGGCAAGCTGGGACCGCGCATGGTCAACCTGAGTACAAGCATGGACCCTGCCAGGTAAGGACTTGTCTGTTGGCCAAACTTCTTGAGGTAACGTGGCAGTTGGTATGACGAAATTTTGGAATATTTCCACTACAGTTCATAGATGATACCTCTTTCTTTTGGCCGTAAATGAGTCCAACTTTGAATTATTCAGAATTCTTTTGCAATTCCCTGTGGAATGCTCTTCCGATGATGTTTCTAAAGTCTATTTCTCCAAAAAGCAAGCCATAGCAAGAATAGGATTGGCCAGGTTTTCTCCAAAAAGCACTGCATTGGGAAAACCATGTAATCCAGGTCGTTTGACTCTGGAGTACTGGTACATGCTCCTTCAAGTCCTCTTCTGTTGCCTTCTTTCCTTCGTCTTGTTTTCCTGCCGTGATGGCTTTAGGCTAGCTGAGTCTGCTGTTGACTTGAACCTGAAATTGATGCGGTGGCGCCTGCTGCCCTCGTTGAACCTGGAGAAGATAGCATCCACCCGCTGTCTTCTTCTGGGCTCTGGTACACTGGGCTGCAATGTGGCTCGCAGCTTGCTGGTAAGTTTCTCTCATAGTTTGGCTGCAGTCCATGATGTCGTCTGCTCACTCCAGAGCTGTGAATTTCGGTTAAAAGTGTGCTGTTGCTATGCATACATGCCCTATATGTTTCCATGCAGCCACATGGAGATATGTGCTGGTGCTTTAATAGTACAGTACTGTGTGCCAGACGAAGATTGTATTGGAAGATTTCACCGCCCTGACACAATCATACTAGGAGAAGTAAGTCAATGATGATGTAGTATTTCGTATGTTGGTGTGTCGTGCTTTGCAGGCTTGGGGTGTGCGTCAGATCACGTTTGTCGACAATGGCAAAGTGTCGTACAGCAACCCAGTGCGGCAGACCCTGTTCACCTTCGAGGACTGCATCAATGGAGGCAAGCCAAAGGCGCAGACAGCTGCTGAGAGACTGAAACAGATCTTTCCTGGCGTTGTGAGTCATTCAGAGCCTGTGGCCTTCCCAGGATCCTACCTCTGCATGCCTTTGGTATTGTCCTTTCCGCCCTTGTGTTTGGTTCCCACGTCCTGTACATGGCCACCCACGCACTATTTTCCGCTATATGCAACCTACTTTCTGCACTCTAGTGACCCTGCACATCTGACTTCCCATGTATCCCTACATGCCAGCGGCACCCTATTAGTGACCCTGTACACGTAGCTGCCTGCATCTCTTTCCGTGTATGTACTCGACAGTCCAGTGACCCCACCACTGGCCACCAGTGCCCATAGGCCATAGCTTCCTGCCTCTCCCTTTCCCATCATATTGTACCTTCTGTCCCGTGGGCCAGGGTAGCTAGCTCGCCTCCTACTTGCCCTTGCCACCCAGGCCCGTTATCTAGCCCTGTCTGAGGCCTACTCTCCTCTTTTACCGAAATTAGAAGGATTGGGTCGACAGTCACCCTGTTCCCGTTTGGTGTGACTTGTGCTATTTCACCCCTGTCAGGAAATTTTCCTGTGTAGCATTTATGAAGGCATTGCTAGAACCTTTTTTTATATGGTTAGTCTAGAGTAGAACTATGCTGGCATTCGTTGTGCTTCTATTTGGAGCCTTGGTGAAATTTTGCTGAGCTTAGCTATCTCTAAATGAGGTGTATGGAGCCAAACAAGCAGCTTTCCAAAAGATCTCTTCATTTTAGGCGGTTGGGGTGCTCCAGCATTCGCATCTCTTTGTCTGGAGCAAACCAACTTCCTGAATAGGGCTTGAAAGTGCTACGTCACAGCATAGCAACAATTTCAAAAAATTCAAAAACTGGATCCACTTGGATCCAGTTTTTGTATGGATCCAAGCACATTTCAAGCGGTCTTACCCACAGCATGGTGATGTAGCCAGTGAAACTGACTGATTTGGCTACTGGGGGCGGGGTTACAACTGGTGGCGAAATAAAAGTCACACCTGCATGCGACATGAGTGGGTTGCTATGCACCCACATACTTAGGCAATAGCAAAGTCACACCTTAGTGGATCCAAAAATAGAAATCTGCTGTCAACTTACTACTCCCTGGCCGTTTTGACGTCATCACTTTCAAGCCCTATTGTTCCTGGTACTAGTATAATTATTGTGTGCAATGCATACATGTATGTTTCCCTTGAGACTGTTGTTATCTTGTTGTTTCTTGCACTATGGTGTCATGCTGTAGCAAACCAAGGGTGTGTCTCTGTCCGTACCCATGCCTGGACATGCTGTGGCTGCTGGTAAGAAGCATTCAATTGCTTTACAGATTAATGTTGTTTTTTCTATTGGGCTTGTTGTTTTATTGCCATGTGTCTCATATTGCGCGATGGCTGTCTATAAGTAGGCTAACTTGTAGTGCCCGCAGCTAAATCACGGTGATCCATTGCTCTCTCGATACAGGCCAGGATGAGGAGCAAGTACGCAAGGATGTTCAAATTCTGGAGCAGCTGATTGATGAGCATGATGTTGTCTTCCTGTTGATGGACACCCGTGAGAGTCGCTGGCTTCCAACAGTGGTAGCAGCATCCAAGGGCAAGGTATGCAGGTCACGCTCTCCCTGTTTGTGTTTTGCAGAGCAGCAATGTATTTCACAATTTAGGGCAGTCCTCGGAGCACAGCCCATTGAAAAAAATGCAGCCAACTGCCATCAACTGCATATTGTGTTTGCGGGGAAGTTGTGATTGCTTTCAAACTGCACTGAAGTGTGTCTCTGACTCTCTGGTCTATTTATACTGCCGTACCAATGCTGTTCTGGTATGTGCGTATATTTCTGCTTGGGCATGTCTCTTAAGCTCGTTATGAATGCAGCGCTCGGCTTTGACACGTATGTGGTCCTGCGGCATGGCTTCCGTGGTCCCAAGCCGGACAAGACAGCAGAAGACAGTGGTGGCGCTGGATCTGCAGCCACCAACTTGAGTGCCGCTGAGCAAGCGCTCAGTGGCAAGCTGATCAGTGGAGGCGATCTTGGCTGCTACTTCTGCAATGATGTTGTGGCTCCAGGAAATGTATGTACCTGTACCTGTACCTGTATGACTCGTACCTGTACTGAAGACTAACTATTTCTCTGCTAGTCCTGTGTCCTTGCTGTTCATACCGGTACTTGTTTTGTTTGCAGATGGGCGCATTGCCATGTTGGCTGTGGGAGAGGGCTTGGCAAGCTTCATTACATGCACTGTTGTGCTACATCCACAGGCTGTTTTCTGTGTTGTACACATCTGCCGTGTTGAGAAGTCCACTGTACTTGCTGTGGCTGTCTATCATATTGGGATATTGATATTCTATTACAGTTGATGTCTCTTTTTATTTATGACTGTTTCGATATATCCACGTATTCTCCACACCATCCCTCCAATGGCATGTGTGCCTGTGTGTCACTGTGTGCGCATACGTATTGTCTGCAGTCAACGCGGGATCGCACTCTTGATCAGCAATGTACAGTAACCAGGCCAGGCGTGTCTATGATTGCCAGCGCCCTAGCTGTTGAGCTCATGGTTTCGGTTCTCCAGCATCCAGATGGGTAAGTGTGCGTGCGTTGCAATAGCTCAGTGCCGCAATGGTGGTGGTCACTGATATCGTGATTTGCTTCGATGCTGCACTGTCTTAGCTAGGACCCTGTGCAGCCTGAATTGAGCTGTGAAAATTGCCTTTGCTCTTCACTACCCTACACTGTCCAACTACCCATGCCACAGTGTAAGGTTGGGGGTCGTCCCCTGAAACGAACATCATTGGTTGGGGGGGGGGGGGGTCGTCCCCTGAAACGAACATCATTGGTTGGGGGGGGGGGGGGGGGCAAAGACGCACGTCGACCAACATTGTACATATGACATGTACATGCATGCGATTTTCATCGTCCAGCATTGCAAGCTGTGTTCGTTTTAGAGGGAGGGGAGGTGGTCCGAGTACGAAATGAACGATGTTCGTTTCCGGGACGACAAAACTTTTGCGCCGACCCCTTACTTGTGCGAATGGTAGGTCCACTCATGAATCAGCGTGATGCTGCCATGAGCCCGATTGGTGACTTTAATCTCTCAGAAGGATGGGACATGATTGTTTACCACTCGTGTAGTTATTTTGTGTATGCGTCTGTGTGTCTGTCTGTTTGGCTGTTTTGTTCATTGGCTGGTGGAACAGTGGACATGCTGCGGCTGACTCTAGTGCCAATGAAGGCCATTTGGAAGCTCCGCTGACGTCGGCACTCGGCCTTGTACCCCACCAGGTAGGAATACTGATCACTCCCCATAGGTACCATCATGGAGGATGCACTCAGCTGGTTATCTTTGATCAAAACGCACGTGAGATGAGTATGCATGGCAGAGTTCTCCCACTGTGCGAGTTACTGTAGTGCATGCGTACGACTATTCTACTTGCAGTATGGGGTAGACTATCGACTGATAGAGAGAGCCCTGGCAATTACATCTCAATGCGTGTATATCGGAGCAGCTTTGTACAAGTACTGTATTTTTGAAGTTCAGTATTATTCAGTGCCAATCTCCTGACCAGTGCACTGTGTTATTATGTCATCTGGCTGCAGATCCGTGGCTTCCTTTCACGTTACCAGACCGTCTTGCCTCCGAGCATAGCTTTCTCCAAGTGCACCGGCTGCTCACCACTTGTAGTCCAGCGCTATGAAGCTGAAGGTACATTTCAGTACTCAGTAGTGTAGCTGGTGCTTTATCTGTTCTCATTTCCGATCTATATTCTCACTATGGCCAATATGAGCTGTTGTTGTTGTTTGTTCGAAATCTTTTATTCATGATGGCATGTGGCCAATAAGAGAAGAAGACTTCTTAGTATAGATACGGGGATTGGCTAACGTTTTAAAAGTGATATCGAAATTTTAGCTGGACATGGAAATACAGGTAATTGTTCTGTTCCTCTGGTCCTTTTGTCCTGTTCAAGAAGAGTGTCGTTTGTTGTTGTTGTTGTTGTTGTTGTTGTTGTTGTTGTCGTCATCGTCGCCGTCGTCGTCGTTCCTTCTTATCTCCATATTTAGTGCAGGCTTTGTCCGTGTTGAGAACCATTGATGTCTGTATCTACTTGAACTCACTGCCTGGTCAGATACATAGCCAGTGCTTCTCTTTTTTTTGGCTCATCTAGTCTCTTGATCTTGTGCACTGCAGGTTTCTCTTTCCTTCTGAATGCGTTCAATTCACCAACGTTTTTAGAGGACGTCACTGGTCTGACAGAATTGCACAAAGAAACGATGGATGCTGAGGTAGGCGCGTGTACTTGACGGTGTGTGCTGCCAAATTCGTGGCATAGTGGCGTCCTATTGGGAATGTTGAAGTGTGTGCGCATAGATGTGCATTCTCGTCTGCATGCTCACTTACTGAATCAAGTTGAAATGGTACTTTCCGGCACGACCATGTTGTCTGGACCAAAGGCAACAGAGAATGAGGAGAATCTATGAAGTCTTGTTCCAGAAGATGCACAATACCGTATTTCCCCGTAAGTTAGTACGTACTAACTTTCGAACTTAGCAGCCACATGAGTACTAACTTTCGGGGGTGGTACTATCTTTCGGGGAGTACTTTTTTATCGTAAATGACACGCAGTGGGAAGCCTGCGCAACTCTAGTGTCCGTGCATATGATGTATGTACTGTACGGTGTCTGTACATGTAGGGCGGGTACGAACTTACTATCTTTCGGGGGGAACTGTCTTTCGGGGTGATAACCTCGGCAGTGTAAAGTGTATTTTTTATAGGGGGGTACTAAGTCATTGGGGAGAACTTACTTACGGGGAAATACGGTATGCCTTTAAAATATTCTCTCATGGTACTTGCTTCATGTCTATGTAAGCTGAGTGGCCAAGCATGAAACTCAGAGGTGTAACAGCATATATTGCCTCTCCCTGCTGTGTGAGCAAGCTCCATCTTAGTATTCTTAGGGTGTGGAGCTTTTCTTCATTCGCTGGGGGTATTGTGTACATGTACACAGGTATACGTACGTGTATACTGTTTACCAGTGTTTAGTAGTCACTGCTTGACACTATGCTGGTCAGGTTGTGTTCGGTGCGTTCCATTCAATGGCGTACTCAAGCACCCCTCACATGTTTTGACATAGATGAACTCAACGCACCCATGGCGCTCAACGATTTGAAAGGCCTTCAGTGAGGTTAGCCACTAAAATGTGATTGAACTTGATCTTTGAAAACTACATTCTGCTCAAAATCTGAAAGAAGATATTCGTGAAGCTGACTCTTTCCCACGCACATACTGTTTGCATGGGCTCTGCAGCATTTTTCCAGCTGAAATTGTTTGCCTGTCACTTATGATAATCGACCGAGTGACATACAATGTGCCCAGACAGAATTCAGGCTGTAAATCGGTGACCAACGATTTTCTTCCGGATGGCGAGGGATCCGGATAAAAGAGGATCGGATAAGCGAGGTCTGACAGCACTCCTCAAATCTCAACAGTGTACAGTGGTGGCGAATGACATCCGACCGGCGAGTCAACAGTAGTGCTGCATTTCCATTTCAATGACATCATGAATGGTAAAAAAACAATGGGTTTCTTAGGCCCCAACTGTCCTTGAAGTAAACTTATTTGACTGTGCTTTATGAATGGTCAGGAGAAGGCTTTTGGGGAAGGCCTTTGCTTCTTCTTTTTCCGCTATTGGTTGTCCCCGGTTGTTTATCGCATATCGTTCTTCCCTCCCTCATAGCAAGTAACCCTCTCATCTCTTATTCCATAGGGGACTCCCTTTCCTTGGAATCCAATTACCTTTGGAGAATCTTTGAAATAAATGTCAAGCCAAATTAAAAATGGACTCAGATGGAGAGCCAAGGTTTAATTTATACAAAAGAGAAGTTGGTTGTAGAACGTCTGTACCGTCGGTCAGTGTCGTGCAATGTTATCGCATGAGCTGATTGTTTAGTAACTGGTGGTGTTAGTGGACAGTATAGCGTAACTTGTAGTCCTTTGGTCTTTCTCTTTTGTCCAAATTAAAAAGAGAAAGAAAGATGTCACCCACTGAGTGATCACGAGCGTATGTAAAAAAAGAAAGAAAAGGGAAAATGGGTGAACCGTTTTCAATCATTCCTATATATGCTTGGAAGTTTTCCTTCTTGCCATTTCAATTTGTGTAGGACTGTTATTAGTACTTCGAATCCATTGGCCAAGGCATATGGTTTCGTGATACCGGATCGTGATACCGGATCTACCAAGAGTTACAGTACCCTGTGAATGGAAATCTTTCACTGATGCCTGTGTACTCCGTACTGTGGAAGTGGCCCTACATGCCTAATGTCCTTGCAAATGGCACGCTGAACAATGAAGATATCCGCTGCCTTGGCACCACCCGAAACATAGCGGGGATAATGCCTTTGGTATTTTTTTGTTAATAATTGGGAACCCTCCCCCTCCCCCCCCCCCCCCCACACACACCTCATACCGGATCCTGATCATGCCCCTCCAGTACTTAGTAATCCATACCTACGTGCTAGTTCCTCTTGGTACCATTTGTTTTTAGATTGAATAAGCCTCTGATACCGGCAATCACAGAACATGATATCACTGGCCTGACACAACAACTAAAGAAAAAGAAAAAGAAAACAAACAACAATCTTAAATTTAAAAAAACCTCTCGGTACCATACTGTGTTTGAAGCTCAATATTCAAGTCAGATGTGTTTGGATTGAATTAGTGACACGTATTACTGTGCTTTCCTTTCTCCAGGTATGGGAAGTGAGTGACGATGATGATTTTTGAGAGCTTCAAATTTAACATCACGAGCTGCTTCAAATTTGTGGATTTTTATCATACGTATTTGCCTTGAAAAATTGTTGCAGCTTCTTAAAATTATTTGCATCACATTATAATTCCATGCCCTTTCTGGTGCCATCTATCTTTTCATGAAATTTAGACTCAAATCACTCAATTTCTAGGCTTATTTTTTCTTAGGCAATTTTCACCCCAACATTCCCAAGTACATATGTCGAGAACGGTAGGGGAAGACAGACTCATCAGACTCATTCTCATACCACAGTTTCCTTTCTAAAAACTTCACCTTCAACCATAATCAAAAAACTTGCCAACCACCCCCGTATGTGTGTGTGCGTGCGTGCATCATGCAAGCGCGGAGCGGAATGCAATGATGCAACTACAAGAAAACAAATCTCGGCAGCTAGCAACGAGTGCATTCAGAGAAGAAGAAAACAAGTTCAGATTTAAGTAGTTTGTGATGAGCAGCAGAGACAAACATGCAGGAGAGTATAATTATATGATGAGATGGAGGCGACATTGGGAATACTCGGATTCACAATGTACGCGTGCCATCAGCTGGGTAATCAGAGTCGTCGTTGGACATCGTAAGTCCCAACTCAAATGTATTTGGAATATGATAATAAAATGTTATGGCAAGTTGGACTGTCTGTTGATTAATTACGATATGATCATGCAATGCGGGAGTCTATACTTGCAACTTCAAATTGATATGAAGTAGTCTTCATGATGTGGTGACATTCATGACATTCCCGACAACGAAAGTTATCTTACCCACTCTGCGATACGCTCACGGGCCTTCTCTGCTGCTTTGCGATTTGCCCGCCTAGGCTGGAACATGGTTGGAGCAGCTTCGTCCGCCATTGCCTGTTCCATAGCCGTCGCCGGTGCCGGGCGGTGTTCCATATCACCAGCCTCCACTGCTCCGACGTCATCCACAACGTGCAGCTCGAGCGGATAGAGCTTGCTGATCGGTCTCGACAACACTGCCTTCGATTTAGCCGTCTTCAGCTTGACAGCTCTGACTTGGCCATCGACTCCAGGTAAGATTTCTACCACTCTGCCGAGTCTCCAACTTCCACGTGGCTGGCCGGTCTCTTGGATTACGACCACTTCTCCGACTGTTGGTGTCCGAGAGATGCTACTCCGTGACTGTCGGTGTTGACTCATTGATGCTTCGCGCAGAGCAGGGAGGTATTCATCTTCCCACACCTTCCATGCTACATCCAGTTGTATCTGTTGCCGTTTCCACATCCTCGTGACCTTGGCTGCTGGTGTCTCCGGACCGTCCTCCTCGTCGCTGTCCGTCTGAAAACCGGTTGCCGTTCTTCCTCCACAGAGGAAATGTGACGGTGTCAGGGGTGAGAATGAGGACACATCGTCGTCGTCAACATATGTGAGCGGCCTCGTATTGATCATGCCTTCCACTTCGGCTGTCAGGGTTGCGAGCTGGTCTAGAGTCAGGAGGCACCTTCCAAGACTCTTCCTCAAGGCTCTCTTGACAATGCTCACCAGCCTCTCGTACACACCGCCCTTCCATGGCGCAAACTCTGTTGTGAAGCTCCATTCGATATTCTCCGTTGAGAGATACGATAGCAGGTCTGGGTTGGCAAGAATCAGCTTCAGATGATCGTCCAGGACAGAGCGTACCAACTTGAACTGGGGTGCGTTGTCACACACAATAGACTTTGGCTTGCCTCGTCTCGCCGCGAACCGTCTCATGCTGTTCAAGAAGGCTGCTGCAGATAGGCCAGAGACTATGTCCAGGTGTACAGCTCGTGTGGTTAGGCAGGTTACTAGGTTGATCCATACCTTGCCTTTCTCCGTGCCGGTGCGGATCAATAGCGGTCCGAGGTAGTCAAGACCAACGTACGTGAATGGAAGTGCTCTGGTAATCCGTTCCTTGGGCCATGGGGGCATGGACGGCAACTTGAACGGACGCCCTTCGTGTCTTCGGCAAACCGAGCACTGATCCAGGATACGGCGAACGATAGCACGGCCACGTATGATCCAGAACTCTTGCCTTGTCTGGGCCAGGGTGTGTCGAACACCTGCATGCAGAAGCCGTCCATGGACTTCGCTGATGACATGCTTCGTGAACGCGTGATACGTTGGTAGCAGCTTCGGTAGTTTCTGGTCAGTTGGTAGTTCAGCGTTGCTCAGTCTTCCGGCGCATCGCAGTATGCCGTTGTCGTCGATCACAACACCAAGGTTAGCAACTGAACTGTGCTTGGCATTGGTCTTGATAGCTTTGAAGATGTCAGGGAAGGCCTCGCGTTGTACCATTCGAGTCCACCAATCTCGCGCAGCCTGTATGTCTTGTGACACGATGTCGTAGCTGTTGCTGATCTGAGAGAGACGTGGTGAGTTGGGACGCAGTTTCTTCAGGAACTTCATGCACAGAGCAGTGATTCTCAGGACCTTCCTCAAACTGCTTGCTCTCGTAAGCACGCTGCCGAGACCAGATGGAATGGTGTGTGGACTAGGTTGGTCAGTAGCACGATCGCTGCCACCAGTCACCAGGCTTGCGGTATGAAGCGTTGGTGCTTGCTCCTCCTTGCTGGCTAGGTCGGATTCGTCAGCTGAGAGTGTGAGGTCCTCGTCTGGCCAGTGATCTGATGTGGTGCGTAACCAGTCCGGACCGTGCCACCATGACTCCTGAAGATCGGCCACCAAACCGCCTCGGCTAGCGACATCAGCAGGGTTGCACTCTCCAGGAACATGGCGGAAGGACAAGAACTCGCCGCAAGTACGAATCTCTGACACACGGTTGGCCACGAATACGGACAGTGGCTTGGATGATTTGATCCAATGCAGAACACAACGCGCGTCCGTCCATAGGGTGATGCTGGTAAGTGGGAGATCGAGTTCATCTTTGCAGAATCGGGCTGCCCGTGAACCAATCGTCACGCCAAGTAGTTCCAGCCGTGGCAGGGTGAGACCGTTAGGCTTGCCGTCCTTGGACTTCAGCGGTGCAAGACGTGTCTTGCCGAAGAGGAGCTCACAGGTTGTCATCATGGCTATGGTTGTGCGGAGGTAGACCACAGTTGCAAAGCCCAGTTGTGACGCATCGGTGAAGACGTGTAGCTGGTAGGTAGCATCGGTTCCATTAGCAATTGGGTTGATTTGCCTGGGGAACGATAACGAGCTGACCTCGCTCGAGGCTGCATGGAGGGTCAGCCAGGTGTCCAGTAGGTGTCCAGTCAAGACAGTGTCCCAGTCCATACCAGCTTGCCACAGAGAGCGTAAGAAGACCTTGATACGAAATGTGACCGGAGCAACCAGTCCCAATGGATCGTACAATGATGCAGCATACTTCAGGACAGCGCGCTTAGTCCAAACCGGGTCGGTGCTGGGTTGGGTTCGAGGACAAGCGAGCTGTAGACTGTCATCCTTGGTGTGCCACGTGATTCCAAGAACGTTGACACTGTCGCCCTGTGCCCTTTCCTTGGCATCCATAGCTGTCGTAGCGTGGCTGTTGTTAGATGCCCACTCACGTAGCCGCATGGACGAGCGAGAGAATACGGATGTAGTTCGGTTGCACATATCGTACCCTTCTTCCGGGGTGTCGACACCGATGAATACGTTATCCACGTAGATATTGCGGGACACCAAGCGACCGACATCCGCATCTTCATCATTTGCTAGATGGTGTTGGATTGTTGCCGCTAGCAGAAATGGACTGCTCACGATGCCGAACGGTACTCTCCGAAACCGATAGACCGCGATGTTGTCCGGAGTTGCTGTGGGATTAGTTGGATCGCGATACCATAGGAAGCGTGTCACGTCCCGGTCTGGCGGCCAGATGTCAAGTTGCAAGAATGCCTTCTCGATATCGGCTACCAGCAGAATTGGTGTGATGCGGAGTCGCATAAGAACTCCGGCAAGGTTGGGGAGCAACACGGGTCCACGTAGCAGACAGTTGTTCAAGCTCTTGTTGTGACGCCGTGCCTTGGCCGAGGCATCATAAACGACACGCAACTTGGTCGTCGTCTTCGTTGGAGTTAGAACTGGCTGGTGGGGTAGATAATGGAGTTGCGGACCAGTGACAGAATCCGGTGTCATCTGCTCAATGATGCCCATGTCGGCTTGCTGCTGGATCACCTTGTCATACTGCTCAAGTAGTGACGAGTCGGTGCTTAGCCGCCGCGATAGAGTCCGGAACCGGCCCAACGTCAATCCGTAGTTGTCCGGGAGAAACTGCTGCTGGCCGTTCCATGGCCAGCGAACGATGTAGCGATTATCGGTGCACTCCACTGTTGAGTGGAAATGTTGCAAGGCTACGTCATCGTCTTTCACGGGAGACGGGTGCTCTATCCCAAGCGTTTCGAGGCTCCACAAATCCGGAATGGACTGCTTAAGAGGCAGAACCTCCTCGTGTGAAACGTCGGCTGCGGCTGCGATCAGAGTGGTTGCCGGTAGGGCAGTGGTGGGAGAGGTGTCCGTCTTGCCGGTGACCACGTAGCCGAGGGAGGTTGGCAGAAGGTTGAGGCCTGATGGTAGAGGTTGCACATGGCCCTGCACGAAGTCCCACAGATAATCAGACCCAATGAGTATGTCGATCTTTAGCCGTTCATCTTCGGCGTTAATCGCATCAGCTAACTGGTTGTCGTGTTGCAGTTGCTGCAAGGTCGTGATGTCGGGGTGTGCAACCGCAGGACGGAGAACCGGGTTTGTGATGTGCGGTAAGACGCTGCCTTCGATGGCCTTCGTTGTACCATCCTTGAGATGAATGAACAGGTCGGAGATCGGTACCTGTGCTGTGTGGTGTTTGGTGGCACCAAAGGTTGACACGGACAGCCATTCATGGCGAGTATGGCGCAGGGAGAGCTGCCTTGCCAAAGCCTCCGTGAAGTACGTGCGATGGCTGCCTGAATCAAGAAGAACGCGAGCGGTGGTGATTGTACCATTGTTGCCTTGCACATTCGTTGTGGCGGTTTGGAGTGTGACAGTTGATCCTGTTGCTTGCAGGAGACACGATGACTGGTCCGAAGCAACTGTCTGGTCCGAAGCAACTGCCTGACCTGGAACCTGAGTGGGTGTGCACGTAGCGGTTGTAGTGTCAGAAGCTGCCACCGCTGCCGTGGAAGATGAACCGTCAGCTCGTCGGGTGGAATGTGAACCTACACCAGATGGCTGGCGACTCTGCGAGCAGATGGTATGGTGATGGTGACTTGGGCGCTTGCACATCCGGCAGGTCTGTGTTTGCCGTCGGTAACATTCCTGGCTGCGGTGACCGGAACCCAAGCAAATAAAGCAACGACGTAGCTCCATTAATCGTTGTTTCCTGGCAGCAGAAGATGTGTAGCGTGAGCAATCGTTGTCCATATGTTGGCCATCGCAGAATATGCAACCACGACGGGAACGTTGTGGTCGTCCTTGGGTATCAGGGTGAGCTGCCAGTGCATCCGCTGTGCTAAAGAGTTGCTTTGGCTGCACTCCAACAGCGTCAGGTTTGTTCGGAGGGCCTTGGCCAGTCCGCTGGCGGAGTTGCTCTTGTAGAGTTGTGTACTTGGCCATATACTCTCGTAGAGTGGTTAGTTTCCAGGGCTGGCCGGCGTTGCTGATACCACGCCACTCCTCAAACTTGGTGGCAACCTCGAGTGGAACCTTGCCCCACAGCTTTTGGCACAGGAGACGTTGATCTGCCAACTTCTCTCCCTGTGTTTCCAGCTGTCGAAGGAGACACTCCACAGTTTCGAAACTTCGATGGATCTCCATGGGCCTGTTGGGTGGTGCCGGTAGTGCTTCCAAACGGCTGTACAGGGATGCAATGATGATCTCCGCTGAACCATACTTCGTCTTCAACAGATCCTTGACGGTGGTATAGTTTGCACTTGTCAATGAGATGCCCGCTATGGCCTTCGCCGCATCGCCGGAAAGGCAAGATTTCAGGTATGAGAACTTGCTGACATCCGCAATGGGCTGGTTGTCGATGGAAGACTGGAATCGCTCCCAAAACTCTGGCCACTCAATCACCTTGCCAGAAAAGGACGGTAGAGTCAGCTTTGGCAGCTGGACATTGAGGCGTGATGGCTGTGGGGCAGTACTGAGGCCAGCTGCCGCGGTTGCAGCGTGGGCTGCCGCTAATGCCATGGCCTGTATCATGTCCGGGGAATTGGTTGGTGTCGGGACAGTTGGCTGGGCCTGTGTTGTATCCGTATGCTGAGCCTGAGCCACAGGGTTCTGAGTAGTAGCACTGATGTCCGTGCCTGTGGACATTGTGCTACGCCTTGCCTCCACACCCGTGCTAGGGCTGTCCAGTCTGCCTGCAGCAGATTCCGTGTCGCCCGTGCCTGTTGCCGGCAATTCCTTTGATTCCAGCAGTTCGCCCGTGGGCCTGTCCGTCCCATCACTGTCCACGACCACTACCTCCTGTGTTGTATCGTGCCGGGTGGCCTTCTGGGGTGTTGCTGCCTCTGCAGCAAGCTCCGTCACCACTGGTGAATGTGTCCCTACCCCTCTATAGTCGAGTAGTGCACGTGCGTCCGACACACTTGTGCATTCGTGGTCAAAGCCATCATCCCAGGCTTCCAAATCAATTAGTGCGTCTTCCACACGCTCGTCTGCCTCGCAGTTCTCCAGCAGGGTACCAATCTGCTCGGACAGGTCGTTCACTGTGTCAATCAAGGGTAGGATTTTCTCAACATCACTCTGAAGTGACAACAGACTAACGAATTTCTCCTCCGTTTTACGGAGTTCATGTTCGATCCTCCTCCTTACTCGCGTCACCCTTCCCTTGGCCCTGCCTCGCTTCTTGACTAGGTCGTTGTAAACCACTTGGTCCAGGACGTGAGATGTGCTTTGCTTCTCAGTCGTCTGATCCAAGGACTCCTCTCCATCGTTCGTTGTTGTCTGTTCAACCTCTCCGTCCATCGTAAAAAAACGAAAGTTGTTGGACGCGTTGGTTCCAAATCCTGGTCTCTACAGCACCATGTCGAGAACGGTAGGGGAAGACAGACTCATCAGACTCATTCTCATACCACAGTTTCCTTTCTAAAAACTTCACCTTCAACCACAATCAAAAAACTTGCCAACCACCCCCGTATGTGTGTGTGCGTGCGTGCATCATGCAAGCGCGGAGCGGAATGCAATGATGCAACTACAAGAAAACAAATCTCGGCAGCTAGCAACGAGTGCATTCAGAGAAGAAGAAAACAAGTTCAGATTTAAGTAGTTTGTGATGAGCAGCAGAGACAAACATGCAGGAGAGTATAATTATATGATGAGATGGAGGCGACATTGGGAATACTCGGATTCACAATGTACGCGTGCCATCAGCTGGGTAATCAGAGTCGTCGTTGGACATCGTAAGTCCCAACTCAAATGTATTTGGAATATGATAATAAAATGTTATGGCAAGTTGGACTGTCTGTTGATTAATTACGATATGATCATGCAATGCGGGAGTCTATACTTGCAACTTCAAATTGATATGAAGTAGTCTTCATGATGTGGTGACATTCATGACAACATACTCTTTTTTTCTAGTCACAGGAATTGAACATGTTAGTTAATTTGTATTCGTGACGATAATGGTTTGCTTGACCAGGATATCTATTGTTTACAACTCTTCTCGGGCCTCTGCCTTGCCGTGAGCAGGTTTGTTCACGCCCACCGCTATTTTATTGTGCATTGCGATATGTTGCAACTCCGAACTTTCCCCGGCTGAGTTACAGCAATCAGTACCGTGTGCCTGAGTCGACAGATTTATCATCGGTGTTGCTTATGCATGGTCCTGTTGGCTTTACATTTGACCCCACATTCTGCTTGTTTTCTACCCCACGTGCAGAGGCTCGCGCTCATCCTTCAGACTCAAGATGTTGAGTTTCTTTTTTTCTTATGTTCCTTTGTAGCGCATTGTCTCATTCTAAATTCTAATGATCTTTGTATTGTGTCATTAGTGATTGTTGATCACCACAGTTGATATTGGCGGACCCCCGGCGTGAGGGGCGTGAGAGAAGTGCGGCATATTAAGGCAGAGGCGAGAAGACAACGCCGCACTCCAAGGCTCTAACCGTAACCAGGGAATCGTCGAATATTTGATGACTCCCTGGTCATTCTAGTTGGTTAGCCTCTCTAGCATTGCTCGCAAATAGTAAGGTCCCTGGTCCGAGTCGTGGTGGTGTGACTCAGTTGATTTTTTCTTTCTTTCATATCTGGCGTGCAAGTGTTGAGTCTCGGAGACCGGGGAAAGAGCAGTACAAGACAGGTGGCCTAATTTCCTAATAGGAAGACTCGGTAAAGGTATAGTTTAGGGTCCCAAATTATTTTAGTGGGTCAGCATGCTCTACAGAGTCCCAGGCATGCACATTACACATAGGCCTTGGCCACAACTGACATCGAATACGATGTGGATGGACAACCACTGGTGTATGCAAAATCACCTTACGATGCGAACGAAGACGGCGCAAAGGACCATGAAAATTGCCTGAGTTTGAAGCTCGGTGATGCCGTGCGTGTCTTGAACACCTCCATGGGCAAGGGAAGGTGGTGGGTAGAAGTCAAAATATTCGTCGTTCTGCCAGGAGGCTTCCTCCGCGCCGCGCAGGTCATCCTCAGTGCCAAGGAATGATGATGGAACGTAGCCAGACTCGCCATCGACTTCTACCCACCACCATCCCTTGCCCATGGAGGTGTTCAAGACACGCACGGCATCACCGTCACCGAGCTTCAAACTCAGGCGATTTTCATGGTCCTTTGCGCCGTCTTCGTTCGCATCGTAAGGTGATTTTGCATACACCAATGGTTGTCCATCCACATCGATGTCAGTTGTGGCCAAGGCCTATGTGTAATGTGCATGCCTGGGACTCTGTAGAGCATGCTGACCCACTAAAATAATTTGGGACCCTAAACTATACCTTTACCGAAGACTCCATAACCTCTGGGGTTGTGGGCTCTTGCTAATAGTTCTAGAGAATTTTGTCTAATTCCAATGCGGAGAAAAAAGACTGATCCAAGAACGAGGATTTTTACTCTAACTGCCTGATTTTTCTGCTTCCAAAGAGTACATGAACAGTTCAATGACCAGTAACTGTTACTCTTTGCTGTGTAATAATACGGAGGATTGGCAAGACGAAATTCGCGTTCGCGTTCGCACTCCACAGTCCCAGGAAAGTTTTTTTTTTGCATTTATTCGCACAGCAGAAAAGCAACCAACAGAAAATCACGGAATCATAGCAAACAAAACAAGGAAAGTCGAACTCGGTGACGGAATTCGCGTTATGAGAAGGATTAGCAAACAGCACATGCATGACGTTGACACGATGTACGGGTACAGCGTGGTAAATTTATGACTGCTCTGACACGAATCCGCGATTCGTGTTCCGACTACTTTTCCGAACGAAAAAGGCGAAAGTTCGCAATACAGTTCGCGACCTGAAAAATGTTTGCGAACGCGAACACGAATTTCGTCTTGCTAATCCTCCGTAATAATTATTATGTTCAGTACCGGTATTGTAAGGCCACACCAAAAAGATTTCGTGTTTCCGGTCGGCCGACCGGGTCCGTTTTTTCAAAAATTATGGAATTTTTTTGGTTTACGACAAGTACAAAAAAACAAAGAAAAACAAGCAAAAACACTGAAAGCGTGCTTTGCTCGAACCGAAATAAAAGTTTGACTGAATGCAGAGACGAAAATTCCGGAGCTGGAGAAAAGGTCGCCAAGAACGATGGCTGCTTAGAGCAGCCCGCTTTGTGTCCAGTGCTGACGATGGCTGCTCAGAGCAGCCCGCTTTGTGTCCAGTGCTGGCGGGGTGCGAAGTGTCTTCTTCAGCAAAGGATAGTTCGCGTCTCCCATGAAACCACTTTGAAGGAGTTGTTTTGTGAGGAAGTGCAGCCTCGCTTGCCTGAGGACGTCACGTCTTTAGAGTGGATTGTCGCAGCTACAGCAAGCAGCAATGGTGGGGCAGGAACGTGGAAAGATGTAGAGGTAACTGAAACTGTCGGCCTTGTTGTCGTAATACGAATTTGGATGCCGTTTCCTGGATTTTCGCTTGGTGGACGTAGCTCCTGCTGCCAAGCGACCGTGCCCTGACCGTCCCTCGGCATTCGATGTGCTTCTGGGAGCAGCAGCTACTGCGTCCCGCGGTGGTATTCTACTCCATATTCCATGTGTAAATATGTATATATTGTGTATCACCAGTGTCTGATCCAAACTTTCTCAATTTGGCTCATGTCTATGAATACAGCAGGGAAATAAACTTTCAAACCAAAAAATAATAATTTTCCGACCGACCGGGCGTATTTTTTCGGGGGGTGCCGACCGGAAACACGAAATCTTTTTGTTGTGGCCTAAGTAATGTTACCAAGGCAAGAGTCAAGACTACAACCAGGGAGTCGTAAAATACGACTCCCTGGTTACTTTTACCCACGATTTTTCGAGTGCAATGAATTTAAAAATTATTTTGCAAATTTGGTTGGCTGATTTTACAGCTAGCTAGCTGCTGATCTTTATCTTTGAAGTTTGATCTGGCGACATGTTGCACGTGTACACAATACTTTTTGTAGTACGTATGGTGTATCTCTGAATGGCTAAGTACTTTTCTTATTTTCCACAACAGCTGCTAGCTATTTACGAACACCAATAGTCTTGTCTAACCTACCTTTAGACTTAGTTGAAGCTCTCTTCGGGTGGATAACCGGACTGTACCGGCAAGTAAGCATAGACCATATCGGAAGACGTGAGTCATGGTGGCCATCACCAAAATCGAGGTGTTTCGAGCTGACTTGCCTTTGAAAGAAGGCCGCTACTCATGGGCACGCGGAAAGTTTGTGGATGTGTTCGACTGCACACTGGTCAGGATCAGCACAGATGTCGGCGTCCATGGCATAGGCGAGGTTACTCCACTCGGTCCGTTCTATCTGCCAGCATATGGACCGGGTGCACGTGAGGGGATTCGTCACATGGCCCCACACCTCCTGGGCAAGGACCCCACTCAGTTGGAGGTGGTGAATGCAACTATGGACGAAGTACTGATGGGCCACAGCTACTGTAAATCTCCCATTGACATGGCATGCTGGGATATATTTGGCAAACTTTGCAAGTTGCCGGTTTGCGTGTTGCTGGGTGGGAGATTCACACAAACCATTCCTCTCTACCGGGCTATCTCCCAGGAAAGTCCAGAAAGTATGGCAGATAAAGTGGCTGGTTACAGAGAAGAGGGCTATCGCAAGTTTCAGCTAAAAGTTGGCGGCGATGCTACCTTGGATGCGGCACGTATCCATGCCGTGGCTTCGAAGCTGGATATTGCTGGCGGAGACACCCTAGTTGCTGATGCCAATCGTGGCTGGTTGGCTGAAGAAGCAACTCGCGTAGTTCGCGCTGTTCAGGATCTGGATATCTATATTGAACAGCCATGCAATACCTATGAGGAATGCCTGAAGGTTCGTCAGCGAACACGACATCCGTTTGTGTTGGATGAAAGTATTGACTCGATTGAGGCATTCCTCAGAGCACATGCTGATCAGGCAATGGATGCGTTTAACCTGAAGATTAGCAAGGTGGGCGGACTGACGCGTGCACGTCAAATTAGAGATCTCGGCGCACGACTTGGTTACGCCATGACAATCGAGGACAGCTGGGGTGGCGATGTTGTAACGGCAGCTATTTCTCACCTAGCTGCTTCAACACCAACACGTTGTTTGTACGCATCGACGGATTTCAACTCCTATGTCACGCTGAGCACGGCTACTGGAGCTCCGCAGAGACGAAACGGCACGATGGAAGCATCTGACCAGGCTGGGCTTGGTGTAGAGCTACGCGAGGATGTCATTGGACAAGCCGTTGATGTGTACGGCAATGCTTGATTCTCTATGTGACTATTCCACTAAAGCAAGGGCACATTAGCACTGTGCAGCTGCAGTGTGCTGGCCTCTGTTGAAGTAAGTTTTAACTTGTGTCTGGAACATGATACTTCCTATCCTTGTACTGAGTCCCACCAATGGCTGCTCATCAATTAAAATTGTATGCGAGAAGATTACAAGTCTATTTTAAGGAGTTATTTTACCTGTATTGGCCGTGTGGCTATCGCCAGCCAGTGACAGATTACACCTGGCTTGCTTATTATACAGTCTGCTTTGAAGCGATTCATTGTGTAACTGTGTTTATACGAGTTCACTAAGAGAACTCGGTGTTTGCCAATCTCTGACTCCTGTTGTGCTGATGCAAGCATGTAAGATTTAAATTAGATTTTTTAATTTAAGTACATGTCGTAGGAAAGTGCAGCTCCAACGTTCTGGGGTCCCACTATCAAAGCGACTCAGCGTAGCACAGACACATGCATACACGTACCTCACACACGTGCATGCACACACATGCGTGTGCGCACGCACACAGACAGACACACACACCTGTACATTGCTGTCACCCGTCTTCAGTTACTAGTACATGTTTCCTCGGGGGGGGGGGGGGGGGGGAGGTTGATCTAAGGATGCTATGCAGAAATGTCGCAACTTTACTCCCTTGTCTTGTCTCTCAGTATTTTCCTCACGGCCATGTTGTTCAGCACCGATCACATTCACTCCAGTAAACCTTACAGCAAGGCAGCGAGAGCTCATGTCTCTCGGGGAGGGTGTCCCTAAAGTGGCACCTTTCTGCCGCTTTGGTTGCGCAAGGAGACGGCAGATGGTGGAATACCTTGAATACGCGAACCCACAACTATGTCCTTGTACATCACACCATACGTTTTTGTGGTGCCAGAGTCGTTGTAATGTTGCAAAGTGCAACAAGAGTGTAAAGGTACAGTATAGCACCATCATTGGCGTAATTCCAGTATAATGTAGCATAATCACTGGCATAATTTGGGCATAATGGAAGCGGCATAAATGGAGCATTATCCGCCAAGGGCTGTTTGTACTGAGTTCACCATACCATTAGATTGTTTGTACAGGTCCTCCCTCATTATAACGAGTCCGGTTACTACATAAACCCCGTTTGTAAATAGAAATCTGAAATCCCCTGGCAAAACGTGGTCTATACAACTGTTTACAGGTCCGGTTACAACATAATCCGTTTGTACATAAAATCCGTTATAACGACCCTTTGCCCAGGTCCCTGGAGTGCCAAACCCTCAGTATAAGATAATATTGACCATGCAGGACCAAGGCCAAAACACGTAGGATAAAGCAGAAAGAGGAAACGTATTATGTCTATGTATGCGTGAATATGGACGATCCTTTGCATCCAAGGAAGAGTTATGTTGGAGTAACTTGGAGATTTTCAATTATCTTATAACGAGTTGAAGCATCGATAATTTATGTTGTATCGAGGGTAGCCCCGGTAAGTACGAAGTAGTGCCTATTTCACCTTTAGCTGCAAGTCCTGCTACAAGATAAGTCTCGTTAGGCCATGGTAAAAAATATCTTTGATTCTCAAGTACGCGCGCATCGATTTTTGGTGGCGCACCGACGATTTTTTTTATTTCTATGCATGCGCATATGCGTGCATGAAAACGGTCAATGCGAAAGGCATGAATCCGGGAGTAGTAAAATACCGGTATTTTTCTACTCCCTGGCCTGAATAATAAAATAATTATAAATTAATTATGAACCTTTGACGTACACATGTGTGACCCTATCTTTGGAAATAAAAAAATTGTGGGAATTAAAATAAAAAATCGCTCGCTCGCACCGATTTTCACAGGCTCATGACCTGAGAATCAACTTTATTTTTTACCATGGCCTTATAAGATAACTTTTTTCGATGGCCCAGAGATTATCTACTAACGAGGGAGGACCTGTACTGAGTTCACCATACCATTACGGCATTAGATTGTTTGTACTGAGTTCACCATACCATTAGATTGTTTGTACTGAGTTCACCATACCATTAGATTGGACTGCAGCATCATGAGTATCACCATCATTGGCATAATTCCAGCATAATGTAGCATAATCACTGGCATAATTTGGGCATCATGAATGGAAAGCAAAATTCAGCGACTTACCGAACATCCGTCAAGGGCTACAAGGGGGGGGGGGGGGGGGGGGGGGCTAATGTGCCACCACTACATAGATCGAGGTCACCCATGACTCTAAGAAAATATGTGGCATGGTCGACGACATCGCGGATCAGCGCACCCGTGACAACAATGTGATACTTCGCGGCCTAAAGGAAAACTCGCGCGAAGACCTGCCCGCACTTATTGCAGCACTTGTTCCCGACTTCAAACGGGACGACATTATCCAAGTTTCACGACTCGAAGGGAGAAAGCAGCGTGTGGCAGATTCCTCTGCTTCCGCCAGTGCTAGCGCTAGCACTCAGCCACCAGACCCACCACGCCCTGTACGAGCTGTCCTCACGGCAAGTGGGAAATCGCACCTGATGCGCAACAAAACTCGCGCAAAGATTAACGGGCAGCCGGTCTACGTTAATCACGATCTGACACGCCAGCAGCAACAGAGGAGACGCCCGCTGGTGGCGAAGTTCAAGGCCCTGAGAGCTAAGGGAAACCCATGCCACCTGCCTAAGGATGTCATCGTCATGAATGGCAAGCCTTTGACTGACGCAGACATCGAGGATCTGCTCAATCAATAGGAATCAGCCCGGGCAGTCCCTCCATCACACGCAATAAGAAACACCGCAGTGATACAACCACCCACTGACACCAACGACAGAAAGCTAAGTATCACCCGTGCATGCATTTCTAAAATAGATTCTCCTTTGTTAATTGCCCACATAAATATCTGTAGCCTCTTAAATAAACTGCATGAAGTTGAATACATTCTATTCAAACATAAAATTGACGTCCTAGCAATTTCGGAGACATGGCTGAAAACAGCAATCCCTGACGGCTTAATCAAACTGCCTGGATACGAAGTACACAGAAGAGACCGCAAGCTAAAGACAGGAGGCGGTGTATGTATCTACATCAATGACAAACTTAAGCACAGACAATTACATATCCTCCAAGATATCGAAGCCGTTTCTATCCAGTTATTATTGCCGCACAATCCCATGAACATAGTATGCACGTACAGACCCCCTTCATCCCCCGTCACATATTGGGAGGAGTTGCTCAACACCGTTGATGACATCGAATCACACACGAGAGAAGCTCATACCATTGTGCTAGGCGACCTCAACGTCAACATCGCAGACCACCAACACCAGCAGTACAGGCACTTCCTAAGCTTCTGCCACGCTACCAACTTACAGAACATAGTTACGTCCCCAACCAGATTTCCGAGCCAATCGGTGCTAGACTTAATCTTACTACCCCGTACAATTTATCCACCAGCACGTGTCTCCTATTCCTCAGGGAGACAGAGCATCATCTACCAAGGCTGTTCCGTTAAGCCATGCGACGCTTCCGATCACCAACTAGTAGTTTTAGAGCTGTTGGCTACATTGCACTCTGCGCCGCAGAATCCACCGGTCAGAACCCGGAAACCTCCAATAAGAACCATAAATGCACAAACATTCCAGACAGAGATCACTTCGAAGATGTCAATCGTCGAGAACCAACCAACTGACCTCAATGCAAATATTGAACTTTTTCAGGGCTCCATCACCGAAGCACTTGATCATCATTGCCCCGTGAGGATAGTTACCTTTTCCACCAAGTATAAACCCGCACCATGGGTCGACGACGAGCTTCGTAAACTGCTCTACCGCAGAAAACGAGCTCATAGACTCCTGCTGAAACAGCCGGGTGACCAGCAACGAATCCAGTTGTTCCGAGCGCTTCGGCGAGAGTGCAAAATCACCATGCGCCGAAAGAAAGCCAATTACTTTCAGGCCGAGTTTATTAACAACAGACGGAACCCTAGACGTCAGTGGAGCGCTATGAACAGCCTACTTGGCAGAACGAAAGTCAGCCGTGAGCCTGGAGCTAGTATTGCAGACATTACATCTATATTCTCAGAAATAGTTGGGCCTTTGCCGCCAACAGAGACTTCTGACGCCCTGACGCTGGCATCCGTGCCTGATCATCCATCCAACATTCCGCCTGCTCTGCCGTGTGGCCCCCAGTCAGACGGCACTCTAGTTTCTTTTACCCGAATCACAGCGGGGGATGTTAAGTTCCATCTCCGTGCTATGGACAGTCGCAAAGCAAGCGGTCCTGACGCCATCCCCCCGCTCGTCTACAAACTTGTGTCTGACCAAATTGCACCAACGCTAGCCTCTCTCTTGTCGATATCCCTTGAAACTGGTGAATTCCCAACGCCCTACAAGCTAGCACACGTCCGTCCGATCCACAAACGTGGGGACGTTTCCGACCCTCGCAACTACAGACCCATCTCCCTCCTTCCTCTCATGTCCAAACTTCTCGAGAGGTGTGCGCTAGAGCAACTTACGCAATACATGGATAGCGCCAGTCACATGGAATCCCTCCCTGCAGTTCAGTTTGCGTACCGCAAAAACCACTCCTGCGACGATCTTCTCGCTCTGGTGGCAAATGATTGGAGTCAAAGTCTAGACCAGAACGAGTATGTGGCTGCGGCTTTCCTCGACATGTCCAAAGCGTTCGACACTGTCAACCACAGTTTGCTCCTCCAAGAACTGTTCGAGATTGGTGTGGGAGGGGTTGCACTGCGTTGGTTTGCATCATACCTTACTGACCGCCAGCAGAGAGTTGTCACCAAGTCTAGCAGAGGTGCCTGTTATTCTGCCTCCAGAGGTGTACCTCAAGGATCTATCCTTGGACCTGTCTTGTTCAATCTTGCTGTCCGCAAACTGCCAGAGTGTGTTGCTAGTACCAAGGTCCGTCAGTTTGCTGACGATGTTTCTGTCTACAAATCCGGAAGGGATCCACAGAAGCTCACTGCAGACTTGGCCAGAGACGTTCTGTCAATCCGCAACTTCCTCCGGGACCACGGCCTTAAACTCAACGCGGAAAAGACACAGTTCATCATATTCCGCCCAAAGTCCAAGGCTGTCCCAGCTAATCTCCAATTGTCAATTGATAGCACTAGCATACCGCCTTCAGCCACAATAAAATACCTCGGCCTCCTGTTCGACGAGCATCTTACGTACCGAGATCACATCACGCTCCTGGAACGCAAGATAGGCACTAAACTTGCTGTGTTCAGGAAAATCAAACACAATCTAACACCTGCTGCCAAACGAGTCTTTTACTGTTCCTTCATTCAGGCCCAACTTGAATACGGCTCTAATGCATTTGCGCACAGCCTCCAAGTCTCGCAAATGGACCGCATTACTCGTATATCTAACCGTGCTGTTCGGATTGTCTTTGGCTACCCGAAGTACTACGATGCTTCTCTTGTTCTAGCTAGGAACTATCTCGCTGCTATTTCCCTTAGATATCAATTTCGCCTGTTTGTACTGGTGTTTCGAGCCCTCCATAAGCTATGCAGTCCACTGCTCTCGACCTGCTTCCTCCCTCGCACTGCCACTTCACAAACCTCAGCCCATACACGCTCACAGTCCACTTTGTCACTTAGTCTTCCTTTAGCTTCTCGCCGCTATGGTTTATACTCGCTTAGCTTTCTTGGTTCCGATCGTTGGAACGCGCTTCCTGCTGATATTCGCACAATCTCCTTGCTCAGAAACTTCCGTTCATCTATTCAACAATTCATAGGGTACCCTGTAAAAAGGCCCTAGGCCTGTGGGACTGCCCTATTCAAAATTTAATAATAATAATAATAATAATAATGTGGGCTAGAGGAGAGGCCTGTCTCAGGGGGGGGGGGGGGGGGGGGAGCAGTCGCCGCGAGTGAGTGTACAGCCTAGGGCCGTAGCACTGTGATTTCAGGTGGTCCGGCCAAATGGGGTACTTGCCATTATTGAAAACCTCATTTTCTTACATGACACGTGATCGTTGCCGGGGCCATGGCCAATAGGCGATCTTCCCGCCGCGGGCATAATCAGGCCATCAGGACCGTTTGACGTCATTTCGGGAGTTTCAGGACCGTTTGACGTCATTTCGGGAATGTTCGGACCGTTTGACGTCATTTCGAGAATAATGTTTCGACCTTTCCACCTTCCGTAATATGTTGCTTCGCGCTGTAAGAAATCAAATCAAGCACGCTCTGTCTGTCATGATGGCTGAATCTTGCCCTTGCCTGCAGCCCTCGGGCCTACGGCCCTTGGGCTGCAGGCTCGGGCAAGATTCAGCCATCATGACCTCCTGAGCGTGCTTGATTACATACATCACAAATGGGCTGGGTCAACCTTTTTCGAAATATGGGTCACCGTCAGGCCAGATGGTACGGCCCTGGTGTAGACTCTACCATACATGTACATGTACCATTATACATGATGTATGATGTAGGCTAGAGTACATAGCCCCCTACTCTTGATGTAGGCTTACTCCTAGATGTTACACTGTATGTAGGCTGAAACTCAGCTGGAATGGGTTGGAGTGGTCCATGCAGAGCCAAGGCTCTCAATCACCCAGCTCCAGTGTTGCAACTGGAGTTACGTGGTGGTACATGGTGGTGGTGGGGGCGGGGCAGGACATGTTGACACTTGAAAGTAACTTAGTTACTTACTAGTACTAGTACTTAGTAGTTGAAGGATTAGGACATGAATACTCACACAGAATACGTGTCACCCTGGGAGGTAAGTCTCTGCAGTATGCTGTGGCCTGTGTAGGGTATGCAGAGCATTCCATGTCTGCCCAGCGCTGGCCGGAAATGCATGAAGAAGGCAATGTGACGAATACAGTGACAGAAAGGCAACATGATGAAGAGCCTTTTGACAGTTCGACTCCTTCCAGGACCTCTCCACTTCCACATTGGAAATAATTGATTAGCGTGACACATTAGTGCAGCCACTGAACTGAGTGGTCGTTATCACCTGAAAATGACCCCTGATGCCCTGAGGCCTGACTACGAGTAGTGCTGCTGACACTACGTAGACTACCATGGACTACGGCATGTGTAGCTGAAATGGACCACTTGTTACAGTCATACGGATGCATTGTGCTCACAGTACTACCGCATACCGGTACTTGGGGTGGTCGCTGCTGCTCACGGTGGAAAAGGAGGGTACCGGCGGCTGGTAGCCCCGATGCAGATCATGTAACGAGTTACGTTACGTTACATGTATACAGTCTCCGGTGATGCGCAATTATTTAATTTATTTTCTCACTAAATGAGGAAGGACAATGCGAAGTCGTCAAGTACGACTCCGGAGCTCCCTGGTGCAGACAAACCGCACGGACCAAGCAGGGTGCACAGACCAAGCACAGACAGTAGATCTGCTACATTGTACTTGGTACGAGTACGTAGATCTACTACATGTATGTCACGTTTTTGCGTGATTGGTCGAGCCACGAGTGCTGTGCCGCTATAATTATGTGCATGCAACCGGCCGTGTCCTCCTTTTCCGCAACAGCAGCTACATGTATCTACCTGTTTCAACGAGCACCACCGTGAATAGATGGTCTGACCTACCTGAGCTGAAGGCTTGAAGCTATCTTCTGGTGGATAACCGGACTACCTATACTAGACCATAATTATCGGAACTAAGTGTTACTTCCGACGTGAGTCATGGTGGTCATCACCAAAATTGAGGTGTTTCGAGTTGACTTGCCTTTGAAAGAAGGCCGCTATGCATGGGCACGCGGAAAGTTTGTGGATGTGTTCGACTGCACACTGGTCAGGATCAGCACAGATGTCGGCGTCCATGGCATAGGCGAGGTTACTCCACTCGGTCCTTTCTATCTGCCAGCATATGGACCAGGTGCAAGAGAGGGGATTCGTCACATGGCCCCACACCTCCTGGGCATGGACCCCACTCAGCTGGAGGTACTGAATGCAACTATGGACGAAGTACTGATGGGCCACAACTACTGCAAATCTCCCATTGACATGGCATGCTGGGATATATTTGGCAAACTTAGCAAGTTGCCCGTTTGCGTGTTGCTGGGTGGGAGATTCACACAAACCATTCCTCTCTATCGGACTATCTCCCAGGAAAGTCCAGAAAGTATGGCAGATAAAGTGGCTGGCTACAGAGAAGAGGGCTATCGCAAGTTTCAGCTAAAAGTTGGCGGCGATGCTACCCTGGACAAGGCGCGAATCCATGCGGCGGTGTCAAAGCTGGATATTGCTGGCGGAGACACCCTAGTTGCTGATGCCAATCGAGGCTGGTTGGCGGAAGAAGCAACACGTGTAGTTCGCGCTGTTCAGGATCTGGATATCTATATTGAACAGCCATGCAACACCTATGAGGAATGCCTGAAGGTTCGTCAGCGAACACGACATCCGTTTGTGTTGGATGAAAGTATTGACTCGATTGAGGCATTCCTCAGAGCACATGCTGATCAGGCAATGGATGCGTTTAACCTGAAGATTAGCAAGGTGGGCGGACTGACGCGTGCACGTCAAATTAGAGATCTCGGCGCACGACTTGGTTACGCCATGACAATCGAGGATAGCTGGGGTGGCGATGTTGTGACGGCAGCTATTTCTCACTTAGCTGCTTCAACACCAACACGTTGTTTGTATGCATCAACGGATTTCAACTCCTATGTCACGCTGAGCACAGCTACTGGAGCTCCACAGAGACGAAACGGCACGATGGAAGCATCTGACCAGGCTGGGCTTGGTGTAGAGCTACGCGAGGATGTCATTGGACAAGCCGTTGATGTGTACGGCAATGCTTGATTCTCCCTGTGATTCATCTAACTGCTGTCACCATGCACGCTTACATGCGTCAGCGGGAGAGCAGTGTTGGTTAGGTCTAATTTCAGAAGTTTTAGGTGCTCAATATTTCCGTATGAGGGCAAAAGGCCAGGTTAGGTGAACAGAAATTTTAGGTACAGAGAAGCAGTTCCCTATTGGATTATGTGTGTTAGTGGTTGTTCGGTGTATAGAAATTTTAGGTATGAAACAGACGCACCGAAAGTACCGAAAATCAAAGTACACCGAACATTTGTGAAATTACAGTAATCGGGTAGGAATTGGAGGATGAACTGAATGGAAGCTCTTGCTTATATGGCAGAGTAGCAATTCACTTATTGGCTGTGTAGGCTGTCCCATGGAACAATGCTAATCAGCTGGACACATTTTTACATTTCATTTAATATGGCATTAAAAAAATGATGTAATTGTGTGTTGCTCCCTACGTGGGAGCTTGCGCTATTCCTGCCGACTTGAATTCTCACTTGACTGACTCACGACTGCCATCCAGAGCACACGAGAAGTCCATCGAACCGTCCACTCGGCAAACCTGCAAGAAAGCACCACTCCCTGCTCAATACACAGTGTTTCGTGGAATTCACCCCTCATCAGTTGAGCTTGAGTAGGCTGAGGAAGATAATGCCTGAAGAGTACCACTTATATAGTGCTCTCCAGGCAAAACCATCACCAGGGATACAAAACTTACAGAGACGCTCCGTTTCCAGCGCGACAAACACCTCGTGAACACCAGATAGCAGCGTGAGTCAGTGTCGCTCATGGAGGTGCTGAACAGATGCTGAGGACCGTTGGCCATTCACAATGTTGTTGCCTCCAAACCATCTAATTCGCAAGCCCGCGCTATATAAGTGGTGCTCTTCAGGCATAATCTTCCTCAGCCTACTCAAGCTCAACTGATGAGGGGTCACAGTGAATTCCCCAAAACACCGTGTATTGAGCAGGGAGAGGTGCTTTCTTGCAGGTTTGCCGAGTGGACGGTTCGATGGACTTCTTGTGTGGTCTGGATGGCAGTCGTGAGTCAGTCAAGTGAGAATTCAAGTCGGCAGAAATACATGTAGCACAAGCTCCCACGTAGGGAGCAACACACAATTCCTCAATTATCGCCGAAGTCACACTAACCTCTTCTTCAAAATGATGTAATGCATCTTTAATATTGCCATACCAAGATAAATGTATCAACCACTACCAGACCAACCACTACCAGTACAGTCACTTCGCTAATAACGACTGCGGGTATAACGACAATTCGCGAGTAACGACAGAATTTCCATGCCCAGAGCAAAGTCCCATCCCACTGTAATACATATAATGAGACTTCGGGTATAACGACACTTCGCGAATAAGGACACCTTTTTGACGCCCCCCCCCCCCCCCCCCCCCGGGTGTCGTTATAAGCGAAGTTGACTGTATAATAATTATAGCACATAAAGGGGCAAGTTATTATTATAACAGGGACTTTACCATGGTTTACTCCCCGATGAAGCCCAAAGGGCGAAACATTGGAACCTGAGACTGTCAAAAATTCAAAATTGCAATGCAGAATCTCCACATCCACACCACATTTGTAGTCTATAAGTTCACCGGAGGATGCACCCCGGCAGTGTGCTGACAGTGCTCAACACCGCCGAGGCGGAGCGTAATACACCGTTGCCTGGCGATTGCAAAACTTGTGGCACGCAACTTTGATACAATGCAGTTGCGTGATGTCCACCACTTTCTGGATGAAACTTTGAGTAGTGACTAACAAGCCTAGATCACCCTTGTTGTTCTGTGTAGCCTATAGATTCTAAATCAAAAGTACAGTACAATGTACCGTGCATATTTGGAATAGTGTGCCAAAAAAAAGAATTTTAAAAGTCTATTCTGCGGAATTCACAGAGGACAGACAGACATACGCACACACACACACACACGCGCACACACACACACACCTCATGCAGACACACACACACACACACACACGCACATCTGCCGAACTGGAAATGGACTCTGGGTGCACCGGCCCTTCTGTACACTGGGCCACACATACTTGGGTGAAACTCGAATTTATCCACCTCCACTTTCCTATAGTATACCATGTTTCAAGGAAGAAATCCACGGCCAATCTAAGCTGAGGTTGGCCTATTTTAAAAAGCCTCAAAAGGGAAATTCAAGGCTGCTGTGACGTTTCACAGCAGAAAAGTTACGCCATTTTATTTTCAACTCTCTGGTTGGCGTCAGGTAGTTGCAAAATACTCCCTGGTTAGTACGGTCCTGTCTTTCAACTATAGGCTAGGTTTAAAAGCACCAGGAGACCGTGAAAGGGTCTTTCTACTTTTAAAAGGGGCCATCCCGGCATTATCGATAATTTTCACAGAACGAACAAGTTTCGTTATGACCCTCCCCCACCCACCCACCCCCTTCAACGAAAAATATATGGACTTTACAGCTAGAAATAGAATGGATTGATGGTTCAGCTATCAATAATTTTCAAAATGAAACTCTCCTCAACCCACCCACCCATGAACGAAACTTTTTCTCTTCGTGAAAAAGATCGATAATTACGGACGGCCCCTATAAACAGCATTCAGGAACGCCTTGCTTCAGACTACAATTTTAGGGTGCGTTTGGTTGGTACGATCTAGAACAGGATCGAACAGCTGGTGCACATGGAGCAGCCTCATGCCAACCAAACGGTACTCCAGAAACAGAGCACTTTTTTTGTGAAAAATATTCCGAACTTGGTGCATTCTTCAAAATGTGTATGGGTCACCATGGTCACTGTGTACGGTACTACAAGTCCAACCCAAAAGCGTATGCACATGATCATTTGGGACCAAAATCGATATTCCCGCCAGGTTTCACTGTGAAAAAGTGAAACTGCTCGGTCTGCTCCGGCCTCGAGGCCGGAGCAAGCAGAACATGTTCTGGCCGACCCAGAACAGGTGCAGTCCCGAACAAACGCGCTGTTCTGGTGAATCCTTTTCTAGGTCGTACCAACCAAACGCGCCCTTATAGTCTATATTTGCACTCAAATCTGTCTATATGTATCTATTATTGCACGATTAAAGAGGTCAATATATGAAATATAGAACGAGTAAAAGACCGAGGTCCCCCGAGGTCTTTTACGAGGTCTATATTTCATATATTGACCGATTACGAGGGCAATAATAGATTTATCACGACATAGCATACCTAAAACTGTTTTTGCTTTGCTATACAGGGAATTTTCTAGAACCGCCCCAACCGGTTTTCGACCGGTTGAAATTGTTGGCGACCGGTTGAAAAGTTACAAATCAGTTCCAACCGCCCGTACTTTTCTGTGGGTGAATGGAGCTGTGAATGGTCAAACGCTTTTTTCTGGACGGATACTTCCAGCGAAGCCGTGTGGGCTGGTACTAGGGTCACGAGTTTGTACTCCAGCACCAAGAAATCTGTTAAATTGCTGTCGAGTGCCATATTTGGGTTGTATTTTGAAAAAATGTTCCGGGGGTCACTCCCGGACCCCCCGACTCTTCATTGGACCGTAACCGGTTGGAAATTCGTCCTAGAATATACCCTGCTACAGGAAGAAAGGAATACTATTGTTATAGTATAATACTGTAGTATGTACATATGCCGTTTACATTGGACATTACTTCTGTGTAAACCGAAGTTTTCAGTTGTCTCTTGTAGTATGTTCCCCAAGTTCTTTGACTGAGAATCTGACAGTTTGGGTTCAAATCCTAGCATCTGGCTTCAGGTTTTTCTTCTTTCAGTTCTGATTTTTTCTAAGTTGAGGAAAAAGTTCTAAGTCCTCGGGCTGATAGCCCTCGTAATCGGTCAATATATGAATAATATATTTCATATATTGACCTCTTTAATCGTGCAATAATAGATACATATTGCCCGGCATTTGACCCCATACACACTGTACACATACACATACAAGTAGGTGCGCATGTAATACCAGTTGGATACATGTACCTCGTAGTTTTTCGTACCATGATCCCGAATTCCACGTGTGAAGGCAGTGTACGTTGATGAGTACATCAAATTAGGGAAGTATGCATGTAATAAATGTGTTATTAGCCTCGTAGTACGGGCAATACCGGCTACGATATCTGCCGGTATTGCCCTGATACTCGGCTAATAACACATACATATTTGACCGCTTAGAGATCACAAGTTTCTGTGGGGGTCAATAATAAGAGAGTGATAATTGCTATTATAACTCTCTTATTATTGACCGCCACAGAAACTTGTGATCTCTAAGCGGTCAAATATCAGCATATATATTGACCTTTGATAAATACCCACACTCATTAGTGACCACACCATCAACAGTATCAAATTCAAATAAATTTGCTTGACTCAATAATTTTTTTTTAATTTCCTGCCTCAACTGCACAATGACAATATTTGAACGTCTGTTGCTGCATGCGGCGCGAAACCTGAACGTGAGCCTTTGGCGTTGACATCGAAGTGGCACACGAAACCTCACCAATGACTGCAGAGAACACACTTTCTGTTGTTTGTGAAGTACTATGGGAATCATGCATGCTGTCGGTACAGCTAGGCATGATGCACACAGAACCCAGCCACGGCGGGACAAGTAACACATTGGATGAGCCATAGCACAGCGCATGTTGATAAACGATCAGCAAAAGTAAAATAATTTATCGTACCATAACATAATTATGAGACAATGCAATCAACGCTAAGATAAACTGAAAAGACACTGAAGCCATGCGGACATACCGTTTGAAGCAGTACAACACAGTCATGTTGAGAAAGCACTTTACAAAACTGAACAAGTGCCTTGAATATAAAGGATTATAATGAATGATCATGAATATGATGATGGCGGTGATAATAATGATGGACTTCACTGTAAAGTAGCATGCTCACTTCTAAACTAACACACACACACACACACACACACACGTCACACACGTCACACAAACAATGATTATTGATATGAATGCACCAAGACACAGAGATATGCATGTACGTCAAGTACGATAAAACTCCTACAGAAAAAGTCTAACAGAGAGATTAGAAAGGAAAGGCATTGGTCTAGTGTCTGAGCTACACACATCAATGATGCCCCACTAAGCATGAGGGGGAAGCTAACCAGCAGACAACTAATTTTCTTGAAAGGGATGGCCGAAGCTAGAGCAGATGCCATGACATGAGGGGACTTTACATTGATGAATTTTTTGTATCTGGGTGGCTGTGGAGCACAACACTATGCTAAATATTCTGCAAGTGCTGTTCGACTCGGGCAACTAATTATGTGCAAGGAGAAGCACCCAGCAGAAGAGCAATGCCCACTACCGTGCTTTCCACGCGTCAATAGTAATCACTTCACTCGTAACTGTGGAAGACGACGTCTCAGACACCAAGAAGTAGAGTGTATTCGGTGCAATAAATTCGAGAGTGTGCTGCGGCATGGCCGAATTCGGACGGCCGGCCGTATGATAGGATGAATTCAAAAATGCTTTGAGGATAAAAAAATAATAAATTGTTGCACTGAGTTGCAGACGGCTACAGTTGCATCGGACGTGTGCACACCACCACGCACAGAAATACGGACAGTGTTCATATCAAAGTTGGCCAAAGAATATGGCGAGGAGTAAGCAAGCAAGTTTGATTACCCTTCAGGTTGGATGCAGCTTCACACAACCTCCATTGAGCCTTCATCGTCGTTCATCCACAATGGCAAGGGATCGTTCTTGTCATCGCTGGGTGTAACAAAGTCCCAAATCACAATGGTGTCGTCGTGTGAACTACTAATGATCTGAAACTGATCAAACTGAAGCCGGAACACTCTACCGCCATGTTCCTGCATACGCACACCGAGAAACGAGATGAACATGAGGGTGACAGAACAATACTACAATAATAGTATTCAAAGTATAAACTGTCAGGATAGTGAACTGCCTGAAAAGAGAAAATAAATGGAAAAAATAAATGCCAACCTAACCAGGACTCAATATTACGATGTACAATAGTGTGTGTGTGTGTGTGTGTGTGTGTGTGTGTGTGTGTGTGTGTGTGTGTGTGTGTGTGTGTGTGTGTGTGCGTGTCACTATTCAGCCTGGTGAATTCTTCAGCCTTGCAAGCTGTTGAATGGTGCAATCCCAGCACAAGTTGCTATGGCTTCTGCCGTAGCATTGCTATCATCGCCTCCGGCGATGGGCGTCAAAAGGTCAAGGTCAAAGGTGTGTGTGTGTGTGTGTGTGTGTGTGTGTGTGTGTGTGTGAGAGAGAGAGAGAGAGAGAGAGAGAGAGAGAGAGAGAGAGAGAGAGAGAGCGAGCGCGTGTGCATCAGTCGCCAAGATGCGTGGACTGACAGGATATCTCATGATGAGGGCATGAAGAGCTGGGGCGATACCTCGGACTTGGATATGGAGTGTCGGGAGCGCGGAGGTAACAGCAGGGGTGAAACGGAGGTCTCAAATTCCCATTCGAACTTTCTTTATTAAAACGAAGGAGGTGTCAAAGGATTCTTTTTTTAACACAGTCACAGAGGTGTCAAGATTTAATGGTGAATGCAAGTCTGCGGCTCGTACGCTGCGCATGCCACACTGGCTCAGTCATGGTCCTGCTACAGGATGGAGCAAGCTGCCATCATGTGTGCGGCTTCGTCGTGGACAGTGGCTACTACTTTCTTCGTTGGCACTGGCACTCGCTTTACAACAGTAATAGCATGCTCTGCCGATCGGTTCCCTGGGTGGTTGCTGCCCTTGAACTCGGTGGTTTCCAAGACGCATGATAAGAGGTTCCAGTCTGCGTCAATAAAGTGGAGGTGTACGTTACGTCGGACTGTGAGGCGTTGCTCGTCCAGCCATCTGTTGTCACCGCCACAGAGTCCAGTCTACAGCTGCTGGAGTTACTTCCGGCACTGACTATACCGTTTCCTCAGAAGGTGGACGACGTAGTCCGGCTCAATGTACTGCAGGATGCGGAGGAAGCCGATGTCGTGGACGATGGAAACGGGCCGCATGTTATCAGCAAACCCAATCAGCTACGAGGTCGCTGATTTTCGACACTTTTTTGCCATCAATTCTCAGTGCCATGGACGATGTCATTGGCCGTGTTCCAGTGGCTGGGCGTCCTCCAGCGCCGGTTTTTCTAGATGCACCGTCCATCGTTGGTTGGGTTTCCGGATGAGCTGCTCGCAGGCTCGCACAGATTGGATGTGTTGCCAAGGTAGGCATACTCTTCCTTGCAAATCATTCAAAGCACTCAATTCACCTTGCCGGGAATTTCGCGGAGGTCCTTCAACACGTCGGACCGTTCCCTGGAGCCATTTCAATTTTCATGAAGACAACTCTTCAACAAACACAAGTAACACTTCGAAGGCAGACCAGCTACTGACAAACTACCACTGAACTGCAACTAGTGTCTTCGTTCGACGGCGGCCGAGCAAACTAGGGCGCGGGACGCAAAACTACAGCATTGCAATATCATGATCATATGTCCCTGTCGACGATCGAGTCAAGGTCATGTAGCACAGTCAGTACAGCAAGGTCAGTCCGCTAGCGGTCAGTGTTCCGAAAACAGCGCCACCACGACCCAGTCAGAACTCGCAACATGAACAGTACTCTGGACGAGTGCATAGTAGCCTGCAGATCGCAACATCAACGCACGCGAGGTAATCTACAGTACACACTGGAACTGGGCCAGTGCTTGGACTACTGTCACTTCCGGTACGCTCCCGGTCCGTGCCCCTACTACTTGTATGTGCAGCACATTCGATCGGCATGACAACAAGGGTGGTTGTACACGGCAGTACAGCACATCGTACAAGATCAGTGCATGCATGCAGTAAATCCGTGACGACCTTCGTTCGAATCGAAAACGAAGGTCCTTCGCACCATCGACTACTTTGTTCACCCCTAGGTGACACCATGGATATGGACTGTCGTCTCAGCAGAAGTTACCTTCAGTGGCTTGGACATGTGCCGAGGATGGAGGGTGAGCGCATTCCGAAGGCCCTACTTTTAGATTTCTTACCAAGTAATAAACCTGCCCAAGGTACATAGAAAAGTCCAAAGTTAATATTTATGGAAGCCCTCATACACCTTTTCAGAGTGCTGGTCGAGCGCAAGGGCAAAGGAAATAGACCACTGACAGTGGGCTCCCTAAGGTGGGGACAAATGCACTAGATGAACAAATTTAAAACCGACGCTTCAGATCAAACAAATACATACCTCCAATGTTTTGATGCACAAGTCCTTGTTTGGAGATCTTGGATTTAGAGCAGCTTTCAAGTCCCACACCTTGATCAGGCTATACGCAAGAGAACAGCAGATATGACGTTAAGCTAGGTTTTCACCTCTCTTTGACCTTCACTTCTTTAGTCACTGAAACGGATCCATGTTGATGATAAAACACACTTTTTTCACACACGCACACTGTAACAAGCTTTCCATATACAACTTCAAGTACGTGTAGGATAGGTGATTGTCAGGAATGCATGGCCAGCCACTACGTGTAGACTACACGCGTGCTGGTACAGATCACTAACATCAGTGCCAATGGCAGTGATGGATGTGAGCAATGACATAACCAGAGACAAGATACTAGTATGAATTCAACCTTGGCAAAACGCAGACACCCAAGCGCCTGACACAGGTGCCCTCAATTCTTAGACCAATAACTGAAGGACGTGTGTCACACTGCTCAGACTTCAACATGCGCCTCTGGACCCAATAGTACATGACATTGAACACTATACTTATTACTAGTATTGAACGAGCAGGTTCTCCCCACCAGTACAGCATGGTTGTACGGAGCGCCCTGCACATGCGGCACCATCGGCAGTCATCATACACCAGCATTCCCAATTGCTCATGTGCATCAAAGTGCACAGGGAAATGAAGAAGCTTGGCCAAGCTGTCCTCATTTCATCGGCATCCATTTTTGCCCGTGTCGTTAAGGGCAGGTTGAAGCTGGTTAAACTCTGTCACAACTGTTACAAGAATTAGAGAAGAGACTAGACAGCCCATACAACTCACCCATCGTAAGCACCACTAACAATACGATTCTCGTCAAATCGAATGCACCTGGGAAAACACAGGGACAAAAAGAAAAAAATCCATGGACTTCAGCACAAGACTACGACTAGTACATAAAAAGAAATGCATTCTTCACAGTTCCACGGGAAACACAAATGAAGTACTTTGGGTTGTTATTGCCAGGTTACCACGCTTACCGGACGAGCTCATTGTGTCCTTCCAATGTGCGCAAACAAGCACCACACTCAACATCCCACAGTCTAAAAGCACACACAATGTACAAAAAGGAAACAAGGAAAACAGGTTGAAGCTACAGAAACTGTGCATCAGCAAAACAACACTGAGACTCTTCTACAGATGAAATCCGGCCACCTTCGCCCGTCAAAAGCATACAATTATAATCACAATGTTCAGGTACCCACTGACGTTACTCATATGCAATTCGACTTCTATTACCTGTTTAAGGCTGTTTTACAAAAAAAAGAGCCCTGTATGTACTCTTGATACCACTCAGGGTGTATTCGATTTTCGAGATACACACTGAGCAGCAGGTTTCCTGCATATCTGGAATACCAAAGCTTGCATGATAGTGCATTTCCATTGTCCTCCCCGCTATATACAGGATGACATCCGTGCTCAGTACCTAAGTCAGTTTGTCAGACTTCCCCCCCCCCCCCCCCCCCAATTGCCTGTTGCTGGAAGAAAGTGCAAACATGAGCAGCCACCGACATGTCACATGACAGTTGCCCAGTCAATTATTAAAGAGCAACTGAAAGAAATAGGAAATATGGGAGACATGTTCAAGCAGCTTCGTCTCTTACTTGATCGTGAAATCTGAAGAGCCGCTAACAACCAAACGGTCACGATATTGCAAGCACGCAATCCCTCTTCGGTGGCCGTGCAGGGTTCTCACGTGCTGCAGATCTGATGTCCGCCATACCTACATGGCACATACAAAGACAATACCAACAGATCTCATGTTATAATAAGGGTCCAGGAGAGGTTTCTGAGAGTACACTCACATGGGTCAGTTAGGGCCGGGTTCCACTGCGGCTCCGCTGCTCGTCTTTCGCGGCTTGAAACGTCATCATTACCATAGTGACCGCGGCTCGAGCTGGAGCAGCGAGTCCGCGGCTCACCGCGAGCTTTTGCTACGATTCTTGACCAAAAACTGCGAGCCGCGGCTCGACCTGTTTCCCGTACTTTGCATTGTTTTGTACGCCAGAATTTTAAAATTCAAATTTTAATTCGTTGCGCAGGCCAGAACACGAGGATTTTTTTGATTTCGCGCGCAAGCAGGTGAAACATCATCAAAAAGTGTGGAGCATGACCGCGGTACCGCGAATGGCGAGTGTCAGTGGAACCGCGCTGCTCCGCTGCATGCAGCCAAGTGCCGCGGAGCAGCAGTGGAACCCGGCCCTTAAGCAGCACATGCACTCGCAGATCTCAAACAACACTTGTCCAAAACACACGACACTACTGAACAATTGCTTTAGTTACCCACCCGCAATGATCGATCGCCTGATGCCGACACAATGAATTTGTCGTCAAAGTCAACGACGTTCACTGCCGCCCTATGACCAGTGAGAATCTCTCTTAATTCGAAACGATTCGGCGAGTGGATTCTCCAAACAGCAATGTTGCGGTCCTGCATTAACACCAGCACAGACATAAAACATACACAAGTCTACACCAGCACATAAAACATACACAAGTCTACACCAGCACATAAAACATACACAAGCCTACAGTGGGGACAAGTGAAAGCTGACTGGTTTCAATCTGGGGTCAGTGAGCGCAACGCAAGAGAAGCATGAACCATGTCCATTATATCCATTATGGTAGCAGTGTATTTCCGAGTTACGGAAGACTCTGAGATACGGACACCCTCTTTCTCTACAGTCCATACAACCTGGTGTTGAGCCATAAATCCATCACGAAGTGTTTGTATACAGAGGAAGTACATTTTTCCGCAAACTCCAATGCAGCCACGTACACATTAATTATAAAACTTCACTTCTTAACTCCAAACACAGTCTTTTTAGTGCGATTCAAATCAAATTTATTATTACCAAATTTATCCTGATGATGGGCCAGGCCCGAAAAAATTGGTAACATACGTCTCTTATCCGGGCCCGAAAAAAATGGTAACATACGTCTCTTATCCGGGCACCTTGGGACCGGGCACTGCCCGTATCTCAGATTTGCCCGTATCTCAGGATAACTCATCTACCATGTATCATATCGTTTTTGAAGAAGTTTATTTGGAACGTATTGCACATGTTCAGGATACAAAAGGAACCCATTGATAAAAATGTGTGGATTACATAGGTTGGCAGTGAAAAATAAGCACTTCCTCATACGGAAAAAAGTTCAAAACCTCCAAATTCTAAGCATTTGTGCTATAGGAACTCAAGCTGAAGGTGCCCGGTAGAGAGACGTGCCCGTACCTGAGGCGTCCGGATAAAAGGCGTTTGAGTGTACTAATAAGTTCAGCAACAAGCTGCAAGGATATACTGTACCTTGGAACATGTGACCAGCATGTCACCTTGAAATCGCAGATGCAACACTGCCTCAGTATGATGCTTCACAACATTCAGAATCTCACCAGTCGTAATACACCAGACACTGTAAGGAGAGTAATGTACAAAAGACGGCGAGTGCATCAACATTTATACCGTATGTCCGCACCTTTAAACCCATGGTGTTATATTCGATTATAAAGCCAGTCTCAGTTATAAAGCCATGGGCTTCATAAATGAAATGACATTTGGAGTATATTTTTCAAAAATGAAGAAATAAGTACTATGCTAACAAACTTACAGCCCAGCAGAAAGGGTGAACAAGTAGATTTAGATTGAATTTCTGTGTGGACATTGACTTTTATGGCATGGCGTAGTGGGCGAGTCATTTTGCATCTAAAATACCTAGGAAAGCAGCGGTGTTTCGAATATAAGGCCATGGCGTTAACCCTTTCAGTGCTAATGACGAGATATCTCGCTCTGTAAAGTGTGCCTGAACGGCGGATGATGAGATATCTCGCTCCACGGCCCACGCAATAGTACGAAGTGCATATATCACTGTACAAACTGTCGTAACTCATGTCAACGGCGGCCGATTTTCACAAACGATATACCGTTGGAAAGGTATTGTGCTCAGCTTTCCAGTCATATAAAGTTCTTTGCGACAGGACTAGATTTTGAGTGAGCGTTGACGGATAGAATTGCCAAAAAATCAAAAATACGCTTTCTGGCCATGAGTTCAAACTTTTTGCTCGCGACTCGCTTTTTTTAAGGGATTTCCCTTTGCTACAGCGCATGCGTGTGGGGCATCAAAGCGCTTGGATCTCAGCTTTGCAGCGCAGTTTGATTCGTGAAGTTTGGTTTAGTTTGAGAGAGATGGCGAACGAAAATGTATTATGAAGTTGTTTAGCGATTCTGGGACATGTAAGGGCTTCTTCTAGAGCACATAGAAGTGACACTGGCATGCCTATGGAGCTGAGAACTGCCAGAGAGTCTTCGCTTGGCTCAGGCCTTTCCAACAAGCCATAGATGGTGGAAATCCATCAATGCAAACATGGCGAACGATTTTGCTCGGCGACGTGCATGCAGGGTCTGAAATGAAAGCAAGTGCGCTGAAAGCTTAGCCGGCAGGGGGAAACTAGGCCAGCAGTGAAAGGGTTAAAGGCGCTGACATACGGTACAAAAAAACAGGATACTGGTAGGCCATGGGCATAGTCTCTACCCAGCACTCATGCCTGCATTGTGCAAACAGGACCAGTACAAAGTGGCAACATTAGGTCCTACTCGTGGAGTAGGACACAGCTGAAAATGGTTGAAAACTCAATGAGTATTAAAGGGGCCGTCTGTAAATATCGAACTTTTTTCACCAAACAAATTATTTTAGTTTAGACCCAATCCCTCCCTCCCTCTCAGAACGTAAAAAATGTTGACGTATACATGCATAATTAATTATACAACAAAAGTTGCAAGTGTGTCACTGCTCCTGTGGCCATGTGCATGTATCAATGTTTTCAGAAACGAAATTGGTGAACCCCCCCCCCCCCCCCCCCCTCCCACCCCACAACAAATTATTTCGTTTTGTGAAAAAACTTCGATATTTATGGACAAGAACTAAAGGTGTCAAGTCGATCTATTTACATTTCCGGGATGAGTGGTAGGCTAGCACTAGACAAATGTGTTCGTCCTGTGAACAATATCGACAACACCGGATGGCACTTTCTAGCGCATTTCAAAAAGTAGCGGGCACCAAATACTTCGAAGAATGCATTTTGGGTCGGATATCATCCGGCACAACTGTATGAGCAGAACTGTGAACCAAAGAGATAGGTGACGATCTGAGAAGACCCTGAATGACCCTAAAACAATGCTGAAAATAAAGAAAAACGGCATGACTACGTTAGCGAAACACATCACGATACTTACTGAATCGTAGTGTCGCTAGATCCAGTAATTATGATATTCTCATCGTACTGCAGGCACAGTACTGACCCAGTGTGGCCAGTGAAAATATGCTTGCAGTCCAAAGACTTTCGGTCCCAGACCTAAGCATATAAACAGCACACACACACACACACACACACACACACACACACACACACACACGTACCACATTTATTCAGTCATCCCAAGATCATAGCGGATGGAAGAGAAATTGGTACTCCCCTATCGTTTAGGATGCATTCAGACTACCGAGAACCCCGTCAAACCGTGAATGGTGATACACAGTGAAGGGCATTCGCACTACCGATAAACCAACGTTACTCGTGCAGCTCTCAATGTGCGTACTGAGAAGGGATTTCCCCTACTCCCAGCCGGAGCGCTTTTTTTACTTCCGGAATGCTGTTTCTACCGGAGCAGCCGCAGCAGTAAAACTTGCAAACATCAAAGATGTCTACATTCTATGTTATGTGACTATCTTTGACAACGAGTGCCCCAAAACGAAACAAAAATATTTACGGCTGTGAGGAACATGCTCCAGTTATTAGGGCTGAAACGAGTATATCGATTACTCGAGTATTCGCTCGAAAATTTGCAGCGAGCGAGTACTCGGTTCAAATCCGAGTACTCGAGTACCGATTGCAACATTGCGGGGGTTCACTATGCGCTGCACTTACATGCGTCATGTCGATCGACTGCATGCTAGCATGTGTAGTGTACGGGATGGCCACAGGCACAGCCGACACAGGCGCAAGGCGAGCATGCATGCAGCACTGCCACTACACATGTAGTGCACTGTCTCTGATCCTAGGGCCAACTGTTACATGTACGTGCAGACTACAACGCGCGCATGCGGGGGGGGGGGGGGGGGGGGGGGGGAGAAGAAGTCAAGATGAACCTTTTCCAGTCGATCGATGTTTTTGTTGTTTAGAGTAGAGTTCGAGCAGTTGCTATTTCTTTTTTCAAGTTCTTCTTTCGACTGTATACGCCGTGCGTTATGGACCGTCTTCGTCAAGCTTCGTCTGTCTCACCGACTGTAAAGCGCCAGTCGAGTCAGCGTTCCTTTGTGTGGAATTATTTCACGCAGCCCAACGGTAAGCTGGTAACCTGCAGTGAATGTCGGAAAGACTTCACGTACACTGGAGGCACAACGAATCTGACTCGCCACCTGAAGGATAGGCACAACATCGTTGCGAATTCCTCAGCCAGTGCCGACCAGGACGAGAAGCCACCGTCTTCTCGATCTTCGCGGCCACTGGATCAGTTCGTGTTGTCACGAACTAGCAAACCCTGCAATGCAGCGAAACAGGAGGCCATTACGGAGCTCGTTGTTGACTGGATCGGGAAAGACATGCGTCCTCTAGGCATTGTGAACGACGTTGGATTTCGACATCTTCTAGGATATATCGAGCCCAACTACTCAGTGCCATCCAGGACAACTGTGTCGAACATCATACGCCATCGCCACGAAACTGGGAAACAGGAACTGCAAAAAATGCTGAGTGAAGCTGATTCCATCGCTATCACCACTGACGCCTGGACATCAAAGGCCATTGTGTCTTTCGTCACGTACACGGGACCCTTTATCACCGATGACTGGGAGCTGGTTAGCTGTGTGCTGGAGACATCGCGCTTCCAGGGTAGCCATACAGCGGTGAATCTAGCTGCAACCACCAAAGATGTGCTGAGTCGATTTAAAGTCCCAGCAAAGTCAGTGGCATGTCTCGTTCACGATGAGGCAGCCAATCAAATGGCAGCCAGCAGGCTGCTACAGGATGAGAACGGGTGGAGCTTCTCAGCTTGTGCCGCACACAGGCTGCAGACGTGCATCCGACATAGTATAGCCTCCTCGCAGCCAATCCAGAAGCTTCTGGCCGATGCTCACCGGCTTGTGGGTCACTTCCACCACAGTGCAAAAGCTACGGAAGCTCTGGTGAACAAGCAGACTGCCATGGGGGAGACGGGATCCACTCCTCTCCACGTCATCCAGGATGTCTCCACTAGATGGAACAGCTCTATACACATGCTGAAGCGACTGCTGTCCCTGAAGCTCCCAATCATGGCCGTGTTGGAGGATGCCACTCTCACCAAGTCCATTCACAACACTCTGCTTCTAAGAGAGTTGCAATGGTCCTTGGCGAAGGAAGTAGTAGCGACACTGGAGCACTCGGCATCTGCAACTACACTGCTTGGTGGTCAGAAATTCTGCACACTGTCATTGGTTGCTCCTGTTGCTGCTGGACTCGTTCGTCACTTGGATGTCGCAGCTGATGATGAAGATGCATCAGTCGCAATCACCCGATTCCGAGTCTTTGGTGTTGTAAAATGATGTGTTGTTTTCCTGTGTGATGGCATTTCCCAAACTGTCTCGTCTAGTCGCGTGCATGTGTGATATGAGCATGCGCCATTTTTGTAGTCGAGAGTCCTTTTGTTAGTCTTCTTGTTCGTCTCTGTCAGAGTAGTCTACTTTTCCGTAATGTCCAAATATAATTATGTAAAACAAACAAGTCTTGTCCTTTGTGTCCTGCGTCCCGGGGAACGGAATGGCTGAGATTCCGTTACAACGTGGTGCCGAAACCCGGGACGCAGAGGATGAGTTAGTTTGTAGTGAGTCTGTTCGTCGTCGTCGTCAACAACAAAGTAAAACTATAAAGTATGCGTGGGAATGGAGGAGGTCAGGAGAGGAGCAGGTGGGAGCGTACGACGGTGGAAGAGGAGGCAGAGCAGGTGGTTGGACCGGCAGAAGCTGGGGACTGGAGCCTGGGACGGCAGGTACCGCATGGAGCGTGTGGCCGTGGCTCGCCAGAGGCCAGTGGATGAGTCTGGCATCACCGACTGTGTGTCGTCCTTCGTTGTTCGTCTTGTTGTTGTCTTGCTCGCTGTGTTGTCTGATCGTGTTTCTCTCGCTGTTCAGTTCGTTGCTGTGTTGTTGAGTTTGGTTGTCGGTATGTTGCTCTTCTCGTCGTTCTGTTGTTCTGCATTAATTTGCGTTGTAGATGTATTTTGCGCTGCTGCGCGCATGTTGTTATTTGTTGGAGCTTTGGCTCTCGTGTTTCGGTTGGCCTTGTGTGCCTGAGTTAAGCGCGTCGGCTCTTGTGTTTTTTGGTTTGGCCCTGTGGTGCGGCTTGGTTGAGAGCGTCGGCTCTTGTGTCTTGGTTTGGCCCTGTGTCGTGGCCCAGTTTTGTTGTGCTACAATGTAAGCTGTTGGTTGGTTTTGGTTTTTCTGTTTTGCTGTGGTTCCTTTTGCTGTTGTGCATGTGGAACGTGGTGTCGGTTTATTATTTTGTGGAATGTCATCAAGGGGGCAGGTGTTGTAAAATGATGTGTTGTTTTCCTGTGTGATGGCATTCCCCAAACTGTCTCGTCTAGTCGCGTGCATGTGTGATATGAGCATGCGCCATTTTTGTAGTCGAGAGTCCTTTTGTCAGTCTTCTTGTTCGTCTCTGTCAGAGTAGTCTACTTTTCCGTAATGTCCAAATATTAATATGTAAAACAAACAAGTCTTGTCCTTTGTGTCCTGCGTCCCGGGGAACGGAATGGCTGAGATTCCGTTACATTGGCAAGTGAGATCCGTCAAAAGTTTGAACTGGATCCACCTAGTCCTCATTCCTTGCCCTGTATTGCAGCAGCGCTTGATCCTCGTAGCCGTAGCCTTGGATTCCTGCCAGAGGCAATGAGGTCAGAAGTAAAGGAAGAGGTGATGCGACGTGCCACAGAACTCGTAACAGGTTCTGCACAAGTTGAGCCTGATGATAGTAACGTAGAACCGGCTGCTAAGCGCCCTTGTCTCGCACCTGAGAGCAGTGCTGATGTTGTATGCACAGAGTCTTCTGACCCCATGGAATCCTTTTTTTGCATGCTTCGAGGATACCTCATCATCCTCTTCGTCCACGTCATCACCGCTGGCTGATCTAAAGACAGAGGTGCGGCTGTATTTCACTGAACGCCAGGTCAGCCCAAAGACGAACCCGCTGGACTGGTGGAAGGGTAATGCTGAACGGTTTCCAACGCTGATGCAGGTGGCCAGAAAGGTGCTGTATATTCCGGCTACATCGGTGCCTTCAGAGCGTGTGTTTTCCGCAGCCGGTATTATCGTAAACAAACTCCGTGCGTCTCTTGCCCCAGCCAATGTTGACGCTCTCATCTTCCTCCACTCTAACGTCTTCCTCAAGTTGCTGCAGCCACGTGTGATGGTGCCTGATGTACAGCTTCCCTCGTCAAGAGAGGCTATGTATACTGAAGAGGAAGCTGACCACTGTGTTCAGTCAACAGCACTTGAAGAATAGTCTGAGATCAGTGTTCTACGTGTATCTCTATGTAGACGATCGGAGTGACGGTTTAGCAGTGTTTGCCAAGTAACAGAGAGCACTTTTCAAGCCCTGTTACATGCCCATGCCACTACTTGTATATTAATATTTGGTATTTGCACCATTTATCTATGTCTGTTTCTGCTTCCTGATTTTGTCGTCCAGTGCTTGCTTGTACATGCTAGTTTTCACTTGCTTGAGACAGCCAGAGCTGTGCATAATAATAATTACTGAATCATGGATATCCATTTAAGGTTGCTTGAGAACGTGAAAGGCATTCTTTAGCCAACCTTGCTGTTGAGTCATGTGGAATCGTGTGGTTTCCAGGTATGGGGGGAATACTCGTTCTCGCTCGGAAGCATGTAGAGTACTCGAACAAGGAATATGAATACTCGTTTCACCCCTACCAGTTATAAATCAAGGCTTGGGATTCATTGCAGCCACAACACTAAGCCAGTACTCACTTTGATGGTGTGGTCCCGAAGTCCTGACACAATCTTATCATCGTCATACTGCAAGCAATAAACACCCTTGTTGTTTTCACTCTGGCAACGAATGCGGTGAAGCTCAGGAGGCCCGTCACGCCAGTTTTGCTCCAAGCTAAGCGTGTCACGGATGATAACGGGGTAGAGGCCACGGAAGTACTCGCCTTCAAGTTGGTCATCTTGTGTGTTGGAATGATAGAGAAAAGCGCGCCTTTAAGCAAACACAAATACAGACAGACAGAAAACGAATCGAGACAAAAAGAAAACAGAACAGGAGCTATGCACACAAATAGACACCTATACTTTGAGCAAGACTGAGAGCATTTGGGCTACAGGGCTTGAAAGTGACGACGTCAAAACGGCCAGGGAGTAGTAAGTTCACATCAGATTTCTACTTTTGGATCCACTAAGGTGTGACTTTGCTATTGCCTCAGTATGTGGGTGCATAGCAACCCACTCATGTCGTATGCAGGTGTGACTTTTATTTCGCCACCAGTTGTCACCCCACCCCCATTAGCCCAGTCAGTCAATTTCACCTGCTATATCACCTTGCTGCGAGTAAGATCGCTTGAAATGTGATTGGATCCATACAAAAATTGGATCCATGTGGATCCAGTTTTTGAATTTTTGAAATTGTTGCTATAGCTGTGACGTAGCACTTTCAAGCCCTATTGCCCTGAACCAAGCTGCTTACCATTTCCTCTTCTTTGCAACATTCTCCCAAGCTTTGTCAGTGCGCACCCGATGTTCAATCAGGCGTTTCCATATGCGACCACTCTGGATAACATTGTACCAGTTCCGACAGACAAGCTCAGCCTTACACACCGATGCTGGATCAAGGTACATGAGAATCTTGACTGCCAAGTCGAAATGGCCACTCGCTGCAAAATACAACAGGAAGAGAACAGTCAAGCGGAAGAGAGAGAGAGAGAGAGAGAGAGAGAGAGAGAGAGAGAGAGAGAGAGAGAGAGAGAGAGAGAGGACCAAGATGAAAAATCCGAAACTGGTGAGCGAAATTACAGTAAGGTACCATTGATCCGCCCCCTCTCTAATTTCCGACCTTGTCAAATTTCTGCCTGTGAAGCGACTTCGGCGTATACAATGAAGTATGGTGTTGAACCGACGCAGGCACTGCTGCACAATATGTGCCAGTGCAGGATGAAAATATGCACACTCCAGCTCACCAAGTCTGACTGTCTGCATTGTCGTACATGTACAGTACTTCACAGCCTTGATCTAATTCTCGCCCCAGCCGAAAACCCACATGGCATGGGGGGGGGGGGGGATCAACGGTACCAAAAGTACATAACCCCCCAGAGTGTGCAACGCCTGATCCAGCTCTGCACAGTGTCTTGGTCGAGCGTAATCGGATCTTTGCGTCATAATACCGTACACATCTCACGGGAACCCGGGGAGTCGCGGGTACTCTCGTATCAAAAACAATGGTGCCCTGCCTCGAGACCGGCCTTGTGCTGGTGTGGAGTGTACGCATGACATCAGAAGATCCGATTCCGCTCGACCAAGACCCTATGCAGAGCTGGATCGGCGTTGCACACTCTGGGGGGGGTTATGCACTCTTGACAGTACTTTACGGCAGATACTTTCAAATGCATACTGGGACTGTTGCGTGCAGCAGCGTATGCGGTAGCATGAATCTGTGGATGTAGGTAACCGGGCGCAAAAGGTTAAAAAGCAGTGACCGTACGGGGGTATCCATTGTTTTCGCCATGTATTATCACTGTCAAAACGTGTGGTTGGGGGAGGGTGCTTCAGGATTTACACACGTAGTCCAAAGCCAAGGGTCAGGATTAGTCGCCTTGTATAATCTACTAGGCGACTAATCCTGACGGGTGACATAGAATGTGAGTACATGTGAGTACAATCATGTATGTACGTGATATGTACTGTACTACAATACTACTGCAGTATGGTCTGCATCTGATGGTGGTCGCAAGGAAAGAGGGATGCACGTACCATGTGTACCGACATCAAGATACCAAAAGACAGTACTGCCTGCACACCTTTGTACACCTACCTGGCAAACACGAAATGAAATCCCGTTGAAGAATTTGAAGCAAGTAATTGGAGATTTGACCTTGCTGGAAATGGGTCATTCGATCAAGCATACGCTTGGCAAATTCTATCTGGTCATGCGGCTGCCACGAGTCGAAGACAGTGAACGTTGCTGATGCATGTTCGTCCATGCTACTGGGTTCTATCACCATGCTATTGTCAGCACAAACGTGACGGGTAAGCATATCCTACATGTAAACAAAGAAAACAGCCAACGAACGAAACACAATGAGAACTGGCCCTCAACAGTCAGGAAAGAAAAGCGACATTATCCTAAACACAGAGAGCTACACCGTAGAGCTATGAGAAAGGACAATGAACATACCTCAGCAGTTCCACTATCGCATCGCTCCACACTTGTTGGAGTGGCAATGGACATAATCCTTCTCTCCACCGTAAACGGCGGCGTTGACACGGCAATGGAGCTCCTCGCTCGTTTGCTAATCAACAGAAAACGCCAACGACGCAAGCCCCACACAGGAAAGCAGAGCAAGTAGCCGGCACTACTACAAAGCAAGCACAACTAGTTTCGAGCTTGAGAGCATGGTGGCGAGTGAGTTTCACAACAATTACTCAGCAATAAAAAGCAAATATCTACAAGACAGTCATAGATGAGACAGTGAAAACGCATTCGATTCCTGAGGCTACAGTAGCGCAAGAAGTCTACCTCAACCGCCACCGCGCCGAGGGCCAGGACAACAAAACCAGACGACTATGAAGCGAATTTTCTCTCTCTGTATCCGTGTACATACATTTTTTATGTACCAAAACTGCTCAAACTGCAAAGCCAAAGCCAGCAAGCAAGGACCACAACACTCAACGTCTCAAGCAAGTGGACGACTTTCAAAGCAGGACACCTGACAAATGCATTGCATGCAGGTATGACGATCTGCCATGCATTGTTGTACTCGAACAGTCACTCAGTCAGTCGAAGTACAACTGTACCCTGACCTGAGTCCTGAGTAGTGAGTACAGTAGTGTCAGTACGGTCGCACTCAGGGCGAGGGAGTGGTATTTTACTACTCCCTAGATCCTTGGTGGATAAAAATCAGGACTCGACTCGATCAGCTGCAGCTCAGCTCAGATCATCATGAATATGATCAGGGAGTCGTAAAATACGACTCCCTGATTATGATGCATCGATATCAGATAAAATCATTTTTTATCATGTTCTAATTCTGTAGATGGCGGGAAAACTTGCGTGGTAATACTAATGCGATCATTTGGCTGAGGACCAGTTACCTAAATCCGACCAGTGAGTCTTACAAAGTCCTTACTGACTTTCCTTCTTCACTGTATTGCAATTTGTAATTATTACTATTACTAGTATTAGTCGAGGATACCTTGTTGGTTCATGCCACAGACTTGTTGATCGTGGAGTGATTGGAGTGGAGTTGTCGTATGACGCTGTGGGATGATGCAAAGTGAAGAAGGGTTGGCAGCGCATGTAAGTAATTAGTTGTTGGTCTGCATCCACATGGGTATTGTGTACATTTTTGATGTGCTGGTTTTTTGGACTAGTAAAGTAGTAGTATAATAATTACAGTCGTACCCCAGGTACCCGAACACTTTTAGGCGAGATACTTGAAGTTGTATTCCTATAATCCAAATCATCCTTACATAACGATACCCAAATATTTGTCTTGTTCACTGTGATAATTATATACTGTGATATATACTGTGATACATAAGGTATCACTGGCGAGTGTAGCAGGTGTACCGACATACACGTACAAAGTCATAAAGTAACCCAGATACTCAAAATGGCAATTGAAAACCCACAAGACTACTCACTCCACCCGCCTGTGTGGATTCACAGGAAGTGTGTGTTACGAAGTCTGAAGAAAATGTTGAACGGTCTCTGCTGGGATGACGACTACACCATAGCTCAGTAGTTAGAGCATCGCTGGCCTCAAGCGAGGGTCCCTGGTTCGAGTCCTGGTGGTGACAGTCAATTTTTTCTTCAGACTTTTCCCGTTTGCGTCTTTCCCTCAAACCAGTGAAGCACAAGACTACATGTCGGAAAGGACAGAACTGTATGGTATGTAATGTACAACGTACATACACTGCTATTTTTGTGTTTGGGATAATCGTGGTACAGTCAGACCTCACAGTTATCCAGTTCTCTTTTCGCCGGATCCCTTGCCATCCGGAAGAAAACTGCTGTTAACGGATTTACACTGTACTGTCCCCAGAGAATAGCGCGGACAGAACCCAAAACGTTTGCACAATAATATATCCTTGTGTGCTCCGGATGGCAGTCGTGAGTCAGTCAAGTATCAAGTTCGGTGGGAAGCATGTGTTCCACGTAGGAAAAAACCAACTTCATCAATTTTTTAAATTGTTTCAATGCCGGTAGCCTGGGAGCAAGGCGGAGGTAGTGACATCTTCCAGAAGCGGTATAGCTCTGGCACATCTGGCATCACTCGCGCGAGCAAGCTCCATTCATGCCGGAGCCCCCTGCGTGAAGGTGGTGTAGACAGCCTGGGGCTGTGACTGTCCAAACTCAGCTGCTCGCTGGACCCCGGCACACCATCCCTGCACCTTCGACATTACATGCTCTGTGCAGAACATTCCTGTACCCAATGCTGCTCCCAAGTGACACCGTAGCCATCACTGATGACCCTGATGGATGTGTCAGAGAACAGCTTCTTGGCCTCGTCTAGCCTGTTGGGTTTCACTAGCAGGACTGACTTGTTGGCATTGGGGAAATACTCCGAAATAGCCATAATCTGGTCCACGGGATTCTAGCTCAAGAGGCCTCGACTATCGGAAAAAAACTGCAGCCAGCGTACCCACGGGGACCAAAAGTTCGTACTACACGCTGATTTGTTCAAATCACGCTTGAAATTAGTTCGTCTTCACAAAAGTTTGCCGTACAGGAGTACGTCCTAAACGAATAATTTTGACTTGATATGATGCCTGGCCAACCATAGGATTGGCCCTACAGTCCATTTCAAAACTATAGACGCGTAGGGTTTTTGAAATATTTCAAATTTGGCTGGACCTTTTTGAGAATAGTTCTCGGAATATTGCTCAGGATCGCTCCACAATTACTCTGATATAGTTTCTAAACGATTGGATAACAGACGCCCAATTTGGAAAAATTTATGCACAAAGTGATCACAGATTTTATGTGGTATAGATGCTGGCATAACGGTTTTTGCCTAGGTACGCGTCTATAGTTTTGAAATGGACTGTAGTTCGTACTAAAGGAAAGTTCGCCTTATCAGTGTTCGTCCTAACGAGGTTTGACTGTAGTTCGGTTGGTGGGTACACTTATGCCAGATAGTGTTGGGACTGTTACCAACAGGCTCGGCTGCTTGAAGGTGTAATGTTGTACCTGCCACCTTTGTTGGTTTCAGGGTTCATATATTCTATTTGAAGTATACATACCTGTCAACCATGGACTGCTTCTGGCTAGATTAACTCTTGTGTAATCAATGGTGCTAGTGAAGCTTATATCAGGTCAACTCTGATTTAGCCACCCACGCTAGTAGCAAGTATTACCTTCACTGGGGGCAGGGATAACTGCAGTTGGATCCTGGGATGGATACCCTGATGCCGCCAATCCTTTTTCTGCACCTTGTCCTCGCCCACTTACTGAGGTGTGGTGAGCCCATAAGTGGGATCATTTCCAAGTCCACCCAGAGTTTGGGGATTTCAGGGGTGTCGGCCGTTGGGTGGTTCAATAGCCAATTGAATCATCTTTCCAAGATTCCTTTTGAGTCTCTTTCCCCTCTCCCGGGGAGACCCACTTGAACAGTGTGTGTGTGTGTGTGTGTGTGTGTGTGTGTGTGTGTGTGTGTGTGTGTGTGTGTGTGTGTGTGTGTGTGTGTGTGTGTGTGTGTGTGTGTGTGTGTGTGTGTGTGTGTGTGTGTGTGTGTGTGTGTGTGTGTGTGTGTGTGTGTGTGTGTGTGTGTGTGTGTGTGTGTGTGTGTGTGTGTGTGTGTGTGTGTGTGTGTGTGTGTGTGTGTGTGTGTGTGTGTGTGTGTGTGTGTGTGTGTGTGTGTGTGTGTGTGTGTGTGTGTGTGTGTGTGTGTGTGTGTGTGTGTGTGTGTGTGTGTGTGTGTGTGTGTGTGTGTGTGTGTGTGTGTGTGTGTGTGTGTGTGTGTGTGTGTGTGTGTGTGTGTGTGTGTGTGTGTGTGTGTGTGTGTGTGTGTGTGTGTGTGTGTGTGTGTGTGTGTGTGTGTGTGTGTGTGTGTGTGTGTGTGTGTGTGTGTGTGTGTGTGTGTGTGTGTGTGTGTGTGTGTGTGTGTGTGTGTGTGTGTGTGTGTGTGTGTGTGTGTGTGTGTGTGTGTGTGTGTGTGTGTGTGTGTGTGTGTGTGTGTGTGTGTGTGTGTGTGTGTGTGTGTGTGTGTGTGTGTGTGTGTGTGTGTGTGCCCATCTGGGCAGTCATGCTGCTAGTAGTAGTAGTACAGTGGTCCCTCTATAATCCGGCACCATTTGTGCCACGAAAATCTGCTGGATTAGGGAGGGTGCTGGATTAACAAATCTGATCTACTGCTGCAATGTGCATGAAGAGGACATTTGGCTACTGAAAATTGTGCCGGTTTATCGAGGGTGCTGGATTATAAAGTGCCGGATTAGAGAGGGACGACTGTAGTAGTAGTAGTAGTAGTGTGTGTGTGTGTGTGTGTGTGTGTGTGTGTGTGTGTGTGTGTGTGTGTGTGTGTGTGTGTGTGTGTGTGTGTGTGCTGATTTGTCGGTGTCTTGTCATTTAGGCCAGCTCCAGGAAGCGACGATGGGCTGATGGCGTGCCAGAGAATACGCGTACCGATGTGTCGGAAATGCAACGAAAGGTATGCACATACATGTATGTGTGTGCGTGTGTGTGTGTGTGCATGTGCATATGTGTGTATGTGCTAGGGGTGAAAGTTGGCACTGAGATCCCGAGTTTGAGTACTCTGATTTTCTCCGATCGAATATTCGAGTATTCGAGTATCCTTGATATCCTAATAAATCGCACACCAAGGGCCTTAAAAATCACATGATACAACCCTGATTGAACCAATCGGCAGTCCTTTTCTCGAGTGTTTTGGTTGGTGGGTCATTTGGGCTCTCTCTACTCGTGTACAAATGTTCGCCACACACTCTGCACATCAATATCTGCTGACTGCTGCTCTGAAACTGCAGACTTCTGTGGTAAATGGATGTACCATGTATGAGCGAATACTCTGATTTATTCCGAGTACGATTATATTTGAAAACTCCGAAGGAGTATTCAAATATTCGGTATAATTGTTTCACCCCTACAGTGAGTATGTGCATATGTGTGTGTATGTGCATACCGCATTTCCTCGATTAATAGACCCGGTCTTTTATTTTTTGGAGAGGGTTGGACCCCCGGTCTCTTATTTGGGCATGGTCCATTATTTGAGCACAGTCCACTATATTTTCATCGGCACATCGCTGGAAATGGTGGATTTTTAACACGTCATAATAATTATAGAAGTTCACCAGCAGAACGAATTACCGGTATGTTCAGTTATGTAAGAAGTGGATCAAGCTGTAAGAGCATAATGGAACAGATGGAAACTGAGTGGGCTATCGAAGGTTAGCAGAAATAGGGGAATGCAAGGGAGATTTGCGACTCACGGCAATACATTTGAAAGCCGATTGCCGATAACCAATTCTTTGTTCCTGTCAGTGTCTCAAGCACCATCACCACTGTCGTCATCACAGCTGTCGCTGTCACAGTCGTCCGATGTTGCGATGTCTTCCGTAGTGCTTCCGTCGAGTTCGATTGCTGCTTGATCCATTGGAGCCAAGGTGTCATCAGCCTCTGTTGGAATTTCTCCAAGGCGCTTTTCTCTTCCAGAGTAGTATGGCCCCCAGGGCATGGACCATCGGGCTTGAAGGCATGGATCTTATCATCCTCAGTTGCATTTGGGTTCAAGCACAGGCCACAGGCATGAAAGGAACGTACGATCACCTCCGAGGAAATGGATGACCAGGCATTGACGATCCACTGCAGGTAGACGTCAAGGGCAGGAGGACGGGTGTTTCCACCAGCAGTTGTCGGGAGGTCTCCCTTGCTCAGCCACTCGTCATGCTGGTTCTGGATTGACAGCTTGAATGGGCGGTTCCATGAGACGTCCGCTGGTTGGATGAACTTTGTACATCCACCTGGGATCACTGCCGTAGCCACACACATCGACTTTAGAGTTGCCTTCGTTTTGGCACTGGTGTGACACCTGAATGCGTCCCATACCAGCAACTTGCGGTCGAAGAGTTGCGGTCCAATCACGTCACGAAGGTAAGACTCAGTTAGGCTGTCGTCCATCCAGCACTTCCCCACCCACTTCAACACCAGTTTTCCTGAGAACTTACTGGCAACGTCTTGCACGACGCGTTTTCTTGGGAGCAGGACAAAGGGTAGACACTTGTCTCCGTTGGCTCTGCCGGTCAGCATGACCGTTATGCGCAGTTTTTCATGACCAGTACCTTTGACAGGCACGTCTCTCGCTCCAACTGGTGCAATGGTCGTGGAGGAAGGGGGGTCGAGCCACACAGATGTCTCGTCGGCACCATACACGAACTGTGTCTTGTAAGTTGATTCCTTCATCATCTGTCGAACGTAGAGAATGAAATCACAGATTTTGTCCACATACTGCTCCGGTGGCTTTTGACAAACGGTTGTTGTCCTTCGCATTGTCAAGTGATGGCGTTGGAGAAAGCGATCCAGCCAGCCTTTGGAGAGCTTCAGCTTAGCCAGCTCCGGATTGTCAGAGATGAGTGCATTTCGGAATTCCTTGGCCTTCAGGATCATAATGCGACGAGATATGGCGTTCCGTGTCTGTAGCTCCTCCAAGTACCAAGCGTGCAGCTGACTGTCAACCTCGTCAGACAATAGCTTCCTTCCCCCACCAGGAAGTCTGCAGCGCTTTTTCGCGCAAACTTGCGGCTTCGCTGCAGTTGCTGCACTTTTCTCCTCGTCAAGCTTCCAGGAGCGAACCATTTTCCGCGTGACATGGAACTTTGTCGCCGCCTCTCGGATGCTGCTTTTCCTCGAATGCTCGACTACACGGCGCTTCAGATCAAGGGAATGCGCCCTTTTCTTGCCCATCTTGAGAGGCACGACACTATTCGAAGAACCTCCACTGATGAAAGTGAAATGCAGGAAAACAAGCACTAGCCACTACAAAAATTGTAGTTGCGCAAACCTAAAATAGCGTCCCTTTTTGATCCACCACGTGCTTTCTTAGTGCGCATGCGCAAAGCGATGAACTCAAATAAGAGACCGGGTCTCTTATTCGGGCATGGTCTACTATTTTTCCGTGAGGCCTCTAGGATGGTCTACTATTTGAGCATGGTCTATTATTCGAGCATGGTCCATTAATCGAGGAAATACGGTATGTGTGTGTATGTGCATATGTGTGTATGTGGGGATGATGCTGGTTCAGCACGGACTCTCACTTTTCGTATGTTATTCTGGGTCGTTATAACGAGGTCTGGCCAGTGTACAGTGTGACTGGTTGCGTGCAGTTAGCACGTACTCTGTGTGTGTGTGTGTGTGTGTGTGTGTGTGTGTGTGTGTGTGTGTGTGTGTGTGTGTGTGTGTGTGTGTGTGCGTGTGCGTGTGCGTGTGTGTGAATCCCTTTTTTTTTTAAATAGGGATTCACTGGCCAGAATAAGCCACTGCAATCAGCTGTGTGGTGGATACCAGGCTAAAATTAGTGGCGGTCAATTCATCAGCCTTGCAAGCTGTTGAATGGTGTAATCCCAGCACAAGTTGCTATGTCTAACATAGCTGTTCGCTATCATCGCTTCCGCGATGGGCAGGTCTGAGGTGTGTGTGTGTGTGTGTGGTGTATGTGTGTGTACAAGTACAAGTGTGTGTGTGTGTGTGTGTACAGTCAAACCTCGTTAGGACGAACACTGATAAGGCGAACTTTCCATTAGTACGAACTAGGGCCAATCCTATGGTTGGCCAGGCATCAATTCAAATCAAAATTATTCGTTTACGACGAACTTCTGTACAGCGAACTTTCGCGAAGACGAACTATTTTCAAGTGTGATTTGAACAAAATTAGTGTCGTCATGTACATGTAGTACGAACTTTCGGTCCACGAACGTGCGCTTGCGCTGGCTGCCTTTTTCTTCTTCTTTTTTTTCAATAGTCGAGGCCATATTGTACGTACAGTGCAAATTGTTTTCAAATGTGTTTTGAACAAAATCAGCGTGTTGTACGATCGTTCGGCACAGTCGTGATTCATTGCACATTATCATTGTACTTACTGAAGTACCTGTTTCTGGCTTATGCTAAGAATAACATGCTTCCCATGTACCACAGCATGCACCTTCACATAAATACAATCCATATGATATGCATATCGATTTTTTGTCAGATCTGGATAAGAAGAACCCCCGATAAGACAAACAAACTTGTTCAGTCCCTTGAAGTTCGTCCTAACGAGGTTTGACTGTATGTGTGTGCGCATACGCGTAGGTGTGTGTGTGTGGAGGGAGGCGTGTACTTTAGACATTCATTTTCTCCTTTTTCATATTTCAGGTGTCCTTCATCGAACAGGAGTATGCTGAGCTGCAGAAGGAATTCGAACTGCTGAAGAAGATCATGAATCCAGAACAACTTGCCAAAGTTATGGTGAAATTGGAGAAAGAAGCGTCATGTCATAGCTATGAGGAAGGTATGCAGTGTGATGATGTGGAGGTGATTCTACCAATACCCACTGATGAATCTCCAGCCAATGAGGATGCTGATACCAGCCAGCCAGCAGCAGCAGCGGCAACAGCAACGAGATCATTGAAAGCTGTACCAGCCTCAGGCAGCAATGAAGAGATGCAGGTACTGTTCAGCCGAGAGCCGGCCACTGCCGAGTTTCCGCACCAGCGTCCTGAGTGCTTCCGCCATCGCTTCGTGAAGGCCCCTGACAAGTCCAACAAGCAGAATGAAAGCTACTGTCCGAAGTGTTTCTGCTTTGTCTGCGACCGGCCGTGCTCTGAGGTTAGCTAGCCTAAGTTTCCCCAGCCAGTGCTGCTGTAGCCGCGTGCTCTTGTTTCTGTGACTGATTCGTTTATTTCCGAATTTAGAGCCTCTCGTCACATGCACTTTTAGTGATGATATTTCCAAGTCACCTCAAGGGGGCTCGCTGGTGTGCCTGCAGACACCACCAATGGTTTTACCAGTGGGTGGTGGGACTCTACGAGAGCATTTAAAAATGGACAAGGAAACTGGAGTGTTCAAACTTTCCACTGTCGCAAAGGAAGTCAGACTTTCCCTCAAACTTTGGTATACTTCAAGTAGGGTATACTATACGGCACTTTGTTGGTATCCGAACTGGAACATGTCCGGCACTCAAGTTCGTTGTTTCAGTGAAACAATTATATTAGTCTATTTCCGCTCTCGTCCCTGTAAACAAAGCGCGGCATGGACTTTGACCACTGGAATCAATGCATTTTTACAACAAACTGTGAAGTTTTCATTTTAGGGTGAACTTCCCCTTGAAAGTCGTTTGTGGCTGCTTTGCCTGTGTGTTTCTTTGATGCAGTGTTTCTTCTGGACAAGTGGCTTCATGCCACATTGCAATGCTTATCGTACTGTGAGCTGGCGTCGGTGTCGTGACCTCAGCAAGGTATGTATGTGAGAACTAGCGAGCCCGACCTCTCTCCTGTAGGACTACTAGTTTGCTTTGTTTCTTTCAAGGACAGCTTCAGGGTACACGGCATATCATTGAATAGCCCATTGAAGTGGCTTGTCTTCATCTTCCTCCAATTTGGCCTGTGCGTCTCTCTCTCTCTCTCTCTCTCTCTCTCTCTCTCTCTCTCTCTCTCCATCTTTCTTTATTTTACTGCTTTATGCAGGTCAGTATTGTGGCCAATCTTGAGGATGAGTTGAAAATTCCTGACATAGAGCGAGGTGAGTTGTGTTGTTTTATCAAGAAAAGCGGTAGCCTATCAGTGTCCATACGCTGGATTTGCTTATCACTTTACTTTCATGCTGTTCTTGGGTTGTTGTAATTCTCCGTTTGGGCTGTGAAGTGGTGACGTAGACACTCTTCTCTTAGCAACACTTTTGGAGACGTGTTTCTGTGTACGATCACCGCATCCTTTCTTATGGTAGGCTCAAGCCAGCTCCGTGATGGTTTTGTCCCGGGATAAGGACAGCGGCTATAACGATTTAGGTTTGCTTCTCTCTCTCTCTTTCTCTCTCTCTCTCTCTCTCTCTCTCTCTCTCTCTCTCTCTCTCTCTCTCTCTCTCTCTTTCTTTCTTTCGCATTATCTTTCTGTGGGTGGTACAGTAGTCATCCGAATACTGCGTCACTTGTTCGAGGAAAAAGAAACTGCATTGTGAACAGTGCCTGTTTGAATAGTTTTAGCCACACGTGACATTGTTTTAGTGACAACCTCAGGGTAAAATCATCATAAAAAGAGCCTGGTCTGCAGCAAAGACAAGTACGTCCTCAAGCTGGCTTGAGGTGGCCACATTCCTACGCCTCTGGATCTTTTGTAGTGAAATATCTTTCTCTCCTGTGTGCTACGTTTTTTGTTTGTTTGATTTGTTCAGTTTATGCGAGTATGGATTCAGTCCAATCTATCCAAAAGATTGCCAAGAATTGTCCAGGCTCTGCACAGAATGTTGTCAACCTTGGATGTGATTGTGCGTGTCATAACGATCTGTGGTCAACCCACTGTTCTTACTGCAGCGACAATCACCCATCGTAAGCAATAGAGTTGTTCTTAGAACTGTTGCACTTTATGTAGGTGCGAGATGGTCTTTCTGTTGCATAGAAATCTAGGGAAGACAAGTACTACTTCGCAAGAAGATTGCATAAAGCTGTCACTGCTCTGTTTTGCTGTTGGGGACGTCCGCGTAGAAACACATTTTCAAAATGCACGTATAGTACATGTACCTGTTATTTTTGGGAGGGGGGGGGGGGTAAATCTGTGACCGAAAAATCACAAAACATGTGCTGTACTGTGTAGTACTCACTCCCGTGCCAGTATGTATGACTGTAGAAGTGAGCCCAGCCTGCCAGTGTGCTGGTACTTTGTACCGTGCCAGCATGTATGACTGTAGAAGTGAGCCCACCCTGCCGGTGTGCTGGTACTTTGTACCGTGCCAGCATGTATGACTGTAGAATTGAGCCCAGCCCGCCGGTGTGCTTATGTGGACAATGTACTTGTTGAGATTCAAGACAGCGCTCTGGTATACGTGTATGTGACACTTTGCTTGCCTGCTGCTTGTGTGACCGTACACACGTTGTCGACTGAGTGTCCTATGTGTGCGTGCTATCTACACGTACCACTCATTGAACAACCTGTCATGTGTGAGTTGACATGCTTGCCTCATCATGTATGCAGAAGTTATGCGATTACATCATCAGTTGAGGTGCTTTGGCAAAGTCGCCGCTTAGCGATGCACTAGCGACTCACACGGTATACATAGCACCCATAAGCAGTTCCGCTTACTCACTGTTGTGACATAATTCGCATACCTCTGCAATGTCATGTTTCTGTGTGTACAAAGCTACGGAGCCCTTGTACTTGTCTTGTGAGATTTTTGCTGCTACAGGGCTGCTCAATAATATCCGTTCGCACGAGTTAAGTTTGTGCCCTGCATCTGTTCGCATCCCACTGTTCGCATGTCTAGTAGGGCTGCACAGTGCCCCGTGTGGCATTGACTGGCCTGGTTGGATTTCATTGAGCAGCTCTGTAGTTTGTTCATACGCCGTGCTGAAAGTTCCTACACACCACAGCATTGCATCTATTGTCCAACACCTTCTTTCCTGCCATCCATGATATCACTACCAATGTAACACTGTCGACAGACTCGACACGCACTGCGCTGGGTTCGCATCGGCTTTCATCGATATTTTCTGCACATCTCCCTCATTCTAATCCTAGACACCCCTCTCATTTCTGTCAGTGTTCTCTGATGATTGGCTTAAATGCCATGAAACTGTGAGTAACAGCTGAGTTACGTTTCCCGCCATTGTCAATTTGTGTGCTTGTGTTTATATGTATGTTCTGATTGTTGGATGCACTTCTGTGTGTGTGTGCGCGCGCGCGTGTGTGTGTATGCGTGTGTATGCATGTGTATATGTGTGTTTGTGTGCATGTGTGCATATCTCTTTGATCTTCAGCGCCGCTCGTTTGAAAGGCGTGGTAATTGCCGGCTGTCGCAAGGTGCGTGAGCAAGTGGAGGCGCTGCGGTCCGATGCCGCCGGTGTGTTGCTCCATGCACTGATTGCCGCATTCCTGGCTGACCTGGACAAGTTCACTAGGTCGGTGGTCTGTTTGAGTCCTCTGGTGCTGGCTGGCGTTGCGCGCCAAGTGTGTAGCTGCCAGTGATGTGTGCAGTGGTCATGGTCACTCATTGCACTGCAGCTACTAGCCACTGGGGCCCCAACACAATTGCTGTCATCATTCAACTGTGCTTCAACTTGTAGCCTACATGTTAGGTGTCTCTGGTCCATGTCAAATGGTACATGCTACTAAAGGCGGAATTTTCATTTCTTCACTCCTACCAAAGATAATCCTGAATTTCTCCAAGGGTTGTTCGCGGCTTGAATTCCAGTGGCGACCATTGATATTAAATTTGCCTTGAGTGAACATTGTCTTCTGTGGAACTACCAGAATGCATAGTTATGTTGTGTTTTGTGTTTTTGCTTCAGAGTTGGCTTTGTATCGTCCTTTACACCATCCGAGTGTGTTATAGAGTGAGTTCTCTTTCCTTCTGTTTGGCTGTGTTGCTGACTTTAGAAAGCCATTCTGCATTCTGTGAGAGTTTGTTCTGACTTTAGACAGCCGTTCTGCATTCTGTGACACCTTGTTCGTCACTATGCAATAGGCTGATTACTAGTGTGTGTGTGTGTGTGTGTGTGTGTGTGTGTGTGTGTGTGTGTGTGTGTGTGTGTGTGTGTGTGTGTGTGTGTGTGTGTGTGTGTGTGTGTGTGTGTGTGTGTGTGTGTGTGTGTGTGTGTGTGTGCGTGTGCGCGCTTACGTGCGTGCATGTGTGTGTGTGTGTATGTGTGTAATCGTGTGTTGTTTATTCTGTCTCTTTCCTGTCTGCTCTGTCTGCAATCCTTTGTGTGGTCTAGTCTGTGTAAAGAGTATGGGAAACTTCAGGACGAGGATCGTGTTAGTGAAGGTCTATGGGACAAGATCAAGGCCAATCTAAAGCAGAGATTGGAAGCCTGCACGGTGAAGGTCATCAAGGACGAGTTTGATAGGTTTGTATGGTGCTCATTCAAGTTACTGCGCACGCAAGCCCAGTTGGGCATGTGCATGTGCTCATGCATGTGTGTGCATGGCCAGTGAATCCCAACTTCAATCAGCTGTGTGGTGTAGACCAGGCTCAAATTAGTGGCGGTCAATTCATCAGCCTTGTAAGCTGTTGATGGTGTAATCCCAGCACAAGTTGCTATGTCTAACATAGTTTGTTCGCTATCATCGCTTCAGCGATCGGCAGGTGTAAGTGTGTGCATGACTATGAGGCTGGTGCTATGTTCCGTGAAGCAGGGAAATGAGTTAGTGTGGCCTGCTTACCCGGGGCATTTCCGTTTATTGACTTCACTCTTTGTAGCGGGGAGTCGCTGATGTGCACGTATCCTCAATGTATGGAAAGGACTCTACACTCACGGCCCGCACCTACCTTACCATTAGATCAGCGGATAGTGTTAGCTATGTTCTATTGTACAGCTATGGTATGGAGCTCTGGCATGAGTGGGAGCTTATTTCCTATGGTGAGTATTCATTCCCAGTGGTCTAACCGTACCTGTGCCTTTCTCCTTTCTTGCAGAGCATTTCAAATTCGCTCGGCATCGGACCCGGCTTTGAAGAATGTGTTGGCTGGCACCCTTGAAGCCAATGTGCGGTTTGGAGAGGCACCGCAGCAAATACAGAATCGTATCCAAAAGATGATTGAAAACAAGAGGTGCGTTTGCTGATCTGTATTTTGCAAGTGGGTTGAGGGCATACATGTTCTCTCTGTGTCCATCCTTTTTTATCTCTTTGTCTGTCCTCCCTGTCTGTCTGTCTGTCTGTCCTCCCTGTCTGTCTGTCTGTCTGTCTGTCTGTTTGTCTCTGTCTGTCTGTCTGTCTCTGTCTGCCTCTGTCTCTCTCTCTCTCTCTCGCTGTCTCTCTCTCTCTCTCTCTCTCTCTCTGTCTCTCTGTCTCTCTCTCTCTCTGTCTCTCTCTGTCTCTGTCTCTCTCTCTCTCTGTCTCTCTCTCTCTCTCTCTGTCTCTCTCTCTCTCTCTCTCTCTCTCTATCTCTCTTTCTCTCTGTCTCTGTCACTCACTCTGTCACTCTCTCTCTCTGTGGAGTGGTGAAGTGACGGATATGGATCGTGTTATGGTCACAACAGGCACTGGTGAATCGAGACTGGATCAATCCACTAGTGTGGGTCACAGAATGCCTGATTTTGTTCCTATTCCCTCTGTGTTCCATTCCTGCTGCAGCCACCTTCAACTATGCCGATATGCTGTCAGCGTGTTCCCTACCAACCTCTACACTATCTCAAGCGTTGAGGAGATCAGGACGTTTTGCCTGCTGCGTGACTGCATTCCGTTCGCGCTGGCAAACCTGAAGCACCCGTTGCAGGCGGTGATGATGGCTTTGCATGACTACACGTCACCTCTACCGGATGGCCTCTTCAAGTTGATTGGTGTCATCAAGCCACTCGCCCAGCCAGCGGTGAAGACCGAACAACTACTGAATGCGTGTGAAAGTAAGTGCCAAGTTTCATGACACCCTCCCTGCACCCTTGGAATTTCTTATCACCCTTTTTTAGAAGTAGGTTGTTGCGAGGTGAGTAGGCATCTCTGCAGTGCTAACAAAACAAGCAAGAATCACCTCAGGGCAAACCAAAGGAATCCAGAGGTACGCAGAAATCTGCCATGGAAATGGTGTACTAATACAGAAAGAAAAACCGTATAAAAAAAACCCCGGTAAGACCGTGTGAACGAAAGACAGCCCGGATCGTAAGCTGAAGAAGACGATAAACAATGAAATCACCAATAGACAGATTCCAACAGAAAGCTGTGTGTATGTATAATTCGGATTATTTATTGTGTATGCACCATGCAATTTAACACACTTTCCGGTTTAGCTTTCACTTTCCGAATTACTTCGAACAAACAGCTCAACGATACCGCAAGTAAATTAATTGCATGTTCACGAACACGATCCTGGAGAGAAGAAATAAGAAGAGACTGAATGAACCGGGGAAATCTTTGTGGTTCTATTTGTTATGTGCCTCGTTTTGGCTGCAGATGCTGTTTATTGCTGTCTTCGTCATGACAGCAAGGCTCCTGCTAAGCTATGTCCTGCCTTCAACGTCCATGCTCATAAGATTGGTCATATGATAGCCGGCCACCGTGTTCTGAAAGTACTGCTCGACGTTTATGATACTCTGCCAGAGAGGAATACAACAGATCTTGGCAGCAGCAGTACTAGCGGCAACAATTCTAGCAGCAGTGACAGTGCTACTGCTGCGGGAGGCCAAAGCTCAGTAGGAAGCAACAGTGCGAGGCAGGAAGGGGTGGGAGCGTGCACAGCTACGCTAGCACGGGTCAGTGCTGTGTCTACTTCAGCTGCGCCGGCTACTGTAAGCACAAGTGACCAGGCGACAACGATGACCAGTCTTACCTCAGCCGCCGCTACAACATCAGTCGCTGCTGCCGCTACTGGCACTGGGAGTGCTGCTGCCACTTCTACTCCCTCACTCGCTGAAATGGGTGCTGCGATACTCACGGCGGTATCTGCTTTGGCACAGTCATCTTCACAGGCCTGCAGTGCTGAATTTGTCCGCTTGAAGGCCGATCGCAATAGCCTACGCGAGGCTATTGTCTGCCTGCTGGCCATCTGGGACTTGAATAATGTAATTCATGGCTCCAAGATGGAACATGTTCCGGTAAGCCTCGACTGATCTGCTTTGGGTGAATGCCTCCAAATTTCAGGATGTGTTATTTAGCTCACTGCAGTGTGCTGTGCCAGCTTACTGTAAATTGTATACTACTAGTAGTAGGGACAGTGTGCAGACATCTTCAATGTGCTGATTGTACTTGCAAACATCCCGGTGTGTTTCTGTGTGATCTGTTTGCCATGTAGGTAAATGTTGTCGAGACAGAGGCACACCTCTTCAAAGGATTCAATCCGCCAGAGAAAATATGCCCCGACCTTGGTGTAAGTGTTAGGCATCCATCTAGACAAGCTCCATCTTACTACTTATACTGCTTCACAGTTGCGCTGTGCGGAAGCCGCCTGCGCTCACTCCACGCCTGTTCCCTGTGTTGTTGACACGTCTATATCGACACAGTACGGCTGTGCCCAAAGAAATCCGGCCGCATGAATATGTAAGTGCACTGGTCCAGTGTCCTGTCCAGTGTTTGCAGAACTAGGGCTGTACAGCGTCTGGCACTAACTGACCAATGAGGCTGGATTTCATTGAGCAGCTCAGTTTTCAGCAACGTCCCCGGGGGGGGGGGGGGGGGGGGGTATAGATTCAGCCCGGGTGCAACGAGACCACGGCATGGGGCCCAAGAAGTAAAGTGCTGGCGAGACACTTTCATTGGCAATGTGTGTGTGCACCATGGAGATTGCCGAGGCCCAGAGGTACAGGCTGGCACAAGGCGGTTTGGAATGGAGCAGGCGGTTTTACAGCAGCGGCTTTCTCTTCCACCAAACCAAGGACTTCCATTGCGCTTGCGGCAGAGATTTCAAGAGGAGCGTCGGTGTGAAGCGTCACCACAAGTGACTGCTTATCTCAGTATTATCTCCCCTGGCTGGATGTGTAATGGGATGTCAAAGGTCAAGCGTGTGTGTGTGCGTGTGTGTCTGTGTTGTCTGTGTATGTTTTACAGCGCTTGAAGAAGATAAAGACCATGTGCTATCCATTGGAAGCGTTAGCCGTAGGTCGACCCAGGCCTGGTGCTTTATTTGCTTTGGCCAAAGACAGTAAATGCGACATCCAGGTGAGAGACACCCGTCTGTAGCGTTCTAATGCTATGGCTGATTGCTGCCGTACAATTATTATCATTTCTCTGCTCAGTTTGAAATATTACTCGTGCTGCATCTCAATATTCATTGGCATGCATACACGCGTTTGCTGCCATGTTTTCTATTTGTCATGCAAAACAGCTATGGGAGATTTGAGTTTACATACTAATTGGAGGAGCCTCGGCGAACTCCAATTGGAGTTCTACGAGTCTCCTCGTAACATTCATGATCACTGTGTTCCCTCCTCTCCCATCCCTTGGTGGTAACGAATCATTTCTTCTTGAAATTCTGAGGGACTTCGTATGTGCGCATGTGCTGGTATGCATGGATGTGTCCATGGTTACATGGCGGGTTTGTCCAGGGTTTTACCCTGGTTTTCTTTTCTCAAAGTTGCGGTTCTGAATATATTGCCTGCGGAATATCTCCTATTAGAACGATTATCATTCTGTATAACACAGTGATCATGAATGTGGAGAGGAGCGATGTAGAATTGCTATGCTGCCACAACACAACCTAGCCCCCCCCCCCCCCCCCCCCCCTTGTGCTTCCCTTGCCTTCGACTTCCTCATTTCAATAGTTGCTGTGTTGGCTGTATGTTTTGAACATTTGTCTTGTGTAGGTGGTTCTTCTCGAAGTAATGGCATCAGTTCATGCACCCAAGTCTTATCTGAACGTCACATCTGAAAAGTACATACAGAGATCAGCCAAGTACCAGGTATGGACCTAGAGCATTGTGCAACGTCAATGAATGTTTACTCAGTGCTATGCTGCAGTTGCCACCTTTTGACAACAAGTACATGTGAGAGGAAACTGTTGTGCAGTTAGGCACAGGCCCCGTCTAATTTCCCAGGTAGCCTGGGGAACCACCCCGCAGTGTTCAATGATGTCACGGAGCGCTGTGTTGTCATAATTGTGTAGTTATGCATTCAGCTTTATAGCTGGCACATCTTCACCACAGCAGCAGCAGCACCTGCAGGTCAAGGAGTTGTACATGTACAAGCCGCCGGGTTTGTATGACTTCCTACTACGGGCTAGGATCCGTACTCGTAGCTATCCACTCAAAAAAGTGACTTGCGGCTGCCCTTGGCCTTAATGGTGATGCAGTGAAACCTTTGCCTTGGTGTTGATGCAATGAAACATTTGCTCTGCCCAGCAAGGACTTACGTTTTGTGTGCTTGCTTTCAGGGCAGCATGCTGTGGCTGAGCTGCGTCGATTTCTTCATGTCCACCTCTCTTCCGTCGTCACCAGCGCCGAAAAGCAGCGATGCCGTCGAGCCCAAAGTGCCGTTCCTTGATCATTATGTGCCGCAGTATGGTCTGCACGGTTGGCTGCTTGAGCATTACAAAAAGTAAGCAACTTGAAGGATATCTTTTTGTATGGGCAGTTTTTGTGAGTTGTCTTTGAGGGTTGATGGTACAGTACAACGGTATCCACAGTGAAACATTCTACATGTACGTCCAAGAACCTACTAGTACCTCCGAGGGTCATGATAATAATGTATTATAATTTAGAATGAGGACAAAAGACTGGTACATTGAAGCTTGAATATACATGTTATGGCATACTAGTAATGTAATTATGAGAAAGAAAGAAAAATAGGTAATACATGTAAAAAGGCCAGGTTCGCTCCTTGTAAATTGTTCTGACGATGGGTGACTGGCCTGAAACGTCCACAATTTTCAATATCACGATAAAATAATTTTTAATGCAGCGCACGTGCAGATTGTGAATAGCAACTGAATAGAGCGGTTGTCAGTTGACAAACCCCCTTTTCCTTGATAGCGTAGTTGCGTGATGTCCACAACTTTCTTAGTGAATATAATTATGTACTAGTAGCTAATATTATAGTCTACTGTTCTCCTTGTTGTGCTTGGTACATGGTAGCATTAAGTACATTACAACAGTTTGACATCTCTGTTTGAATCGTGAACTGCAATGATGCAACTGGATATGTCATTCCAAACCCCACCAACCGTGTTGCTGACTCAGCCTGACTCGGCGTAGCACGCTACAGTAGGTGTGTGGATACCATGGCATGTATTCCCTTGCTAGTACAAGTATCTCTTTCCTGTGCTGAACTGCATGTATGTTGGTAAGCCTTCTGCGCCATGTACAAGCTAAGCGTTTAAGTTAAAAAAAGACTACATACCAATCTTTCATCTGTACTTTGCCCATGATGCTATTTAGGTATATGGCCAAGAGTGATCTTCCTAGCCAGTTTAGATTCCTGTCTGCTTTGCTGACTGCCTGGAAGGCTGGCACCGTAGATGGTAAGTTTTTTTCTCTCCTTCTATTCCCTAGGAGTACACTGGCAAGCTGCCTCCTGTGTGCCTGCTCGTGCCTTTGTGATGTGCATGCCTAGTGCACGCCAAGGGGGTGTCATGGTGTCTTGTTTGGTGCTGCTACTCGTGGCGGCAGATCTAAGCAAACCTCACCCTGTCACCCAACTGTAACAATACCTGCTCTTGTGCTTGAACCTTGCTACTGTGTACTGTCACAATACCTGCTCGTGTATGCTTGTACCTTGCTATTGTGTGTGTGTGTGTGTGTGTGTGTGTGTGTGTGTGTGTGTGTGTGTGTGTATGTGTGTGTGTCAGCAGAAGGCATAGATTGGGCAAAGGAAATGCCTGCCATGGCCCAGCAATTCGTTGATGGTATGTTTACTGCACGCAGCGCTGCGGGCCGTTCGTCCAATAAGCTGAAATCCGACTATGGAATGAAACTGCAGCTCCAGGTACGGGACACGCTGAAGACATGTACATGTAGTTGCACGTAATGACTAGACGACCATGAGTGACTCACGTAAAGTTCTAGCAGTGGACTCGTGCTCTCAATGGGGAAATGGGAAAAGAAAGCATTCCCGATCTTGGTCAGCATGCAACGCGTGGAATGAGGTTCATGGGGTCAAACATGGGAAGCGGGAACAATGTTGATACAATGGAAAAGAAAGATTATGGGTTGAAGTACGAGAGATGTATGAGCCTAACACAAGGAGGTAGTTGTGCCGTGGTCAGGAAGATCACATCCCTCGGCCTTTCACCACTGGTACTTTGCCAAACGTTCACCTCAGCGGAGAAGGCGAAATGTTCGAGCCTCCGTGTAGTGCTACATCACACAGATTCAAACCGTGTGGGAGTATGGATGTAATCCTGTCGGTTTGGCCACCAAAGACTTGGATGATGATTTCATCATCATCATCAGCCCTTTTGCGTTGGCATCGGCGTTAGCCTAGCCTTCGCTTGGGCCACACCCAATGTTAGACATGATACCAGAAGAGAAGGGGAGAAAAAGAGAAAGAAAGCAAAACCAAAAACGAAAAAGGGAAAAATATAGGTGAACAAACACTTGATCGTACGCATACTATTCAAAGACACTAACAATGCAACACGCTGGTGCAGCACTAGCACATTGCAAGTAGCCATAAGTAAGTTAGACCTGTTCAGTGGTACACATATTTCTTCTCGATGATATCATTAACCAGTTGACGCCACCCGGATCTCGTGCGCGCAATGTCACGCAATCTGCAGAGGTCTGTGCGGTTGTTGAGCGACCTCCCGATACTCGTCAGATCATTGTGTAGGACGGTTGGCAGTTCTGTTCTCGGTCGGCCTCTGTAGCCGGTCGTCAGGTCCCGGCTACAGAGATGATTTGGGTACAGGAAACAATGGAAACGATCATTCGTGCCTGGGTATGGTAGGGTTGTGCTTGGATGATGGTTCATGTACGGGATTGTCAGGAGAAAAAATAATATTAAATATTGTACTTCAAAGTAGGCCCAGAGTGTAATTTTGTATCAGTTGTGGGTTATTATTATTATTAAACTCAATCTCGTAGCATGTGCACGCATTGCTAATGTGGGGAGCAACCCCAGAGATGAGGGCAATAACCAGCCATGGTAGCGTTGGCCAGCTTTTGAATTTTTCATGGCCCACTAGTGTTTGTCATGAAGATGAGACGTAACAAGCAGATTGTGTTTTCAATGCGTCTGCTTCATCTACATACATGTTCGTATCGCCACTTTTGTATTCCTCTCGTTGAGCCCCTAGCGTTCTATCTTGTCATGGAATTTAGTCGGAAAGACTGGAAAAGCAAAGTCTACATACACCAGCAAACAGAGATCAGAGAGAAGACCAAGCTTAGAAGTGAGCTGTGCTCAGCAACTTTTGATGAGAATTTCCCCAGCTGAGTACACTCGCAACCTGCACAATGCACTTCATAACTTTCACTCGCATTCTGGCCCACTGTGAGTGACCTGTTGTCGCACGCCACAGAACACCAGTTAGAAAATGTGGGTATGTGTGTCACTGAGTATTGTGTGGTCCACGCGCTCGCGTGCGCGCGCGCGCACACACGCACACGCACGCACACACACACACACACGTACACACACATACACGTGCACGGATTACATTTGACTAGATCACCCTGCAAGAGAGCATACTCTCTGTGTGCTTTCAGAAAGGCCCTTGTGTGCGGACTTGAACCTTTCTCTCCTGGTTTTCTTGTTGTAAATTGGTTTATGCTCCCTCTTTGTAGAAGAATCATCTCGTGTTCTGTATGTGCATGTGTGTTTCTTCAACCAGTTCGGCGACCTATTGCCCAACTTGAGCACTGATATTTTCCACGTGAAGACCGTGGAGGAACAGTTTTTGGATGCACCCTCGACAAAGACGTTACATTCCTTGAAAGAGGTGTTCAAGTATGTCTACGATTGGTGGTGCTGGTGCTGCTGCCGGTGTGTGTGTGTGTGTGTGTGTGTGTGTGTGTGTGTGTGCGTGTGTTACTTAGTAATCTCTCTTTTGATTGGTGATGATAGACCGTGGTCATTTGTACCGTGATTGTGTTGTGGCCTGTGCTATTTATTTCGGGAAAGAGGAAGGTAAAAAATGGATGGTACTATTATGGCATTATCTCGTGACTGACTGTTCTGTGGCGTTTTGTTATCTTGTACTGAAGTAACAGACAGGGCTGTAGAATTTAGTTTTTTGTTTTGCCTTGCTTTTAACTGGTTGTTGGAATTTCTATCAAATTGGTACTCTGTTGTAGTTCATTCATCTACGTCGTCCACGCCAGTCTAAAAGAATACGGCAAAAATCTTTCTGAACCAAACGTTCTCGTTCCCTTCTCATCATGGGCTCTTGCGGGGAATACTGTAAAAGCCTTATATGTAACGAAGTGCTAAATCTAACGAGTTAACGAGGAGAAATCTGTCGTTAAAACTTAAAATAGAAAACGTTACGCCTCAATCGGTACTCATTCTGTTGCTAGGGAGCGTTGAGAATGCGTTAGAATCGTTACAATTGCGGCCCGTTAGAATAATGGCTTTTACAGTAAAGTGAAATGACTAAGACAGCAATGGTATGGGCAAGGAATTGGTACCTTGTGATTCTTATGTCCTGCTCCAGGTCAGCCAATGACTACCAGAAACATGCCGAAACAGTGCTTGACGCTTGTCGAAATTCATTGCCGTGAGTGCCATCTCGTCTTGTTCTTTGTTGTGACCATAATTTCGCTTGGCGCTGTTTTGCTCAAGGTGCTTGTTTTTCATTGCAGCTCTGTGTACCAAAGCCTTTTGCATTTCCTGTGCACTCTTTACTGATATTCCATTCACAGGTATTATGACCTGATAAAGAAAACGGAAAATCAGGACAAGTGTGCGATTCTCCTCCAGATTTGCTTTGAGGAGGGTTTTATCCCGTTGGCTGTCAAAGTTCTGTCTGCTTGGAAAGGCGAGCACTGGCAATGGAGTCTCACAAAGGTGGTAAGGGATGGTCTGTCTTCACTCTCTTTGTGTCCTGGGGGGGGGGGGGGGTCTGCCTTTCTATTACCTTAATCTTGGGGTATACAGTCTGTGCGCCAGATTCAAAATATCGCTCTCTATCAGGGGTTTAGTTTTCCAGAATCAGTTGACTTTTGAGCCGATCCTGGAGATTCCTTGGTCTCTAGTCGTCGTTGCGAGGTCAACTCAATTGGGCCTTACAAAAGCCCCTGTGTTGTTCGAGTTCAGACGATCAGACCTGACACACCACCCATCACTGTGTAAGGTCGTGACTCGTCCAATTCTATCCTCAGTTTTGACGGTTTCGCCGTGCGGTGTTTTGACGGTTTCGTCGTGCGGTGTTTCTGATTGGTGTAAACTTCACATCTTCCCCGACTGTCGAAAATAGAGTATTTCTGTACCCAGGAGTTCATGTAGTGCCATCAAGTACTCCAGGCATTCGTAGTAATACATAGTATATCATCCAGAACAAGCCTTGGTCTTGTAGCACTTGGTCTCTCGTTGGTGTTCAAGATCGAATAACAGCACACTGACCAATTTCCTTACCCTGTGTGTGTATGTGTGCGTGTGTGTTGGGTTTACAGACAGTTGCAGCTATCGAATCCTTTGCCGCGAAGAGGGAGAAGGAACCAGAAGTGCTGGACAAGTTCTTGGAGCACATGGCTGAGTTTTTCGTCGACTGCCTTCGCATTCAGTCTGGTCACTGGGCACGGCCCGATGACAAGGACGTGGTATGTACTGTATTTCCTGCCAAGGTCCTATATCTTACCAGAACGTCCTGCTCTAGAGATTGTCGTTGTCCTGCCTCAAAGAATACAATTATAAGGTCGAGTTCCTTTTCATCCAATTAGGGAACCTTTTTTTGTATCAGTTTGTTCGTCATACCGAAAAACCAAAAAAAATATCAAGTATGAATTTGACCATTTCGGAGTGCAATGTCAAGGAAAGGTGTTCGCTCCCCACACCGGAGCTTGCGCTTTTCCGCCGACTTGATTTGTCACTTGGCACTTGCCAAGTCGAAGGTCCAATGGATCTCGTGTGCTCTGGATGGCAGCTGTGAGTTTGTCAAGTGTCAAGTCAGGTCGGCGAAGAATGCGAGCTCCGGTGTGGGGAGCGAACGCCTTTTCCTATAAAATCATGGCCGAAGTCGTTGCCACTATCTCGTATAAATGTCAAGCTACAGAACCGTATGCATCTCAGTCATTTTTTTATTATTTTTTTACCATTGAACACTCACTGCATGGTGAACTAAAACGAGGAGGAGAACTCGACACAATGGTACATATCCAGCAGGACGGAGTGGGTGGGACCTGTGAAGCTCAGCCGACCAAGGGTCTCGGCATCACAGCTGCACATGTGCACCAAAGGAAACAAAATGGGGAGTGGAAGGGCGGGGAGCAGGAGAGCAAGAACTCTAAGGGTAGGAAAGAGAGGAGGGAGGGGAGGAAACCAGGAAACTTGTTAGTTTGCGAGTTATTCCAAGATATGAGTGCAAACAAGTACGCAAACAAGTACAAAGATAGCAGTATCAAGATCATGATGCTGAGGCGAAAGTAGAGGCTGATTGCCGTGCAGTTTTGACGAAAGATTAGAGTGAGAATGGAGGAGAGTTAGAGAGAGATAGAGACAGATGGATTGGGAGTTTGATGAGAAGGGGGTGCTCCGAGAACATGAACAGGGTCGTACTGGCAGTAGCCTAGGTGCGATGTCCGTGGCCAATGACCAACCCCACCGTTTCAGGTAGCGGTAGCATCTTCCTCGCTCGAGATCTCACGATCACTGCCAGTGTCATCCACGTGTACGCGTTTGAAAGCGCTACGGTGTTCTCCTGCTGCTGCACCAGTGCACCTGGTGACCTGGTCTTTTCGCGTACGGGTACGGCTACGAGATCCCTTCCGCCTCGTCGTACTCTGGGGCTGTTGTTCAGCCGGAGGAAAGGTAACACTTGCCGTTGCAATGGCGGACTCCTTCATGGCGACAACCTCCTCTTTCAGTCCTGTTATCTGCATGACCAGTTCGTCAATCCGGTTTTGGAGACGGACCTCCCGGTTTGCAGATTCCGACACGAGCGCTGACAGCGTCTTGACAATTTCAAAGACGGACGATTCTATTTCAGGGATGGAGCTCAAAAGTTTTATTTCCGATTCTGTCAGGCTGCGCGTGGCAGTTTTGGTCGGCATAGCTACCTGTGTCTACCAATTGCTACTAGTACTACCTAGACTATCTACTACTCACCACTCTTCTCTTCTACCCTGTAACTACCTCCAGACCGGCCTGGTGCCGGCTGGGCTGAGAAATTGCACGAAAAACTACGAAGCTCGGAAAAGTCCAACCGTACTCTTCAGCTACTTGAAAGTTTACGTACATGTAACTTGTCGTGCAGACTAGCCTAGCCAGGGATGCGCCTGGCCCAAGGTCGGGGATTATGGAGCGAAGTAACAGTTGGGAAATATTCAGCACCACTATAGTCTTGAGTATAGTGCTGCTCAATGAAATCTGATCCTGTCAATGAAGTGCACGCTAGGTGTGGTGCAGCACTGCCAGCGTGCAGCACTGCCAGCGTGCAGCACTGCCAGCGTGCAGCACTGCCAGCGTGCAGCACTGCCAGCGTGCAGCACTGCCAGCGTGCGGCACTGCCAGCGTGCGGCACTGCCAGCGTGCGGCACTGCCAGCGTGCGGCACTGCCAGCGTGCGGCACTGCCAGCGTGCAGCACTGCCAGCGTGCAGCACTGCCAGCGTGCAGCACTGCCGGCGTGCAGCACTGCCGGCGTGCAGCACTGCCAGCGTGCAGCACTGCCGGCGTGCAGCACTGCCGGCGTGCAGCACTGCCGGCATGCAGCACTGCCAGCGTGCGGCACTGCCGGCGTGCAGCAGCCCCATACCTACTCACACTGGGATGTGAGGTGCGCAGTGCTAACTTGCCTCGCCTGATGGGATTTCATTGAGCAGCACTCTGCTACCCTGTAAGCCAAACGCCTGTAGCCTAGGTGCCCAGTGCATGCTGTCTGCCAGGTTTGCACTGCATGGCTGCATCACGTCTACAGCAGATCATCTGGTAAAAGGAGAGCGATCGCTCTCGCGCGCCTTCGCTCTCCTTATTTTCTTTTAGGGCGCACTTTTCGTCGCGCGCCTTGAGAATTTCGAGCGCATCCGCATCACTATGAAGTTCTGAAAACACTCAAATATTTCGTAACTCGGCTTTCCCTGAACGGAATCGAAAGATATATTCGCATTAGAAAGTTCTCAGCTGTCGGCTCCCACAAATCGGAAGTCGATCCGAGGTCCAATAGTGGAGTTACGGCACTCGCAACGTATTTTACGTACCGTTGCAAATTTTCATTTCCGCCCAAATAATTTTGACATAAAGGATTTCCCTCTGTTGCGTGACAGTCCGGGCATGCATAGACCTGTGTACGTGTGACGCCAGGCACAGGTCTTAGCCGTCAGCTACAGAACAAAGCCTCAAAGGAGCGCTCTACGATGAATACTACAAAAATACCATGGATCTTAGCGAATTTTCTCAATTTCCCATTGCGTGTGTCATTGTCCCTGATGAAGGGAAACTAAAGTTGTGGTCCGAACAGCTTTCATTTGTAGTGCGTACGGCGATTTTACAGAACGAATTTGGCAGCTATTGGGTATTGAATTCGATTGGGGTATGGCAAGATGTTTAAAAAAACCGTGTTGTGCTCGCCTTGGATAGATAAGGCGAGCGACTTTTTTGGGGGGGGGGGGGGAGTGGTGGTGGGGACTGCTCTCCCACCACTCTCCTTGAGAGGATAGCGAGAGTGATTGTTCACTCTCCTGGATTTTTCTTACACGAAGGTCTGCTACAGTGTAGCTGTGAATTGCAGTGTTAGTTGCGATGGGGCTATTCGCACATCCCCTCCATCGCTGACTTTGCCAGTGAGAGAATTTATTGGGAGGTGTGTATTTGGAAGTCTTCACAGAACCGGCAGCGTGAACTTAACATCACAATTGTGTGGCTCTCCGTGTAATCATATAGCAATGTAGTCATACGTTGCACTAGCAGTGTATCCAGTCGTTGTGCTCAGGCTTAGGGGGTGATTGTATGTGCAACTCCAGCCCGGGCTGGTCGACAGGCGGGCCAGCCCGCCTGCAACGGGATCTCGAGGTTGTACACAAATCCACACAAAACCTGTGGTGCGTTTACATGGCAAGCGGGCTGGCCCGGCGAGGTGGGATCCCGCCTCGAGGCACCCGGGATCCCGGCTAGGCGGGCCAGAAAAAGCACATAATAAACAGACCAGCCCGGGCCAGAGTTGTATTACTATGGTGTCGACACTGCGTTCATACTACAAAATAGGTACTTTTACCTTTTGAGGGAAGTTATAAAGAGGATTCCCGATATTGTCTTGAAAATCTATGAAGCTTTTTGTACAGCAACAAGAAGGACGTGCAGTGAGCACTGTTTATTTGTCGACATGCATGATTTACATTAAAATGGAAGGGGAACTACTTGCAAAATACTTTGATATGGACAGCTAAAAATGTGAAAAACAGGAAAAAGAACCGAGGTGATACAACACACCAAGCATGTGCCATAGCGCGAAAAGAAATCAGCAGAAGAATACATAGTGTGAGAAAAAAAGTGTTTAGGTTTATAACCTGAGTATGGCTTGCAGCCCTGTGTTCCAGCCCAGGGCAACACACTACAGTCGTAGTGTGTTCGCTGCATACTCACAACGGGCTGGCGTGTGCTCAGCGCATATAAACTCACTGCGGGCTGGCGACCAGCCCGGCCTTGCACATGTAAACACCCTTGGCGGGCTGGCCCGCTCGCTCCAGCCCGGGCTGGAGTTGCACATATAATAGGCCCCTAGTTAGTCCTTGCTTTGAACTCAGGCATTCTGTTTCGTGTTCGTTTGAGAATTAACGTCACCATCTGTATCGTTGTTGCTGTTGCCCCGTTTGCAGTACAAGCACCACGCAGCAATATTTGATGCACTCCACAAGTGTTCACCCGCGTCAGTGGAAAAGGCGTTTAGAGAAGCCCTGGCGAAGACAGTGCAGGTAAGTCCCCCTCCCCTCCCCTGGGTGTGCAATCAAGTAGGGTACTCCACGGCAACCCGAAGTGTGCCCCTGGAAGGCAGGGCTTTCCACTCAGTCAGTAGAGAGATAGAGACAGACAGACAGACAGAGAAAAATAAGCTATGTTGCAACTCCGAGTTTCACGTTTTGCACGATCATCAGGCAACTGGTGGTCCAAAACAGGTGGCGTGAACATAAAGGGGAATGAGGCAAAGCCGGGATTCAGGTGCATATACATGGCAACTCAGATGAGCACATGAAAGCCACTTCCTCAGCCATGACGGCCATTTTCGCACTGGTGTTTTAGCGGAAAAGGGTGTGGGTTGGCCCGAGGCTATCCGTCAATACCATCAGCACGACCAGTCCTCCACTAATTGTTGCCATTGGGTAAAAGAAGAATCATGGTGTGCCGCATTGGTGGTCAGTGGCTGTAGTTATTGTGCTGAACGATAATGTACCATTCCGTGTGTGAGTGTGCCTCTGTAATGCGTGAATGCTCAGCGAAGATAGCTGCTATGGCAGCACTAACTCTTGACTGTATTGTGCGAGCAATAAAGGCAGTTGGCGAAGATGTGCATAGTGAGGCACAAATTGGCATGTGGGTATACAACTGCTGTCGTACAATTCTCCTCGAGCCCAGCTGTTCAGTTGATCGAGGTGTTCAGATGAGTGTCAGATGGGTGCAAGAATGAATGAAGTTCAGATAATCAACATGTTCAGATGAATGAAGTTCAGCTACCCGCTAATCACCGCCTGGCTGCACTAGTGAATACTGACATGTTGACTACCGGTCTGGTGCTGGTGTGTCACAATTTTTGGAAAATGTACGTGGATTGAAAAATGCTAAATCTAACGATTCTCCAAACAAACGAAAAACGATGCTTGTGAATAGGCATGAGTCCAGATACACAGGATACACAGGTCGAGGCAGTGTGAACAGGTCCTGTTGTGTTTTCGGCAGACTTCGGCAGACTTCGGCAGACTTTCGGCAGACCATTGGTTTGGGCTGACTTTAGTGCTTGAGTGGAAAGAAACGGATGATTTTTGTTGGGCTGGGATAAGCACCTATGCTTATGTTTTTGCTGTGTGTACATATTGGCTGTGTCTGTGTGTCTGTGTGTCTGCAGCAAATCGAGTCCACAAGGGTAGAGGTTTCTTACAGGGATCGGCTGTGCGTGTGGGTGAAAACGCTCAAGGTTGGTGACTTCTTGTGGCGGAATGTGGCTGTTGTCTTGTCATGATTTTTGGCTGTGGCATGTATGTGCGGGTGTGTGTGTGGGGGGGGGGAGGGGGTGCTGACTTTTCTTTCATCCTGCTGGGTGGTTACCAACAACCAGTTATGCGGGAGTATGTGGTGTAATGTGTGTGCGGGGAGAAAAGGAGAAAGACCAAAATGTAGGGATTCACTGGCCGGGAAAAAAACTTCCAATGGCTGTGCGGTGTAGACCAGGCTGAATAGTGGCGGGTAATTCTTCAGCCTTGCAAGCTGTTGAATGGTGCACTACCAGCACATGTTGCTATGGATTCTGCTTTAGCATCGCTATCATCACCTCTGGCGATGGGCGTCAAAAGGTCGAAGGTGTGTTCATGTATATCTGTGTGTCTGTGCTTCTGGATGAATGTGTACAGGCCAATTACACAAAGTATGGCTTTCCAGAGAAATGGCGAGCCGATATTCATGGATTCTTTATGCGCATCCGCAAAAGTCATGTCAAGAAGTAAGTGACTGGGTTGTGGTGGTGTTGGTGCGTCCACTACAGTGCTGGCTAGTGTACTCCTGCCTCATGACTAGAACTGCTGTGCTGTGCTATGCAATGCTGTGCTATGCAATGCTGTGCTGTGCTATGCAGTGCTGTGGAGGGCTGTGCTATGCTGTGCTGTGCAGTGCTGTGGAGGCCGTAGCACTACAAGCGCTGGACTGTGTAGTGAATGCAGCTCTGCCTTGTTGATGAAGTGGCACTTCACTAGCTAGTAGCTACCAATGAACATGTAGCTACAGGGTAGAACAGGCGGCAGCGCAGGCGCATGTCACAGGAACAGCCTCACATTCACAGGCGGCAGCGCAGGCGCATGTCACAGGAACAGCCTCACATTCACAGGCGGCAGCGCAGGCACATGTCACAGGAACAGCCTCACATTCACAGGCGGCAGCGCAGGCGCATGTCACAGGAACAGCCTCACATTCACAGGCGGCAGCGCAGGCGCATGTCACAGGAACAGCCTCACATTCACAGGCGGCAGCGCAGGCGCATGTCACAGGAACAGCCTCACATTCACAGGCGGCAGCGCAGGCGCATGTCACAGGAACAGCCTCACATTCACAGGCGGCAGCGCAGGCGCATGTCACAGGAACAGCCTCACATTCACAGGCGGCAGCGCAGGCGCATGTCACAGGAACAGCCTCACATTCACAGGCGGCAGCAGCGCATGTCACAGGAACAGCCTCACATTCACAGGCGGCAGCAGCGCATGTCACAGGAACAGCCTCACATTCACAGGCGGCAGCGGCGCATGTCACGGGAACAGCCTCACATTCACTTCCCGTTTTTGTACTTAGATTCAAAAACAATGTGCCGTTGAGATTAGTCAGATTACGTTATGTTTCACTCCGGGGGCCAGTGTTCGTGGTTCTGTGTTTATGGTTCTGTGTTCATGGTTCTGTGATGATCAAAGGCCCCGTGCCATACCGTACATGTGCGTGCGAGCAATTTTGAGCGGACACAGCGTCAAGCACCCCTCTAGGTAGCCCTCCAGGCTAGCCAAAGCCTGGAAGTACGAGGGCGAGCGGAGTACACAACGAAACACTAATATTTGCCCGAAAGTGTAGATCATTGGTGGGCCAGCACTATATCCCACAGGTTTGCCACTCAGCTACATGTACGTTTACTCCGTAACTCGTATCGGATACAGTACAGGAAGGGACTGTGCTACAATGAGACCTATTCAAACATGCTGCAGGGTGCTTGCTCTTTAGGCATGTTGACTTTTGAGCTCCAATGCTCTCTGTGCCCGTCAAGGTCATGCCTGCCATCTCTGGTCCCATTTCAAGTTCTGACAACTCCACTGCGGAGTGAGTGAAGAGTGACAAATCACTGGACTTGGTCAAAAGGGATGCAAACGGGAGGGGGGGGGGGGGGGGAGGGGGCTATGGGTATGATAATACAGTCGTGTAAATGCAGGCTCTGCATCTCTATTTGGGGGATGCAGTTTTGTTTGACCCGAGTATCCATGATCAATATCCTCCTCTTGTGGACTCGCTTGCGACCTGAAATTGCTCTCTCTCTCTCTCTCTCTCTCTCTCTCTCTCTCTCTCTCTCTCTCTCTCTCTCTCTCTCTCTCTCTCTCTCTCATACTAAGTTATCTCTCCCTATTGATACCGGCAACGGCCCAGGAACGTTGTTTTCAAGGTGTTAGCCTGGGACGTTCTTATCTTTCAGCGGTCTGCCCGTGTTATCATAGCACGTTCTTAGAAGCAATTTGTACTGAATCATATGACTGTATCCCACAAGCTGCCAGAAAACCAACACCGTTGTTCTTAACTTTAGGCTGTGGCTTTCTTAGTACTTCACGCTGGCCGTTCTTTGGCACGCGACTCCACTGTAAAAAAAAAAGAAGTAAAGTTTGCACGTCCGCGTTACCACCAGCTATACAATTACCTGTATTTATTTTGAAAATCTCATGTCGATGGCTATCTGCTGTGCAGTTCAACCGGGGTCACTTTGTCTGAGTCAACCAATAATGCTCCTGTTGTTCGCCTTTGTTGTTTGTGCTGTAGAGCGGTTCAACTGGCTATCGGCCGATGACACAATACTCTGGTGAATAAGCATCAGCTCAGTGAAGCTGGACTACTTACGACAGCCAATCTCTGATGTTCTTCGCCGGCAGCCAGCCGATAATGAGCTTTTATCCCTGTCGTGGCTTGTTCGATGCTCTCAGCATGGACATGTGTCTTATATGATGCAGTGTAGCTATGACGAGTTGTCCATGAGTGAGTGACTTGCTTGCAACCTGAAAGAGAACAGTGACTTCCCTTCGTATGCTTTTAGATGTTCTGGCAAGAAATCCCAAGCCCGACTTAGGTGTGCGGTCTCCTTTTCAGCTGCAAAAGTCCAACCTATCCTAGCTCCATCCTGACGCTCTCTCAGTGTTCGCGCCGAAGTGCTCACCGTTCACTGTTCCATTCTTTGACGTTTTGCCAGAAACAATAGCACCGGTGCGCACATACACAGATGACCGAGAGTCCAAGATAGCGTTACTCAGATACGCATGTTTGCAGGTCGGCTGTAAGCAATGCTCTCTACTGCTCCGTGCTATGATCGTCGTCCAAACCCCAGCCCGGCTGTTCTACGTAACATCCAACTGCTTGCCCAGCGTTGGTTCACTCATCCGAACTCATGTTTGTATATCAGAAACCATGACAGCATAACCGTGTGTGTGTTGCAATTCCAGATTGTAGGGTTAGTGTTCTCGGTGTGTTTCCGTGTTTTATAATACAAGCAAAAACCAAACAGGACTAGTGTAGTAGTAATCACCGCGACGTCTGAACATGCCCTTGCGTTCCCTGGCTGTTCAGCATTCTCTCTCTTTTTTCATGCTTCGGCTGTGACAGTCCAGTTGCTGGCCTGGGCTAGTAGTAGGACTCCCATAGTGGTCCCGTAGTGTCCTGGTTTGCTCAGCCTGTGTAACTTCAAACCATAACCAACGACACGTACTACATGTAACCAGGGAGTCATAAAATACCGGTATTTTACGACTCCCTGCCTGTAACTACATCACCATTGTAGTTATCTGGCATGCTAGTCCTAGATCTTGTTTCCCTCTTTCTCCCATTCATCCGCATTACTTGTAGTGATGTTACTTTTGGTCCAGCTGACAGCCTGTCTATAAGTACCTGAACATACCTCGAAGAGCGGTTCCCCCACCCACCTTTTCAGCTACCTCTGCTGCTGCTTGACCAGTGTAATCGTGGCTTAGCAGTTAGATCTCTTGCTTTGTTTCATTTCCTTAGCAGTTAGGTCTCTTAAGCTCTTGCTTTGTTTCATTTCCCAATTCCTATACATGTGTTTAGTCCTCATGAGCTTGGCAGTTGGTGCTGACTGCCTAACCTATACATGTACCGTATTTTCCTGAATTAGGGTGGAGGTGCTTTAATAGACATTCCAGGCCCATCAAGAGGCGAGGCGCTTATTTTAGGGAGGTGGTTAGATGCATGGCCAGAATCACACCAGTCATGTCTAAGGTAAGTGCTATAGCCGAGTAGCCAAGAATGCAGTATCAATAATTATTATGGCTTTTGTCGTTCGGCTAGTTACTGATTAGATTACGCATGAGTTTTAATCCAATGGTCTCTTTGTAATCCGGCACCATGTTGTGCTACGGAAACTCTGCTGGAATGGGAGGGTGCTGGATTAGCAAAATGATTTATAGCTGCAATGGGCATGAAAAGGACATTTTGGTTACAGAACAATTGTGCTGGTTATGGAGGGTGCTGGTTATAAATTTGCTGGATTAAAAAAATTGTGCTTGTTTATAGAGGGTGCTGGTTATAAATTTGCTGGATTAAAGAGGGACAACTGTAACGGATTCAAGCGGCACGAGCCGTGACGAGCGCGAAATATGGGCCTGTGATCTTGCCACATCATTTGCTACATGCTGCACGGAACTTTGTCGGACGTCAGAAGTAGTTACTGTACTTGTGATAAGCCAATATGGGTCACGCGGCTATGACTGTACTCTTGCTACGACGTGTTGCAATTGTTACTTGTGGTACATGTACAATTATGTAGTCAGGGAACCCTACACGTGTGTGTGTGGGGGGGGGGGGGTGAGGTTCCGCCCAACGTAATTACATGTACATCACATGGAGTTTTCGAATCATGTAGCTACCCATGTAGGATAGGAGGAAGAACTAAGAGTCTGAGAGTCTTAAGAGTAAGAAGGCATAGTGATAGTTGCTTATTTGTGATGCGACTTTCTAGATAAAAGCACAGCAACAACACGGTCTACAACTGCCAACGGCAACAACAATAGCAAAACAACAACACTGAACAACAACGACGGCGACAACAACCCCCCCCCCCCCATTCTTCCTCACTCTTTCTCCTCTCTCACACTATGATCTCTTATTGGCCACTGGCTATCGTGAGAATAAGGATTTGAAACAACAACGACGGCGACGACAACAACAATATAATCATGTACCGAGTAGCCGTCCGTCTCTCGCTCTCTCTCTCTCTCTCTCTCTCTCTCTCTCTCTCTCTCTCTCTCTCTCTCTCTCTCTCTCTCTCTCTCTCTCTCTCTCTCCTTCCCTTATCAGTAACCTACGTTGTTCTCGTGCTTGGCAGTTGGCACTTATCAACTCCGAGGTCTAATCGGTACATGTATCTCCATTACCCACTCAGGCTCTGTATCAGACCCTTTACTACTGTAGTTCACTCAACCTTCCCTTGCTTTCGTTTTGTCGGAGTTGATTTGCATCTCTACTCTCGCACATTTGTATCTCTTTCTTGACAGTTTCTTCCATTTTGTATCATTTTGTCACAATACTAGTCAATCATGACCATACAACGTGAGTGTGTGACTTGGCTGTCAGCTCCAGATGGCTGCAGGGTCAGTACTGTATCAGACCCTTTACTACTGTAGTTCACTCAACCTTCCCTTGCTTTCGTTTTGTCGGAGTTGATTTGCATCTCTACTCTCGCACATTTGTATCTCTTTCTTGACAGTTTCTTCCATTTTGTATCATTTTGTCACAATACTAGTCAATCATGACCATACAACGTGAGTGTGTGACTTGGCTGTCAGCTCCAGATGGCTGCAGGGTCAGTGCAGACCTGTGTTGGGATGCCCGCTGGGCGCTGGAGCCGGGACACCTAATCATCCGATTCAACAGCCGCAGAGACCATTCGCCTGTCGCTTTACTTTGCTGCACTATTTTGGTGGCACCGCCGAAGTCACTTGCACTCGGACAGTTGGTGACAGCTGTGCGCCAAACGCCATAGAATAGAAACGGATCTGCAGCGGATTCTCATGCGCCACGCCTGTATGAATGTGTATAATCTTGATCCTACTCACTGTCTGTGCACGACTCCATCGTACCGGTGCAGGCAGTGTAGCCTGTCCGGTGATGGCTAGTGCCGGTCATGGTGGTAGCCAGCAGGGAGTCGTAAAATACCGGGTATTTACGACTCCCTGGTAGCCAGCTGCAATATTCACCATTGTTTTGTTGTCTTTGATCCGCATCCGATGTCTGGGCATGAGCCGGCTGGGACGCTGGAGCCGTTGAACTACTTGAAGGCAGCGCGAGCGAACTGATGCGCCAGGAGTGAGACTGTCACAGTGTGAGCGTGACAGCGTGAAGTGCGGGGGAACGCCGAGTCAAGTCGACTCGACTCGGACTTAGTCTTTCTCAGCTGAGTCTGTTGCCAGTGTTGGCGTCTCATGACATGACTCCAGGATGAGTCTACCATCCTGTCGTGAAGCTTTCATGAAAATTGCACAGAGTCATAACCTGTACTGTGTGTGCATATGCGCATGACAGTGTTGATGCTTCGATCGCGTAGGGAACCAGCTAGCGCTGTTTGTATGGCACACTTGACACTCAGTCATTTGTAGCTAGATTTTCCAACAAAAAATACTTGATAACTGTCTAGTAACGTAGATGGTGGCTAGTTGCTGGCATCGTTTTTGTTGTAGACGAAGTGCTCCAGAATAGCCGACTGGCTCGAAAAGTGGCCCTGTGCTTTATTTCATCGGGGAGCGATGCCGCGAGATTTTCCTGGAAGTGTGAGCAAAGCATCGGATGTCTGGTGATCAGGAATAAGCGCTGATTTAGACACAGTAGCACCGCAGTGAACTATAAAATACTAAGTCTTGTGTCTTTGTTCGAACGCTGGTGCTTGCGTGTGACTGACCAGATGTCGGTGAGTTTTGCAGGCGGGACGTGAATGGTGCGGATCGGTCTGTGCTTGCTGAGGTTGTCCATGCTCAATGTGACTACTCGCTACTTCTGCTAATACTTCAGTAGTACTAATATCGTAAAGGGAGCCAGGAACTCTGATGAGGCTAGCAAAGACCAGTCGAACCGTTGCTGGGTGTGTGCTGGTAGGACTTGCATTAGTTCTGTATATCCGCTCTGTGGCCCTACCGGACAATGGCACACCAACGTCACAGGACGCAGACCAGGATGGCCTGGGACGCAAAAGGCAGGTCAGTGGCAGCAACCAACACAACGCCAGGGAGGGCAGGCGACATCCTACTACCGGGATGCCCGCAGTGGAGGTTTTCGGTGACTTTGACCTGGAGCAATCTGACAGGAGCAGAAGACTACAGCAGAAGGAAGTAGTCCAGAGAAGCTCTGATAAAGAAGAGCCCATACCTGCAGCTGCCCGCAACTACAAAGAAACCCAAGAAGCCAGTTTGGCAGTGGGTGAGGAGAGACAGACTCCATTATTTGACCATACGGATACCAAAGGGAAGGCCGGTCGTCTGTTATCAGCCAAGTTCGGAACAACAGCTACTAAAGCCAGCAATCATGTCACCAAAAAATCAGCAGCTCTATCTAGTGAGTCGGACCATAAGCGAAAGGATGGGAAATCTGGATCATCACCTTCCACTAGGTTTCAGTCCAGAATCTTGAGCAACAGAAAACATGCACAGCTAACTGATACTCATGGCGACAAGGGTATTGATGAGGATGGCGTCATTCATCCATTTCCATTTGTCTCCAAGCGGCCATCACTAAATGTTGAGTCTGCAGCTGGTGTATGGGCGAATCAAGGTAGACAGCAGCATGGCGTGTCAGAAGATATAGCAAAACATGTGCGGGAGTTCATCTTGTTTGTTGGCTATCCGCGCAGCTGTCACAGTTTGGTTGCAGCTCAGCTAGACGCACACCCTCATATGGTTGTCTCGCACGAATACGATATGCTGAGCCACTGGGAAGGTCTGGAGAAATCAGAGCAGACCCGTATGACGGTGTTCAACACTCTCTTCAATGAGACATTCCAGCAGGCATACTATTCCCTGCGTGCCGCTGCACCCGGGAGTCGCTACTCAAAGACACGCAATGGCTATACGTACGGTGTGCCCCATCAGTGGCAAGGGAACTATAACAAGTCCATCACCATTATTGGTGACAAGCACGGTGGCCGCACAGCTAAGCTCATTAATGGTGTGCATAGAGCGAAAATCGATGGTGATGTATTTGAGCAGATCTCCAAAGCTCTTAACATTAAGCTTGTGTTTGTTCACGTGATACGGCACCCACTAGACAACGTAGCAACAATTTTGCTCCGGAACAGACGAGAGAGGAAAATCATCAACGGAACAGTCGTCGAGGCAAAGGAAGTTTTGGATGACCCGAGGAGGCTAGCTGGTGCCATCAAGACGTACACGGGAATGGTGGATGCTGTGGCTAAAGTCAAGGCACGCTACCGAACTGTGGATGTGCGCTGTGAGGATATGGTTGCTGATCCTGTTTCCACACTCAGAAAACTATGCGATGATCTGAAAATCCAATGTCCGTCTGATTACATTGAGGACTCAGCGAGTATAGTCAAGCCTGTCAGATCAAGAACTAGAAATCATGTGAAATGGACTCCCAAGTTGCTAAAGAATCTGATGAACTCCATTGCTCAATATGACTTCATCACAAAAAATTATGAAATTAAACTCTAGAGCTACCCGTACGCATAGCTGGTAGTACAGAGTTGCTGACATATGAATGATGTGTTTACAGTACAGTTGAGAGAGATCAAACGAAACAAGTCTATATTTCTGTTCTCTTTCAAAACGGTTCCTTTTTGAAAATCCTTTTTGAAAATCTCATCTTTCTCCTGGTTTGGAGCTCAATCTGCGGACAGCATGCTGAACTCTAACCCTTGGGAAGGGCTAGTCACTCATCACATAATAGGCATCGCGGATGGCCAATTGCTTGACACCCATACCATTGTCGCACTCATTGGCATCGCGGATGGCCAATTGCTTGACACCCATACCATTGTCGCACTCATTCCTGCAGCCGTGACTCCGTCAACAACCGCCGGCGAGTCAGGCCTGGTCTACCGGTCCACTACATCGATTTGTGCAAAGGAATCGAGCATCCTTGAT